AAAGGCTTAGTCATGTCTCTTGACCAAGCAATGAGCTGGTGCCCTGACAATGGCTGTGCATGACCTCATATGACCTCATCCTTGGTCATATGTCCTGATCACCTGACTAGGCTGAGTAAGCAAGATGTTCTAGCAGGTTCCACCATAGAGGTATAAATATAAGGCCTACTCTGCCTGGGGACTGCCTCTTCAGACTTGGTCTCTTAGGATCATCCACAGGTACCTATACTGTAGATAGATCTTAGTCATCAGGTCTACTCCACTTCCTTGTTGCCTGCTTAGACTCTCGGCACTCTTAGGTGAGCAGACTTAGTCAGCCTGTGTTGCCCTAACAGAAGGACAGCAATGGGAGGAGGGGAGATGACAGGGAGGTCAGGAATGGTGTGTAATTGTTCAGCAGCATCTTGGGGAAGGAAATTTGCTCTGATCATTGCCAGCTCTTCCCTACAATAACTTTGACATGATCACTTGTGTGTTGGAGGAGGTGAAGGAGTTTTCAGGTGTTGGAGAATCTCTGTCAGAGAGGAGGGACATGTGTCTTGTGGGGGTGTTGAAGGATGGTGAGTGACACTGGGTTCAGGGTCAGGGAGTTCTGCTGGGGGGCTGTTGCTACTGAGGAGAGTAGAGATCCAATGCTGATAAGGTGTGCACTGCCAAGGTGGGGTTTTCCTTTGGTTTGCCATGAAAATACGAGGAACAGGAGAAAGAAAGAGAGAGTGGAGTTGATGGTGGTAGACAGAGGAAAGTGCAACTTATAGACAGTGATGCACACTAAGGGACAAGGCCACGGAAGATAATGTGCGGCATTAAAGCGGAGCTTGAACCTAAATTTAATTACCCTGCATACAATGGGTCTGAGTATTTAAGACCCTATGCGAAATGAAGCTGTCCTCTCCCGCCGTCCGTAAGAACGCGACTAGGGGATTTGCCTCCACTAGGCTCACCGGGCGCCTGGAATGAGCGTGCGCATAGCAACGGCACCTTGACACCGGTTTACTCCTGCTGATCTCCTTTGCTGTCACCTTTCAACTCAACGTCCATCATGTCTGCTCAAGGTAACCACGAAGACGCCGAGCTTCAGCCCACTTTCGCAGAGGTATCTTGGTCGTGCTGGATGAATTACTACTACTAAGCCTCTTTTAAGGGGTACAAGCCCACTGCAGCCAAGAGCTTGGATGCGTACAGAGAACTTGATAAAGAAGATGAATCTCTCGCACGCTGGAAAGCTTCTCTCGGTATCGGCGCGAATGCCCCTGCCGAAGCTAGTGGTCCCAAGGTCCATGAGCTCAAACTTTCGTTTGTCATTGTCTAATCCCTTGGATAGGTTACCGTGATCAGTCTCACTCTTACCTCCGATTCTCTGTTCAGGCCCATCGTCCTCCATCTCTCCGACAAGGAAAACTTCAAGAAGAATCCTATTACCATCAAGGAAGGTGCCGAATATTCCGTCACCGTCGAATTCAAGGTCAATCACGGCCTGACCACTGGTTTACGGTTCATTCAGGTACGCGCCTCTTAGCTTGATGAACAAGGCAACTCAACTGGCTCCAGGTCGTCAAGCGTGCGGGATTGACCGGTGAGGCTTGTAAGATGCTGTTGTGTTTGCATGCCGATGTAGATTCTTCTAGTCGACCGTCTAGACGCCATGATCGGCTCTTACACTGCGGGTGAAGCTCCCTACCGTAAGCAGATGCACACAGAATCAGCTCCTTCTGGCTTGATTGCTCGGTCGGGCTCCTACACGGCGAGGAGTCGTGTGACCGATGACGACAAGGAAGTCTACGCTGGTGAGTGCCATCAAGATTATGGTTGCAGTAGGGGGGCTAATCGGGATCCAGATTTCGAGTGGGTTTTCAAGCTTGGAAAGGAGTGGTAAGACGAGGTTGAGAATGAACAGAAGCGAGGGTCACGCATTTCCGTTGGTGTACCGTTAAGAATGAGTTGTGCTACATAAATATATACCAAATCATACGTGAAACGTGAAACACAGAGTTTTGGAGCAGAATGCACGCGGGGACGCTGTCAGGGTTGTTCGCGTCTCCGCACTCTTCGACGTGGCGCATGTACCCATCATTAGGCATTATGCATCTCACAGCGACACTACTGTCATTTGCTCTCTTTTCAACTTCTCTTAGCCAGAGCTCACATCGCTCGCCTACCCTTGGTGTTCCCAAGGAGAAATTGTCATCCTATGTTCCAATAGCTGGGTCGAACCCTCCGCAATGGCGATGCCTTGATGGAACGGGTGATCTTCTTCCCTTCTCGGCCGTCAATGACGACTACTGTGACTGCGAAGATGGCAGCGATGAACCAGGTAAGATTATTGGCTAACATAACTTTCTTGCACTGACTGTCTAACTTCAGGTACAAGTGCGTGCAAAGGCGGCTCATTCCACTGCGTCAACGAAGGCCATCTACCCAAAGACATCCCCAACATCAGGGTTAATGACGGACTTTGCGGTCAGCAGCGCTTTTATATTCTTCCATTATGACCTTTGCTTATATTCATTGAAAGACTCTGATTGTTGCGATGGATCAGACGAGGCGCCGGGTGTCTGCCCCAATCGATGTGCTGAGCTCGGTGAGGCGTACAGAAAAACACTCGAGCAAGAGCGCAAGCTTAGGAGAACCGTACGCACGCGCTCGCTGGTGTGATATGTTACTGAATATACAACAAGGGATCCAAAATCCGTTCTACTTACGTGGCATATGCAAAGAAGGAGAAGACGAGGCTCGAACAGGACCTCATCAAGGGCCGGGAGGCGGTCGATAAGGCCATCCTGGAAGAAAAGCGTTTGAAAGGTTTGCCTAGTCTCGTTTTCTGGTGTGCTTTCTAATGACCGTTTATAGCTCTTTTAGATCGTGCAGAATCTACATCAGCCGAAGCTTTGGAATACAAGTTGCAGTCACGTACGGTTCTATCCTCAGCCACCCTCTATCTTTTTTCTAAATTTGATATCAAGCGCTTTACGACTCCTTGCTGGCCCATTCTTCCGCCGTGAAAACTCTCGTGAACAAAGTGGCCGATCTTGAAACCAAAATAGTCACGCTGAAGTCAATTCTTGAAGACCTTGAGAAAGGTCACAACCCTAACTATCAAGACATGGCAGTTCGTGGTGCCATCAAGGGATACCAAGCTTTCCTCGAGAAGGAAAAGATCACGGCATCTGAGACAGAGGAGGAAAGTCCGGAGGAGGCTGTTAAAGAAGAGGATATGGACAAATGGACTGCGGAGGAGCTCAAGCGTCTCGGACAATCGGATTTAACTGAACTTCTTCTGGAGCATGAACACCATCTCGCTGGCTTTGGCAAGTCGGATGATTCTATTCGTGAGTAGATTGGCAGCTGCGCACCCTTGATACTGACGGTCATAAAGTTTTCTCAATTGAGCACTATCTTCCGGAGGCCTGGTTGCCTTACTATCATGAAACCAAGAACATTGTCGTCAGTTGGATGGTCCGGCTTGGTGTGGTTAAAGGGGTGCTGGACTCTTCCGACTCCGATGGTAAGAAATTTGATTTGTTATAGCACCGCTGTCTTACGCCGTTGTAGAAGTAAAACATGCTCGCGCCGCGCACGCCAATGCTCAGAGCGTCACTAGGGAAGCAGAAAAAAGGCTCCAAGATGATGAAGACTTGCTGTACGATCTTGGGGGTTTTTATGGACCTGACGGGGAATGGTTGAAGCTGAAGGATACATGTATCGAGAAGAATACCGGAGAGTAAGCGCGTTAGGACTTGCGCAAACGAGCATCCATTAACGCGGCTCAGGTACACTTATTCGGGCTGCTTCTTTGGACAGGCCACCCAGAAAGGCAACAATGGCGGTGGTGTCCACAATCTTGGGTAAGAAGCGCCTTATTGCACTTCTCCGCGGATTACGCTTATCACGAAGCAGGCGCTTCTCAGATTGGAACGCTGATGCCAAAGAAGGAACGATGGAATATTACTCCTCTCAAATGTATGAGCATGGTGCCAGGTGCTGGAACGGCCCGGAGCGGAGTGTGAAGGTGCGTCTATGACGTTTCCCCATTCGCTGACAGTATTTATTATAACACTCATTAGCTCGTTCTCACATGCGGGACGGAAAATGCGCTTCTCTCGGTCGCAGAACCTGAGAAGTGCGAATACATGTTCGAAGCAACCACCCCTGCTCTATGCTGGCCATTGGAGACCGAGGCGCAAACGAAAGATGAGCTGTAGAGACAGATATAGAATTAGCGCTATAGCATGAATCTAGCCGATTCCGTTTTGCAGGAGAAAGTATTATGTGCGGAGGGGGATGCGTGCTGTACAGGCATGCGATGCGCAGAAGAGGGAACACACGGAGCCCAACAAGACAGAGACAGAAGATGAGTGACGAGAGAGAGGAAGAGGAAAACGACTAGCGAGGTGCATCAAGCAGCGCTCGAAGGAGATATAATGTACCATTATGTACCATGGCATTCAGTGTCCGTTATTGTCCCCTATCAGCGATCCTTGCATGGTCCCGGATATCGTATACCGGCGTGCCCGTAGCAGTCGAGGCTTCAGACGCACTGGAGGAATGCAGTCGTACAGTCTCTTCTCCATCTTCCTCCGGCTCGTCGTCCTCTGGTTCGTCCTCCTCATGCTCATCAACATCCATTCTTTCTGCATCCATTCCTTCCGGCGCCGAATGCTCCACCAAGTTGTACTCACGAACTTGCTCTTTTGGCTCCTGTGATTGGAGTGCGTCCGGAGGGGTAGGCGGCAAGAGTGACGCCAGTGTGTGAGCGTTTTGTAGCCGCTGGCGGTTCGTCGAATAGTGCACGAGTCGGTCGCCGTAACTCTGCATTTCTTCTATGGCTATATGCAGGTGGAAATCATTGAGCAGTAAAAAATGCAGCTCGAGTTGGTTAAGTTCGGCTTGAGGTAAGCCACCAACCTGGGGATGAAGTTAGTACGTGCACTTAGTAAGCGGAGATGTATGCGCGCCTTTGCATAACGAGAGTTTGTGTAAAACACATCACTCCAAAACTTGCTTGCAACAGTGACTCCGGCGATGATCAATCGATGCACATTGTAGCTGTCTATCGCGAAGGCTTTTCCGGTCAAGTCTAGTGCAAGCTTGCTCATCCGATCGAAGTAGACAAGGAGCGACAAGAATACATCGTTTGGTGCCGGACAATACTTCAAGATACGCAGCAGATACGCTTCGATGGTTATGGCTGGCACGTTACGTGCATGGAAAGTGAGTAGAGAAGACGGGCTCAATTTGGAACGAGCGGCTGAACTCAAGTACGAGGCCTCGCTTGTCGTCGGTGAGGTTACCATGGATCCCTGCGTGACGGGTCGCGAACGAAGTTGCGAGGAAGACGGGGGTGAGGTATGTCTAGATGACCGTGCTATAGGCGGAGAACGAGAGGCAGGGGGCGAGGGAAAGGGAGACGACGCGCGAAGAGCATCGTTGGCAGTAGATATCTGACTGAGTAGGGCGGCAAGGAGCTTCATGAGATCGACAGAAGGAAATTTGGCAATGTCCAAACGGGGACATTCAGAAGATGGCGGGGGTGTGTTTGACGATGAGGCGGTGATCGGAGGGCGGGGTTGAGGCAGCCGTGCTGCCGCGTCCTCGCTCATTCGAATTGCCTCTGCAGGAGCTATCGGATGGCTTGGTTGTGATTGAGACTGGGACTGAGAGTTTGCCGGTGTCGGTAGGGGGGCATCCGGCGTGCGCTGAGCCCTTGAAGAGACGCGAGAGATAGACGAGGACGCGCCAGTGCTTGATGGCGTGCGCTTTACCTGAGAGCGCGTCCTTGTCATTGAGTTGCGAACCGAGTCTCTCGAGCTCGAGTCTATGTTCTCTGGTGATTTTGGCAGTTTTTGAGATGACGATGGAGGGTAGTAGTAGTTGTACGAAGCGGGATTGAAAGGGGAAGAGAAGTGATTCTGGGATGGTGCTGCGGATAGCATTCGGTGTGTTTCGGTGGGTGGTGGTTACTGACAAATGGCAGTATATTGAGTTGACAGTAGTAAAAGGTTTTTAGTTGCCAGTAGAAAGATAGACAACGAGCAGAGAGTGAATGAGTTATAGAGGGAGATATTGAGGGGAGAAAGGAGGAGAGGAGGAGGAGGAGGAGGAGAGAGAGAAGAAGAGGCGGTTGTCCAGCACAAATAAAGAGGAGGAGGAGGGGGGCATGCTCTCTTACTGAGTGGCTCGTCTCTCTGCCTCATTTGCCTCCGTGTCACCGCCTTCTCATGCACTCACACACACAACAGGACACACGTTTCTCTTTTTACACCGTGCGTGTGTTGCCTATCTCCACCCTCTTCATAACATTTCTTTTCGCTTTTTGCCGATTAAAATTATGTATTCCCGCATCGCACGGTCATTGCCATCAACATCAACAAGATATGCAACGTATGCTTCACCTCGTTACTCACTCAAATGGGCATCGCCTGATCTCACTCATTCCTCTCTTCACCAGGCGGACATGGCCGCTAGCGCGACGTTACATGGCCACAGCCGCACCAGAGCCTTCAACGTCCACCGCACCCCCGCCACCAGCACTCAACGCAGGCAGCGCAAAAGTACAGAGGATAGTAGATGACATCGCTGCATTAACCCTGCTCGAGGCAGCTGACCTCGTCAGCCAGCTCAAGGTCCGCCCTATCCATTCTATCAATAGCTATCATCTCATTGGCTCACCTTTTTAGACACGGCTAAACATCCAGGAAATCGCAATGCCCGCTGCGTCTGCGGGACCGGCAGCAGTTGCAGCCGCCCCTGTCGAGGCTGCTGAGGAAGAAAAGCCAAAGGAGAAGACGATCTTCAGCGTCAAGCTCGAAAAGTTCGACGCCGCTTCAAAGGCAAAGATCATCAAGGAGATAAAGGCTATCGTGCCAAATATGAACCTGGTGGAGGTGCGTGACCTATGTCCCTCCTGATAAGATGTCTCATACCTCGTTCAGGCAAAGAAATTCGTCGAGTCTGCACCAAAAGTGATCAAGGAGAACGTGCCCAAGGAGGAGGCTGAGAAGCTCAAGAAAACATTCACCGACCTCGGTGCGACGATCGTCTTGGAATGATCTAGTCACAACGTACACCGTACCAATATAAATGCATAATCTCCATCTCAGGCACACACCAAATCAATCAAGGAAACCAAAAGATGCAATGAATTCGCGTGATCTTACTGTGAATATGCTACAATACATCAGGCTCGCCGCCATGGACACCTATGGATAAAGCGAAGAGACGGAGGGACGCGAGAAGATGCTAGTAGTCCAATGATAGTCGCCTAATCATCCGACAGATAACGATATTCAAACCGGAAGTCGCTCTTCTTCCTCTGACACCAGGAGTTTTCCCAGTCGAAGTAGACATACACTCCCTGCTCGTACTCGTCCGTTATTGCTTGAGGCTCCTGATGACGCTGGAACCATGTCAGATATTGCTTGTGGAATCGCCACGATTGGCGCTTAAGCTCCTGCGCCGCTAGATACTGCTGATACGTCCCGGGCTTGTAGTAAAATGCGAAGAACAGAGTCTCGACGTCTGCGCTGCTGTAGATTCGGGGCTCGCTCAGAACCGGAGGTGGGTTCTGGGGATAGTACTCCGGTGTGCGGAACGTATTACGAGGCTTGTAGTACGACGGCCTCTCCGAGTCCTTGGGTTGCGGCATCGATGCGAACCCATGATCGAGTACTCGTGTAATTTGCTCCGGATTTGCCATTCGCCGAAGTGCTGAAAAAAATCAGACGATGCATATACACGTACAAGGAAAGAACACGCACATTTCCCCTTTGCGGCCTCGAAAGAGGACACGAGATCTGATAACGACGCAGGATACCTCGAGCTGGCTGCGGACGTCGTCCTTGCAGGCGGTGCCTGTTGAGGTGCTGCCGCAGACGTCGGACGGCTAACAGGAGCTTGCCTGGCAGCAGTCTCATTCATCTTCGTGCTTGCTCCGAACTGCGGTTGGACACTTGGAGGTCGTGGTGATGACCGGTCAGACGGTATGGGCAGTGGTAGTTGAGGAGGAACGTATGATGGTGGCGCAGGAGATGCAACTGCCGCGTTACTCGTAGGAAGGCTTGGTTGTGCGGCGGAGGTTCCGTTGGTCGCTGAGAGCGGCGAGGGCTGAATAGAGAAGTCATCAGTGTTGATGAATAAATTGTTTCCGCAGATCGACTCACCCCATTGACTTGTGCGGGTGCTGGTGCTGCTGAGGGGACTTGTGATAGAGCTGACGCTGTGGAGCGAGGTTAGAATACGAAATGATTATTCAGTAGAACTCAACGCTTACAGGGTGAATCGGTTGCTCCATCCACATCCCGCAGCTGCTGTACAGGTGACATTCCTATCTGCATGCTTACTGGTGACGACAGGTACGATGCCGTGCTCATTGGCGGTGGTGTCGCTCTTGATAATTGGCTTGGCGGTATGGATGAAGGCACTGGACTTGGTGCAGACAGTGACGGTTGCGTGAGACTCGGTGACGGAGGTAGCGCAGGCGATGGTTCGGACGTCTCTGAAGGCTCAGGTGCTTTGGATGCTACAGACGCGGCTGGTGGTACTGCCGATGATACTGATGGTGCGGTGCTGGCTGGCGTAGCTGGAGGAACAGATGCTGCCACTGCTGCAGAATATCGTATCGGTGGTAGTGGCGGTATCGCAGGTTTTGGCGCTGTTGCTATCGGCACCCCAGATTTTACGGCTGCAGACATGGGTTGGGCGGTAAAATTTGGCGCTGGAGGTAACTTGGGAGCTTCTGATTTCTCCAAAGTCATACGACGCAGCAATATGCTCTTCTTTGCTGTCGGACTCGACTCCTCCTTCTTATTGCTGCCTGTAGAAGACTCTTCGTCGACGGTTGACTTGCGGGGCATCCCATTGTCCCGTATGGGTGTTCGCTGTGCCGCTGTAGGTTCTGTGGTGCGGTCAGATATCCGCAAAATCAACACATGTATGAGGCTCACCCTCTGCCATTGACTCCGTATCATGACTGCTTTGGAGATCATCTTGTCCCATACCAAGCTTCTCCTCCTCCTCATGCAGATTAAGGTCGTCATAAATACCATCATCCTCTTCAAAGTCCTCCTCCTGTGGGCCAGTGAGATCTGGCTGCAGTCAGTTAGGACAGAACACACCGTATTGCTTTGCACGAAGTATGATATATCCTCTTTGAGTGCTTGGACCTTATCTGCTGGTAATGTGCCATTCTCCAGTAATCGCAGTACGATCTCCATGCGCCCGAGATGCCATTGTCTCCGCGTATTCAGGTCATCCAGCTCCTTTTGCCTATCATCCCCCCCGGTTTTCTTCTTTTTCGCCCCGCCTGATAGTGCCTCAATCTCTGCCTCTGTTTGCTCGATCTGTCGTTGCAGGTCCTCGACCATCGCTGATAGCCATTGTGATGCCTCCAACTTCTCCTTTTCTCTTGGATCGAGCTTCTGTGCTGCACTGAGGCCTTCCTTTGAGAATGCTTTCGTCTTCATCTCCTTCTCGCAGGCTTTGAACCGCTCCATTTGCTACCAGCAACAGTCAGCACTGCCGAACTGACGGGGACGCGGCACCACTTCTGTCTGAGCAGCGCGCCGCTCAGGTGGATAGTACCCACTGTTTCTATGAGCTTTCGGTTTTCGAGTAATGCTGACTTGTCCTTGATCTCATTGCTCGCTAACCATGTCTTGATCTGATCTCGTAGACGCTGGAGCTTCTTGATGTGCTGCTTGAGTTCACCTTCGAGCTTCTCTTTCTGTGTTTGACTTGTTGATGCTTGCATCTTCTCGTATACACCTTCGAATAGTTCGACACCTTCCGCTACCCGTTTTAGGGTACGGTCTATTTCCGCTATGGAATTGCATGTAGCGTGTCAGCGCAACGCAAGGGTACTGACCATGACAGTGACGCACATTGCAACTTTCGAGCTGCCATATCGAGAGCACAGAGGTAGCTGTTCCAGCGTGGTGAAAAGCAATATTTGTTGATATTTGTTGACAGTTAGTCGAAAGTGTACAAAGAAGAGAAGGAGACGCTGAAGCTGCAAGCCCTGTTCCTTTGATGCGAGTGGCCCAATTGAGGTGTCTCTGACAAGCCAGACGTGATTTGATCCCGCTGGCCTCTCGGAGCTTTTTTGAACATTCCAGGCGCCGTGCAGGAACCTATCCAAACTTGGCATCCGCTTCTTCAATCAACAATTTACTTTGTTCCTTCTCCCTTCCATGCTTCCCGATGAATGAAGAAGAACAAAAGAGAATAATTCGCTTGCACATCATGTAGTGTTCGTACAATGACACAAGTCATACTACAGAAGCATCTCGATAACCCAGACAATGTCAATCACCCTCTTCCTTTATACTCTTGCAGCCCTGAACATACAACTAGTCGTGACTATACGATAACCTCAGGAGCGACGGAGCTGTCGCTGTAGACCTGCCGCCTGAGATCGTCTGCGAGAGGCCCCATAACACGGTCAAACGCATCACGTGGCATCGAGACGACGCGCAAACCCTGATACAAGCGAGCGTCAGGACTTCCTGTAGCTACAACGCTGGCTGCACGAGGCTCGTTACGGAGCAGAGCCAGTTCTGTGCAACCAAGTCAGTTTGTCTAGTCCCCGTATTCATGAGAATAGACCAACCGCCAAAGAAATCGCCTTTCTTGTATAGCTTGACTGTACGCCTCTCCGTCCTTCCGTCCTCGCCCACAACATCCTTGACTGCAGCTGCGTTGCCCATCTCGACGATATAGAACCGATCGCCAATGTCGCCTTGCCTGATGACAATGTCGCCCTTCTGGAAGACGAAAGTATCGAGGCAATCAGCGATCTTGTAGCGTTCATACTGGCTTAGACTACGGAAGATAGGAACTGTGCTGAGGAATTGGTCGTACATCCGACGCTTCCTGAAAGCCGTGTCCATGAGGATGGTACGGAATGTGATGCGGTCGAGTGCCCATAAGATACAGGGAGTGATGGAAACGACAGTTGCAGCGCGAGTCACATTGTACATGAGGGCGAGTTCACCGAAAGATCCACTAGGCCCGACCTTCTGTACGAGCTTGCCGTAGCCATCGCGAGAGTAAACCTCCTCGGTCGTGTTGGGAGGGTATGCTTCACCGTCCCCCTGTTCATCGCGCTCGTCAAAGCTCGAAATGAAAATCTCCAAATTCCCGCTCTCCACGACATAGAAGAGGTTGCCAGCATCGCCCTGCTTGATGATCACTTCTCCTGCCTTTGTGTGCACTTCCTTGAAGGCGCCGTACACAGAGACCTCTTGCTCGGGATCAAGATCCTTGAATAACCATGCCTTCGAGATGCTGTCCTTGATACGTTTGAGCTGCTCTGGTGTCTTTTCGTAAAACGGGAGAATCGGCTTCTGACCCCCGGGCGGGAGGCTGATCGATTCGGCAGAGACGGAGCCTCGACGGCCCTGAACGAATCCTGCTTGACTTGGAGAGGGAGGGACGCCAGCGATGCGGGTGGGTAGACCGCTCAGACCTTGCTGGAACGCGCTGACAAAGGGGTAGGGAGCATGTACCGTCATTGTAGGGGTGCGAGGGATAGCCATAGTGAGACGAAGATATCGAAGTAGTAGAGAGGGACGATTGCGAAGAGGGCGCGGAACCGGCCAGGGAGGAAGAGGGGAGAGAACGAAACAGCCAACGAGGAAGAAGGATGGAGGAGAAATAGAGGAAAGGAGGCTCGCTCGCCAGTGCAGGCCTTTCCGCAAGTTGCTCGTAACGGGGGCTACGACTTTGTTTGAACCAGATAGGGTCTTCCAGAAGATCAAGTTGATTGAGCGTGATCAAGGAACAAAGGCGGGTTGCTGTAAGACGGCTGGCAGTCCTAAGCGTATACGGCCTAGAATCGTAAGGCCGCACAGTGTTCTTTCAGACTACAGTGAAATGGAAAGACCAAAGGAAAGTTGTAGTTGGCCTATGCTTGATTGACTGTCAAGGTCGTTGAGGATAAAGTGCCTCCTGTTGTAAGGTGATCGCGGAAGGTCCTTTGTTGCCACCGCGTGGCACCCGGGTAATTCCACGTGTTCTCCACGCCGTCATTGGTCAGAGAAGGCAGGGTTGCTTCCGCACATTTCGTTCCTGTGTGTAGGACCTCCTTATTGTTTGTCTCCCTCTCTACATTTGGCAATTCATTTCCTAAACAGATATGGCCGTACTGAAATATTACAGGAACATAACGAACGAAGAAGAAACAGAGGTGGGAACAACAGAAAATGGAATCTGAGAGCGCCGCACTCCTTATGAGGGGCGGCATACAAGAAAGCAAGATAGAACCGCGATTATTCAGCGTACAGTATCAACCTCTCGCCCGAGACGAACCATTCGACCATCTGTTCGTCGTTCTCTAAAATTGTGCCCAGATCTCCTGTTCCAGGCCGGTATTTGCTTCCCCGGTATCGTACACGCGTAACAGCCCCAACCCGCTCCCGGATCTTCTGCATTAGTTCGGCGAAAGAAACACGAGGATGAACGCGGATGGCGACGATGTCATCCGTTTGCGCGTTGAAAACTTTGATTTTCAAATACGCAGGTTGAGGTACATTTGCGGATATGGCTGGTGAAGCTGCCAGTCGTGAGGCCGACCACAGAGGTGCGGGCGGGTAGTCAGGGTTGTAACCCCCGGCACCATTCCCAGCTATCCTTCCATGACCGGCGCCACTCGATGCTCGTGAGCGCCCATCGCCTGGTTCCGTAGGTGGTGACGCCGATGTAGGTGCAGTGCTCAGACCACTCCGTCCACTGGATGTTCGCGGTCGCGTGCTATTGGTCGAGCTCGACTCGTGGTTGTGTAGGGACGCTTTCGCCATCTGTTGGGGTAGCGCCATCAGGGCACCGTCAAAGTCCTCGTCTCCGTTCGTAAGACCAGCATACTTCTGCGTATCTCCAGCACGCAGACTGAAGAAAGTCCATGCTTCGTCGCTTCGCAGGATGCGCTGGTGCGATCGACGAAGGTCGCACAACTGTCGTAGATAGATATCCAGCTCTGTCTGCCGTTGTGCGAGAACGACGTCGGTAACCTCTGATACCGGACCGGGCATAAACGGTAGTATGCGTTCTTCAAACGCAGCGGAGCCTTCAGGTGCCGAGCGCCCAGCTTCAACTGGGAAATGATCCAATAGTTGGATTTGCAGGGTGTAGAAGTCCTCGTACGTTCTGTACAGTGTGAGGTGTATACGGGATAGCTTAGAGCCACCGTCAGGATCTGGCTGCCAAACAGCGGGTATTTTGAAGTAGCACTCCTCCCGTTCGTGATGGAATGCAGTGACTTCGGCCGACAAGGGGATGCCAGGAGGTAATCGATACAAGACAGGTGCGCTGCCATCTTCTGTCGATGCGGGAGGGATGTTGGGCTGGTCGTAACCTTGGGAGGGACCGCTGGATGAGGGTTCGTCCTCAGTAGGGAAAGGGTATTGCCCGGTAGTTGCGAATGGACTATTTATAACCCCGGTTGAGTCTGCGGGTAAATCGAATTTTCCGAGCGGGATCGTCGCAGCTTTGTACTGCGCTGCCTTCTGTTTCCATTCTTCTACCTTCGGAATCTCCCCACGGTCGATAAGCTCCTCGACGTTGGCTATCGGTTTGTCTGTTGAGGGATCACGGATCTCGACAAAGCTGACTGGTATCAACCCTGCGCCTCCGAGGCGACCGATAGGTTTCGCGACGAACCACTCGCGGTTGGATTGAGCGATGACAAGAATTGACTCGCCGGCTTTGCAGTCTAGCTCGTCAGCGCGCTCCGCTTCGAAGTCGTATTGTACAACAGCGTAGAATGCGCCTTTGCCTGGTCGACCAGGCTGGGAGGATGCGTTCGAGAGGGGAGGGGAATTGGGGTTGCTCATGTTGGAGGGAAGGTTACCAGCGGTAACAGACGTTCTTGCCCTATAAAAGAGTCAGTACGAGCTCAGAAGCGCCAAGAACGGAGCACGGCAACCGCGTGAACGCCGCGCACCACAGAGATGCTCCGTGTAGCGCTTGCACATTCACGGATGCAAGACTCTGCAAGGACTCACCCTCCTCTTCCAAATGTCTCGAAGTACTCTACAGGCACCAATCCCCTTGCTCCTGTCAAAGGGTTGTGTGCTTCATACCAGCCCGAGCCATTCATTTCATCTTTGACGTAAAAGAAGTCTCCTTTTAAGAATGAGAGTTCCTGGGGAGCATTGGAGCGGTAATTTGACAGGGCGCGAATGACCTTCTGAGGAGGAGGAGCGGACTGAGCAGGGCGGGATATGGACGAGGGCACACGTTGTTGTGATGTGTGTGACGAGTCTTTGTTGAGGGAACGTCGAAGTGCTTTCATATTGCTGATTCAAAGATGTACGTTAAATGTACGGGATTGTTAGAAAAGAAGGTAGATGATGGTGGGAAGAGGAAGAGAATGGGGGGATATACGTTGCCAGGCTGGGTGAAAGCCAACGGGGCATGTGCGAGTGATACGAGTGAGTGACCAGGGACTACCCTGTTGTCTCTCTCTTCTTCTCCCCTTTTCCCCATATCAAACACTTGTCCCACTTAATTGATCCCGGATCTCATTTTCCTTGTTCTCCTCTAACCCCCACAACGGCACCGCTATCACCCTCAATCTCCATTCATTCACCGTCATTGCAGAGAAAGAGATTTTCAGGGGAAACTGCTGTTTGACGCATACACCGAATGCGCATTGTAATCTGGTTCATCTGGAAGACACCGCTAACACCATGCTGTGGTCGTCGTCAGGAGCAGAGCTCGAGGGCATAACATCGGCTCTAACCCGCCTAGGTCTCGTGAACAGCGTTAGGTTGACACAGGCCCCGCCAATTAGACGCTCCTATGTCGAGCTTGTGTGATGATGAGGGAGTGACACTCGTCATCACTTTAATGATTGTCTCATCGTTATCACGTACCACCCATCCATAGGGTCTCCTCTTCTCCCTGTGGCAACTCTTTCCCCGCTACACTTTTTCGCCCGTGGAATGGTACGGCAAGCCAACCCTCGGCGAAGGATTCCCCTATGTAGAGCAGAGGCGCCGATGGTGTGGCGCAGCCGTCGATCTTCGTGGATGACTACGATGCACATCGCCACACCGAGATCCCAAACGTAAAGGTCGATTAGGCGGAAACATCGGGTATTCCTGTTAGTTTGGCATCGCGCTGAGTACTTGACCGTTTGACACATAACCGCATCGCTTCTTCTCAACCACCGATACTCATGAATGAACCACTCGAGGGACTCTCATGAATCCATGCTTTCAGTGCTATGTACTTGTAAGATCGGTCTATCTTTCCCGAGCAACGGATGTCTCATCAACTTGGTATGTGACAAAATAACAATCCGAATGAGAATTGTAGCGCTTTTCGTCATGTTATTACAAATGACAGAAATTCCTTTACACATTTACTTTTAATCCAGTTGACAAAGACATCGTAAATGGGACACTCATCCCACTCTCACGCACCATGGCCAGGTGCTGTAGTAAGGACATGTACACCCTTGCATCCCTTCCAGCCGCCCTCGACGTACTTATTGACCACCGCCGTAAGTTCCTCCATGACGACAGCGACATCAGCTTGCTTCTGCTTGAAGTCGATCGTGTGGTTCTCGAGCGTCTCCCATCCTTGGATCTGGAGGGCCTTGGTCGGATCCTCGACCTGTTGGCCAACCTCGATACCCGTGCAGCCGATAGCCTTGCGCACACCGTCCAGAGCCTTGTCCCACGCGTGGAAGTACTCTTCGAACTTGGTGTCCTGCTTCAGCTGGATGGTAACCCATTCGACGACGGGCGGGATCTTGGGCAAGGGGCGGAAGAAGCGGTAATGTGCCATCTCGCTGTCGCCGACGGTGGAGCCCTCTCGGACCTTCTTAAACTCGGCAAATGCGGGAGAGCCACGGAAGCCCTCCATATGTGCCTGGAGAGAATTCATCAGCACATCTTCCATCCAGTGTCAAATGGCACGCGCACCTCGACGGTCTCCCATTCGATAAGCCTCACAGACTCGCCCGGCTTCTCACGCTTGTTCCCCTCCATCACGATGCTCACGAATCCAGGTGCCTTCTTCTGGATCTCGATCGCCTCTGTGAACTTCTTGATCGTCTCTTCCCTATTCTCCGTATTGGGATGGTAGGTGATGGCCTCGTAGACCGTCTTCGTCGGTGTAAGTGACATTTTAATTGATATTGCAGGTTAGAAATGCAGGGGGAGAATCGGTTTCCGGTTTGAGGAGTACGCGACAGCAGAGGGTATTATAGTGAATCGACTTTCCCCTTAATTCTCCATTAGGAATCCATCCTCCCCCGTCAGGGGAGTGGAGGCCCGGACCACTCCCCCGCAAGCAAGGAAGTGCACTCATATGCCGAATGCCGCGAGGTTGTTCCGGAGATACCGAAAGCGTGCTCCGAACGTATTCGGAGTGGGCTATTCTGGGAGCGGCCGACCAAGCGAGAGCCGTGTTTCCCGTAGGCTGATATTACATGAAGCTAAGACATAATAGCCGGATTGGAAGAGACTATTGCAGAGAATGAAGACCATTAGCAAGAAGAGGCGCGATTTTCCCCGGCGTCCAGGTGGTCGTCCACTTTCCAAATGCGGGAGGCACATCGGTGGGCAATTGCCGAATGCGGGACTCACGGTGTCGGAACGGCGGCCCTCGGCCCGACCCATTTCAAGCAAGAATGTTGTGAATTAATTGTATGACTACTACAATGTTATTATGTCCAATGCAAAATGTAATGTCTAGATACGATCGAAGGCTCGGGATCATGAAGCGAATTTGCCTTGTCGCTCAAACACTGCTGACTTGCGCGGCGCAGGTGCCTTGCCCTTCTTGTCCTTCCCCGAGCCGTTCTGAAGCTGCGCCTTGTTCTTAACAAAGCCGGTAACTGCTGCGCCACCACGGCTGGTATTTGCGACGTAGCTGTCCTCTTTACGGAACTTCTCTAGCCTCGCTTGCTGCTTCGCGTCCAATTTGACTGATCTGCAAGAAAGCTAGCATGACTGTGAGTAGATGGTCGCGTGGAGTCGTAGGAAGTACACTCACCAGGAGGTCATCATCGTTGCTCGCTTTCGGTGGTTCACGGGCTCTCGGACGGACGGCCATGCTGGGGTAAGAATGACGTACATCTTCCCCGTCCGAATCTCCTTGATCAACCCAGGAAGCGTCGTCTGGGTTCATCAATGGAGAGATTGACTCCTTGTTCCTGGCAGCCTGCAACAGCTCATGCCGAAGCTGAGCCGCGCTAACCGTCTCTCTGACACGGCTGTTCTCGTTGTTCTCCTCGTCAGAATCGCCCTCATTGCCGGAATCTTCGGGAGGAGCGGCATTGAGATGGTCGAACTCGTGATCATCCTTGGCCACGACGGTGTTCTGGTATGCTTCATAGAACGCGCGTGTTTGCGGATTCTGGGCTGCATAGATGTAAATACTCCACTAGCCTAGGTACCCGGGAAGAATACTTACCAAGAGCTACCAGTTCGGGAGCACCATCTTTCCTCCGGAACATGCCTGGAACGTAATGTCGTCGCTCGCCTTCATCATCGGAATCGCTGAGGAAATCATCACCCCGTCGCCGCATGCGTCTCTTACCCTCAATGGCATCCATATGATACTTCTCCAATGCAGCATCATCCTCGGCTTGATGTTCCGCTACCTTCTCAAGGACTTTCTCCTTGGCAACGGTCTCTTCATTCATCACTTTATCATCCACGAGCTCTGGCAGTAAAACATCGTCCTCAGAGTCTTCGTCCGACTCGTGTTCACCCTTGGAGATGTTGAAACCCAGCATCGCTTCTTCCTCTTCCTCTTCGGCTTCACCTTCCATGAAAAGCGACCTGATTTTCTTTCGCCGGGCCTTCTTTGCCTCGCGCCTTGCATTTCTACGCATGATCTCGAAGGCGTCCAGCTCTCTTGGAGCAGGGGGCATGTTCTCATCTTGATCAGTGGTGGACATCTCGTCGTTCGATTGGGTTTCCAATGATTGATCATGTGCTTCAAAAGATGGTTGATTTGTTGATTCCACATCGTTCGCGTCTATATTCGCATTCTGGAAAAGTAACCCATCCATATTGAAGTCGTCCAGGGAGTTCAACCCATCCCGCTGAGTGAAGTCATCCATCTGGAAGGATTCGGCCAGAACCAAGCGGCTGGCTTCTGGTCGAGACCGCGCGTTCATCTCTTTGCTCGCAGCACGGAGAGCATCTTGCAGACGAGACTCCTGGTCTTCTTGGAATACTTCTTCCTGTAGCTGAATCTGTTGTGTCGACAGATCAACAGATGGTAGGAGATTTCGTGGAACAACATTTTCCAACTCTTCGGCAGCCGCGCGCCGTAACTGTGAAAGAGGACCAGACACAACCTATAAGTATCTTTGATCAGCGGTAGCACTAGTCTTTCTGGAGGGTTGCTCACCTGGGTTTCGTCGAAGAATTGAGAGAGACCCCCACCCCCCAGACCATTGCTAAATGCTGGGTCAAAGGCATCGGGAGCACTGTCTCCCAACGACGCAGCAAATCCAGTGATGAAATTGGATGGTGCATCGTCTTCCTCAAGTGGAACATCTGGGAACAGACAACGTGCTATAGGGACTGCAGTTGAATCACCGTTATTGCTCTCCGTGTCATCGTCTAGCAGAAGGCCAACCCCATTCGAGAGCTTGCGTTTCTTCCGGGGTGGCCATAGCGGCTCGCCATCGCTGTCTATAGCGTCTTCTGCCTGTATCACATCAATCTGCATCTCGCCGAGAACAGATCTCGAGCTTCTCCGGGAGGGGGCAACGTTTTCTTTGTTCTCGTTATCATTTTCCTTGTTGCTATCGGCGTAGGAAGGTGATCGAGCCGACACCTCATTATCTTCAGGTGCGGGTGAATTCTCGTCATCCTCATCCATTGCTTCATCTTCCACCAGGGCTGGCGCAGTTTTGTTCTCGTCATTCTCCATTTCGGATTCTTCACCGGAGGGCGCCCAGTCCTCGTCACTCCCACTGTCCTCACTAGGTTCTGCAGCAGCGACCTGTTTCTCCAGGGCTTCCTGAATAGCCGCACTGATATCCTCTTGCTTGAGTTGTCTCTTCCTGCCGCCGCGGCTCTTCCACTCTTCCTCCTTACGTTGTGTCTCCTCAGTGGTGATTCTCCTCGCCTTCTTCAGCAAGCTCCGATTCAATGCGTCACGATTGATCACCGGATCCTTCTTGCCATTCTTGCGTGCTGAAGGGGGGAAGGACATATCAAAGTGCGGTTTGGCAGCGCGGTTGAGCTGAGAATCTGTGGGAGTCTGTCCTACATGGTGTGATTTGCGACCGGGCATTGAATGAACGAGACGATCCATGAAACCCTTCTTGGCAGAACCTGGACCATTCTTTACCAATTCAGGCTCTTCTTCTTGGATCTCTATGTCGCTGTCACTGTCGGCGTCCTTCTCGCGTAGCAGTTCTGCGGCAGTCATGACAGACTGCTCTTGGCGTCGCTGCAAGAGGGCAAGTTTGTACTGTCGCCTTTTCTCATCTTCAGCTCTCATTGCTTGCAGTCGTCGCTCACGGTCTTCAGCGAGGACAGCGTCAGCATCGGGAAGCTCCTCTTCAGGGTCATTCGAAATAGGCAGAACAGGGAGAGGCGCCGACATAGTTCTCTGCATGGGCAGAGCTGGTGTGGATGAAGCCTCAATCGGTACTTGTGAAGATGCTGGCGCCGATGAAGATGGAATAGTGGCAGCGTACGCAGTTTTCAGGACATTACGAACGAACGGGCTCGATGCGTCAATTATTGGGTCATCATCAATAGGGGCAGCGTTGGGCTTTACTGCCACATATGGCTTTGAAGGACGGGGGAGTTTCTTCAGCTGAGTCGTCCCTGGTGTGTCTGGGAGTTCACTGCTGCCATTGGCCATTCTGTTACTCCAGATCAGACTGAAGACACATTAACTTAGAGAGCACAACTCACTGTATTGTCTTGAACAAGCTAGTTAGGCTGAGTCGATTCTCGTAGCGAGGGATGCTCGCGTCTTGTGCAGCAAGCAAGCGCGCGGTCTCCTTATTCATTTGGTCAATCTCCTTCTTGTTCAGCTTCTGGAAAGATTCTTAAGGATCGAAGCGAACAAATGGAGAGAAATAACCGACCTTGGGCTTCTTCTTGGGCTTTTCCTTGTCACTATTCTCTATATCACCGATAACCGCATTAGCGTCTTCAGTGGTAGGTCCTTGCTCAGGTGAAGGGGTTTCAGATGCTTGACCAAAACGGCGAGAAGAGGCCAAGCTCTTCAATCTTTGTTTTCGGTTTGGTATAGCAGGCGACTGCCGACCAACAGAAGCTGCGGGTGAGAAAAGTCCCTCGAGTTCGTCATGATCAGAGGGCTTGGAGACAGCTTTCAACGGTGAAGAATCAGGAGTATTAGCAACCGGCGCAAGAGCGTTGAACGGTGATTCAAATAGCTTGGAGGGACCCTCGGAGGCACCGCTCGATTCGTCTGTCTCACGTGTGCTGGCTCGTGGTGGGGATACCAAGGCGGAAGACGGGCTCGGAAGGCGGTCGCTTGTCGGTCGCTTCGAAGTTGTTCTCGGCGGAGATGTCGATTGCATGGAGGATGAGGTTAGAGGGGGCAATGATCCGGAGAAGATGTCTGCGTGCATTCGGGGCTTCGTATGGACAGTTGCACGAGGTTGAGCTTGCGGGCCTTCTTCATCGTCCGAGGCGTCCAGAGCAGCCAGCTTCTTTCTCCAACCCCAGTTAAACTGAGTATTCCCATCGCCATCCGTATCTCCATCTTCTCCCTCGTCACTCTGCAGTAACCTAGGCTTGCTTGATGTCGCTCTCACAGAATTATCGTCGAGAGGGAAGGAGCTGTCCTCCGTCAAGGTCGAACTGCTCGAAATGATCTTTGGGGGCGAGCTGGGCGGCAGGTCATCTTCCTGCTGCTCCTCAACTACCGGTATCGAAGGCTTCGGTCTTCCGTAGGTGACGCGAACCTTGGCTTTGGTCTCCATCGCGTGCTGGGAAGATGTACGCAGCGGAGAAGCTTGACGCGTAGGCTCCGAGTCGGGTACTATGATGTCGTTCACCACAGAACGCGACATCGACCTCTCTTAGACCAACGCAGATAGGAACTATTAGTGGATGAGGTCGTCGTTGCAGAAAGCAAGCAGTGTTGCAAGACGGTAACCGCGTCTTGGACGCGTTAGTGGAATGGGATGTCGGTGCGGGTACAGTCGCGCGCAATTTCGCATCCCATACATGGAGGCACGTGAGAACACGTGAAACCACAATTATTGTTTACTTTCCGTGCTTTCATTTCACTCAATTTAGCCACTGGAATGCGTCACCAAGGCCTTACCGACAGGCAGCTCACTACATCTTATTGCATCAGAGGCATATAACATAGTGACCCATACATCATGAAGGACTACGGAAACCCAAACACCGCTGAAGCACGAACCTTGAGCGCACCCAAGAACGACGCCTTCTCCTCGAATGTCTGGAAGGCACCATGGCCGAACTTCGAAGATGTGTCGATGAACTTAAGTTGGATCTGCTCGAGGTCCCTCCTGCTTGTGTGAACCATGAGGGACTTGCGGATGGTGATTACGCGCTTCTTGGTACCTGGAATGGAGCCCTTCAGCATCAGGTAATCGTTCTTCACGATACCGTAATGAGGGAAACCACCCATCGGGGTGATTGTCTTTTTAGTAGTGTCCGCCTCGGTGGATGCATTGGACTCGTCGGCACCCGACCCAATTCGGTAAATCTTCTTGTTCAGCTCCGTCCGGTGATGGTAGCCGTTCTGACCAGCACGTGCGACAGAGAACATGACCTTGGAAGGATGCCATGCACCGATACAAGCGACCTTGCGCAGACCCTTGTGCGTCTTGCGTGGTAAGCGCTTGGTGCCCCACCTGTGGGTCACACCCTCGAACCCGTGACCCTTTGTGACGGCGATCACATCGACACACTCGTCCTGCTCGAAGATGGTGGAGATCTCTACTGGCTTCTCGAACAGGCCCTTTGCGAAGTCGACTTTCTCCCCAACCGAGCCTCCGTTAACCTGAATCTCCATCAGGTGCGCCTTCTTCTGCCTAAGGCCAGTCTTCGACAGTTGGGTATGGGCGAGAACACGGACGACAGTGCAATACTTGCGAATGCGCTCCAACTCGCGAGCAATGCTCTTGCCGCCGTTCTCAGCATGCTTCTTCGCGTAGCGGGTGAAGGCCTTCTTCTTGCTCTTGTACCAGTTCTTGTAGAACCGGCGCTTGAGTTCGTCGGAAAGATGGGAGGCCCAGACAGTGGTGAGGGAACGAAGACCGCGGGGTGTCTCGACATAGCCGACAACACCAACAACGATCATTGGTGGTGTCTCGAGGATGGTAACGGCCTCGACGACTTCACGCTTGTGCATCTTGGAGCCTGGACGGTCGAGATCACGAACGACATGGGTCATGCCGGCCTTGTAGGCCATAGCGGCGGTCAGATGCGGCTTCTTCTTGGGGTCATCCTGGAGTAGTGTTACAACATGTTCAAACCGTTTAAGGGATTACCAGCATACCTTGGGGAAGGACTTGACCTTACCGCGATGCCTCGCAGCACGCTTGCGAGGGAGGAAACCGAGATTCCCGTGACGGGGGGCTTCGTACTTACGATGACTGAACAAACAATTATTTCAGCTGGACTACTTTTCATATACAGCAGCGATACGTACCTCATTTTTGCCTTGCGAGGGGGGTTGGCGTGCGGTGTCGTAGGCACTTGGGACGACGACCTAAAGAGTGAACGGGACCAAATCCTCTTCAGCCACTGAAATGGAGAACTGTACAGTTCATACATTCTAGTGGCTGTGACCCCCTGATAAGCGCCCACCAGGGTTACTCACGTGCTAAATCGGAATGTCCTCGCTTCCGTATAAGGCTGTGCTCCCAGCTGTCATTAGCCGTTAGTCAGATTGCTCCCGTTTCCTCAAGGGGCGGCAGGGGATTTCGTTCCAAGGCAGACAGCTGGTACTCGATAGCTCCTTCGGTGACCATCATGGTGAGTGTTCAACAATCCTTCTCGACGACGGGGGCACTGGTATCCTGCATACTCTGGGAGGTCTGTCCAATGGCCTGGCAGGCTGAGGAACATTGAGATGCAGCGGAGCGCGATGGATGCCAGTCACCGTCGTCGGATGACTCGTATCCTGCATCCTCAAACCTCGTGCTCACACGTCCTCTAGGCCAAAGCAAAAGCAGCAGCATCCTCCGGTGGCGGAGGAAAGGCAGCCAAGAAGAAGAAGTGGTCCAAGGGCAAGGTCAAGGACAAGGCGCAACACATGGTTACGCTCGACAAGCCCACCTACGACCGTATCATGAAGGAGGTCCCGACCTTCAAGTTCATCTCTCAGAGCATCCTTATCGAGCGCCTGAAGGTGAATGGCTCTCTCGCACGGGTCGCCATTGCCCACCTCGAGAAGGACGGTCTCATCAAGCGTATTGTTCACCATCACGGCCAATTGATCTACAGTGCGTCTTTCATCTTCTATCCTTATCATCTAGTCTAACTAGCGATACAGCACGATCAGTAGGCGGGAAGGATGAGTAAAAGGCGGGAAGGGCTTCGTGTTTGTCTCGCATGCATGTATGACCCCAGCGTCGAGCTGGTAGTCGTGTCAAACCTTGTTCGCCAGAGGCGAGGGGTGAAGACGATGTTATCCGCATATGCTCCGTATGACCAATGGCATTGGCTATGATAACAACCTCGCTCAACCTGTGTTACGACTTCGTTTCGGGCGGTATTGTGTGCTGCCTTTTGAAGAGGTTACACCGATGAAGCGGTGAAACCGATGTCCCCATGGCTGACTTGGCCCGCGTTTGCGCAGCGCTCATGACATGCTTATTAAGGGGTATCATTTGGATGATATACAACCGTGAGAAATACACCTCGTCCCTTGCCCAATACACCTTGCTCCATCAGACTCATCCCCAGGCAGCGGTGGAACTAATCGCCGTGTTAGCCGCATCTCCTGACTGCAAGGCGTACATACCTGTAGTTGACAATGAGATGTCCTTCTGTTGCAAAGCACTAACCATACATCAGCACGCTTGCCGTCTGTAAAGTACGAAAATGACCAACCTTGTACAAATTCGCAACCGTATCGTCTGGTGTGGGGGAGAACGCGCTATTAATATAGGTGAACTACCCATATCCCCGTCCATGAGCCTACACCCCAACAGCACACAAGGACTGGTACATACCAGCGGGTCCGCAGCTTTCCACCCTAGCTCTTTTCGCAGGAATTGGATAACAGCTTGAAATCGGTTTGAAGCCGTGATACGGTAGTAGTTCTGTCGCATTATTGGGGCGTTGCCGATTGCTTTGAACCGGACTACGACTGTCACAAGTACCGCAGAGAGCAGAGAGCACCAATAGCATGAAAGCAAATAACATCAACACGGAAATCTATCAGTATATAGAGGGAGGGGCAGCAAGATCAGACGGACCTTTGGTCATATCCTTCTGCCGATAGGCCTCCAACGCTCCTGCCACACCAGGCGTACCGCTCGAGGCGATAGAGGGTGTCGGGCCCACAGGGGGAGTGGAATCGTCTATTGGTAAGAGGGCCATTGTTTCCCCTTGCTCAGAGATGACAGATGATGAGGTGAACCGAGGGAGACAAGAGAAGGAGGCGTCTACTCGTAGAGTCGAGAAGAAGAGAACGGAGCGCGTCTGTTATTGGTCAAATGTTACGTAATCATTGTCTGCAGGGCGGATTTATCCTCCATCCAAAGCTATTAATTGGTCGCCCACCAGATACACTAGTAAACTTTATCTCTAGATAAACATATGACAGAATTCGTACATAAATAGGGTGCAGTCCACTCGTGTCGAGAATATATATGATCGTAATGCAGTGTCTTCTGTCCTCGTTTTGTCATCTCGATATCTGCAAGTCATTTCTCATACCTCACCTCTCACACGCCCTCTTCATGCTCCCAAGCGATTTCCCTCTGCCGAATGTCTCCCCTTCCCCTGTTCTCTTGATCCCGCTCACCTCCGTCACTCTCTCCATCCCTGCCAAAACGGGTACCCCTTTCCCTGTCCTGCTCCGCTCTTCCCGCCTCACTCTCACTCTCCACCTCACGGGCTCTGCCATCCAAGGATCGCTCAACTCTAAGACTCTGAACTACCGCCACGGCTGATACGCAAGCCATCGCCAGCCATATGAGGTTTCCTCCAAGGAGGTTGTGTTCTGCTGAGAAGGCGAACAGGGAGCTGTATTCCCAGCGCCGGTGATGACACAAGAGTCGCGCGGGAGGCCGGAAATACGCGAAAGAAGCAGAGAAGCTCACAAGTCAGCCTGGAAATCTGTAGAGACAGGAAGAACGTACGAGACACCCCAAGGCCCAATAGTCCTCGCAAAGCTCGTCACCATCTGCGACATCCCATACGTGCTTCCCATCCCGGCCCGTGACGGGGCGGCGCGCTTGACTAGCATCATATTCAACCTTCATGCGGTTAGTAAACGTGATCAGTGGTATGGAGGAACGCACGGGTAGACCATGGCTGCAAGCCTGCCCATGAGTAACAAGCCTCCCGCACCGACAATCGTCCCCACGTCTACATGGCCACGCTTCCAATGTTCCCCGCCTCTCGACCGCAGCCAGCCATTCAGTGCTGGCGCGTAAGCATACATCCCCATCGGGAACGCCAGGAGCCAGGGGTACATCTTTATCCCGAATCTGCGTTCCATTGCTGGAAAGAGGAATAGATGGACGCATGCGCCAACAAAGCCAGCGGAGGCGAGGAGATATCCGATCTGCGCGTCGGAGAGGGAGAGCCCGCCTGCGCGGATAGACGTGAATGCGAAGAGGGGGAAGACGACGTCCCATGCTTGGGTGGTGAGCATCATCATAAATGCAGTGACGAATACTGTGGGTATGCCGGGAGAGCGAAGAATCTGCCATGCTGTGGGCTGGGGAGCGGGGGCGGGGAGAGTGCTGTAGGATGGCTGGAGTTGAGGGGAGCGGTCTGCTGAAGGAGGGGTCGTATGTTTCCGAGGCAGCGTCTCCCGTAAGAATAGGCTTGTGACGATACTGATGCCTGTGGTTCCTGCACTGGCGAGGCATGGCAGAAAATAGGGGAATTGGGTCCAAAAAGGCGCTGAGAAGGTGTCCGGGAACTGCTCGGCGGGGCGGGAGAGGGTGCCCCCAAAGGTGGGCCCGACAATGGAACCGAGCGTCCACATGAGGCTGTAAAGCGGAAAGGCTGTGACGAGTGAGCGGATATCTTATGGTTCGGAACAAATGAGGCGCACCTTGGCTCTCGTTGCTCTCATCCGTGACCTCGCTGATCATCGTCTGTATGACGGCGCTGTTCCCACTCAGCCCCCCAGCCAGGCATCGGGCGAGAATGGTGAGCCACAAAGAGCGTGATAGGCCAAACAGGAGGGTTGCGCCTGTTACCCCTAAGAGTCCAATGAGGACTACCGGTTTCCGTCCTATGCGATCTGAGAGACGGCCCCAAAGTGCGACTGTGAGTAGCTGGACGAGGGCGAAGACTGTCGATAGGTTAGGTGGGGAACACGGGTATGCAAATGGAGACGTACGGGCTTCAATGAGCCCACTAATGAACCCCACATCGCTTTCAGTCTTCGCATATCCAAATTCAACGCACAAATCGTTGATGTAAGGAAATATTTGTGATGAAGCGACTGGTTCTGCGAGGCGTACGATGCAGATGAGTGTTAGCTGAGCGATTGGGAGTGGAGTGCGAGTCTTTGGGTGCGAGAGAAGAGCTGTGGATTCTAATGGTGAAGGGGGTGCTGTTTGGATGTTTACATTGGCGGATTGTTGCTGTTTGGACGTGCCCATTGTCGAAGAGAGTAAAAAGATAAAGAAAGTAGAGTGTGATGTAAAGTAATTAATGTTGGAGTAATATAGACAACAGAATATCACGTGCGAAGAAGCATGGTCAATTCAACACATCGGGGAGAACGTGTGTTTCGGCTCCGAGAGGGAGTTTATCCGTCGGCGTTTGTATATCGGTGCTAAAAGTTGAAAGCCTCCGTGTATGAGAGAAGGGCACACACAGATATCTAAGTGCTCGGCGTCGACAGCGTCAACGACAACAACCACGACGACGACGGTAACAACAACGGCCTCCCGCCCTCAAAGGGAAATCATATGCCGACCTGCCCGCCCAAGGCCTGGCGATTGCACGACTCATCCCCGCGGCACTCGCACGCGCATCTACAGTCACACGAGCCAATGCTATCAACAGTCATCTCCTAACCAGAAGGCTGCATTTAGACGACGTGATTGTGTCGCAGGGGAAAGGAGAGACCGGGGAGATGTCTGTGCAGAAAAGGGGGGTGCAAGATCAAGAGACATTGGACATTCCTCAGTCGATTACAAGTCAGAGGAGGCCTGCTTGGGCCAAGTCTGCAGAAGTGTGGGCAGGAGGGGATGTGGGAGAGCGACTGAGAAGGAAAAAACAGAGAATCGACGCACTGAAGATTCTTTTCAGCATGAGAGAGCCACATTCGGGAATAAAGAAGAAGAAGCGAAGACCTGCCGAGATACGAGAAGGCGAAGAACTTGTTGCGGCCCTGCCAGGACGTATGTTCCAAGCCCCTCAAGAGCTCGTGGATGTCCGACACGTCGTCAAAACACGACGGCGAGAATCCATTCGACAAGGGTATCACGCGGAAGTCGACTACTCCCGTTACTCAGGTTCATTACAGGAGCGCGAGACCAACGCATACGACCCTCAGCTTCTCCATGTCCTATACACCGCACTCGCCTCTCATCCCCCACAGCCTTGGCCACTCCCCTCACCTTCTGCCTCCCCACACGTCAAGGCCTTCATTTCCTCCCACGCCGACTCCATATGGCACGCCTACCACGCGCTCGCTGCCTCCCACCCCTTCGCAGGAAGGCATCTGCAACCCGCGACCCTCCACCGGATCGCCATGCACCTCGCCAAGTGCCGCCCACGCACGCGCGAAGGGTACCTCCGCCTCCTTTCTGTGATAAACGACCTGCGAAAAGGCAATCAGGTAATAACCACCTTCGAGTGGAACACCTTGATGGATTTTGCGGGGAAGCCTTGGCCTACCCCTACTTTGGAGGATTGGGAATCGAGTCTGGCAGTGTATCGAGATATGCTGAAGGAATGGAGAACGAGACGACTGGATCATAAAATCGTGGAATCTGGCCCCAAGGGTCAGTTTCATCGGGGTACTAGCACAGATGGAGAAGAAGACCCGGATGACCCTGGGCGGCCCGACATCATCACCTATAACACCCTTCTTTCTATCGCCGTTCGGACAAAGGACGAAAATGCCATCGCACACGCCATTTGCCTCTTGTCGCCACACAAGGGCGCGCCCTCTCCCTTGCCACTTCCAGACAGTGTCTCCCTCCTCACGCTTGTTTCACACTACACCTCGCTAGGCCAACCTGAGCGGGCTCTCAACGTCCTCCGACAGGTACTCACGCTCGGCACTCCAGTCACTATCGGCGCACTTAACCAGATCATGTGGGCCTACGCACGCAACGGCGCCGTCAACGTTGCGCTTGAGGCATATTTCGCCTTACGTGCCCATCAGGCAGATCCACACACCAAAGCATGGAAAGCCGCCGTCCCCTCCTGGAAGAAGAACCCCATTCTCTCCCTACCCCAACTCCGATTCTCCCGCGGGATCGCCCCCGATACTGTGACATACAACATGCTCATCCAGCAGCTATGTTACGAGGGCCGGCTATCTGACGTCCTCCGCCTCTTCAGAGCGATGGTGACCCCTCCCGCGTCGCTTGCACCCACCATGGAGGTTTTCCGCAGCATCTTCCTCGGGTTTGCTCGGCACGCTGGTGACCCCGATCGCATAAGGAGCACCTCTTCCCTCGGCTTAAAACTCATGACCGCCCAGGGAGTGCAGCACACCACACGCCAGCTTGGAGAGATGTTGGACCGTGCGCTCAGCCTGCAAGGGACAAAAGAGACCGCTGCACGAGCTGATCGAGCGCGCACATGGTCCCTTGCCACGCTGGATCAGCTGTTCCAGAGTTTTATCAGCCTCGACTGGACGACCCCGCCAAATGCCTACGTCCTGTATTGGATAATAATGGGATATACCAAGGCGAGCCGGAGCGACCGGAAGAAGCTGGGGGAAGTCTGGCAGGCGTTAGAGGACAAGTTTTCCCATATGCCGCAGTGGAGGTATCGCGTTGGACTGGGGAGGATGGTTAGGGTCATTCACCAAATCAAGGCTGGGGTCGAAGAAGAAAAGAGGAGGAATCAGGATGCCTGGGTCAGGGAGGGCGGAGAGCCCCCGCCAGTGACGTACCAGCCGAATGCTCAGCCAGCTCACGAAGCAGAAACCGACCTGTGCGAACCAGAGTATCCAGAGTTCGACTTTTTTGACTCGCAGCAGCAGCAGGCTGACGCGGTTGAGGAGACGACCTTCACTTTTCGATATCCTGGGACTGTCGTTGGAGAGGAGAAACAGGGCGGGCAGAAGGGCCATAGAGGAAGAGGGAAGGAGAACCTGCTCTAGTTGCGGCATCTATCGTACAACAATGTTTAATAGCACACTCTTGCATACCTCTACTTCTGCGGTCGCAAGTCCGAGTCCGTCTGCATTTGCAGGCTCCAGGCCGTCTGTAGTACATCGCTCTAGTCATCTAATTGTCCTGCAGCTTGACCTGCTCCTCCCGCCATTTGATGAACTCGTCCCACTGCACACCACACTTCCTGCTCTGGTACCGTCTCAACTTGATACTCCTCCTGAGATCCTCCGTGATTCTTCCGTCCCAACCGGCCTTTCGGATCGCGCTGTCGATGGCTTCGATCTGGGTCCAGCCCTGCTCAGGTGCTACCTCGGGGAGGTACGTCGCATTGAGGTTCTTGAACTTATGCTGTCCGGAACCGCGACTCCACCAGTGCCCCCTCCCACGTTCACCGGGAGGAACGGGTGTACCACTGTGGGAAGAAAGGGGGGAGGGGTCGAGGGAGGATGCCGGAGGGAGAAGGGATGGGTGAGGGAAGGATATGTAGATCCCGTGCGTGCCGATCGTCCAATCGAGGTAGTTGCGCGCGTCTTCAAAGTCTGTCAAAAGGGAGACTTGGCATTCGAGTCGTTCCAGCTCTCGCTCTGTGATGGGGTTGAACCGACTGTCCTGACGACCACTGGGGACGCTACGTTAGTAATACTATAAGTAACGGCAAGGAGTAGATTGACGCACGCAATTAGGGCATAATCCTTGAGCCCTTCGTAAAGCTCTTGGGGCTCAAAGTTGCCAATACATCCTCTCAGTCTCGCATGTCCACCTGGTCTCGAGCTCTTTATATTCCAAGTCACAAATAAGGGGCTACAACACGCCATCAAAGTCGTCAGTGCCAATCAACAACCACGCATAGGGAACAGACGCACTATTTGCCATCCTCAAATGCGGGAGGAATCATCTCCATCTCGTCATGGAAGAACGTGTACAGTGCATCACAGCAGTAAAAGCAATGCAACTTTGTGCAGGTGTCATTCTTCTCATCAATCTCGACTAACTCGTGCTCTTGCTCCGGGATGTCACCATTAGCAAAGCCGTTCTCCTTGCCATTGGGAGCCATGGAGCAACAGAAACGTAAGAATGGGAAAATGGTGTCAAGCTGAGCTAGATGTTAAGATGAAGAGGGGGAAGAGAGGTTGAGGAGAGCGCGGAGGGCATCAACGCTGTGTCAGCCCCTCCCCCTCCGGCTAGTCATGTTGCCGTGCCGTGATCGCGTGGCGGGCGCTTCTTTGCCGGTCCCTCACGGCTCCGGCGTCGGTCCCCGCAGCCCTAACACTTCGCTTTACCACCATCTCTTGCCCTTTTCTTACGCTGATGCGATTTCGTATTATTGGCCGCGGGGTATCTCATTGGATACCACGCTCGTCGACTTCGATATTCCGGCTCTTGCCAATCAACTGATCGAATTAGTTTCGGCAGGTCTTCTAGTGTGTTCCTCGGCTGGTTGCCACCACATTCTAGCCAATACCGCTCAACTCTCGGACGCCGATTACTGACGACCAGTCCATATCCTTTTCACTCAGAGACTGGATTTGTTATTAGTGCACCTATGCACCTTTCCAACACGTTCGCCCCTGAGTTGATCATGTTGGAGATGTTCCTGTGCATTTGTCTGTTCGGGATTCTTGGCCTTAGGGACATCTTTTTCGATATTTTTCCGCGGGATATGTGTTCATTTCCTTGGTGATCTCGTCGGTATGACTGGGTTTCCAACGAATGGCCGTACACTACCCCCCCGGATCTGTGGCTCTCTCAGGTACAAAGCCCTGAGGATCACCATCGATGTTCTTGATCATCTACTCTATGGGCCCTGGCACGGAATACGTCTGCCAATAGGAAACTTCCTGATCCTGAGACTCTGAGCCCTTCTATGATGGGGAAAAATATGCATATGGAAAACGTTCCCCTTCTTCCGTGTTGCATGAGGTGCGACTTCGCTGGTTGCACATCAGCATGCCACTACCCTGACCCTACATGGGGTCCGGGTGGTTGCGTGACCTTTTGAGTCGGGAATTCTGGCTCAAGATGAGGACCTCCTTCCCTGTCCACCACTTCCTCGAGGGGCCCGTTTCGCTGCTGTTACATTCAATTGACAGTGCATGGTCGACCGGCAAGATAGTATTCGATTCTCGATGTCGGAGAGACCCAGCTTGAGGCCCTTGGGACTTCCTCCTTTCCCAATTCCCGTGGGCGTTTTGTCTTCATCCATCTCTCCAACGCTCCTCACGGTCGAAAGAGGGGGCCTTGGATATGAAGCGTACCATTCGCTTGTTCGAGAGGTGGTGACAGCCGTAATGGAAGATGATGCGACTAAGCGCCGTGTAAGCTACTTTTCATCCGTTTGTAGTAGCCACGATCTAACTCACACGTGTTCTCTTACGCAGTCTCTCGAGCACTACCTCATCTCAGACTACGCCATGTCCCTTTTATCCCAAACCATCTCCGTCTCGACTTGGGCCTTCAAACCTCCTCTGTCTTTGGAGGATATTCCCGTCAACCCCGGGGTGGCGATACTGGCACAGAAGTTCCTGTCTGTTATGGGCGTTCTCGTAGAGCGTGAAGGCGGGGCCCTTCCGACGATGGTGCGCGAGTGGGTTGTGGAGAGCTGCCTCCGAATGGGATTCGGTACGGGGATGATCGAGCTGCAAAGATTTCAAAGCGTAAGCAGACTGAGTAAATAACCTTTTTCTGGCAGGAGGCACGAGCTTATACGAAGTGCTATAGGTCGTGCCTCTTCCACCCGAGCCCCAAGTGTCTCCCCTTTCGCCCATATCCGACTTCCGCCCATTCCGTCATGGCGGGTTCCACAAACCCATGTTTCTCCTTCGAGGGTGCATCACACCGTCATCTTGCCCCATCGGTTGCCATCCTGTTCTCCTTGGAGCCCGCTTTCAGCAAGTATATCCTTGAGCTCGCGCACCTTCCCCGACGCACAGGGGACTACAAGGGCAATTGAGCGTCCCAAGATATCCTCCGTGTCCATTCCAATCTCAACTTTGCAGACCACCATCCCTGCCTCGAACCTTAACTTTCTGTCCACGCTCCAACTCCCTCCAACTCCTTTGCCCGCTGCGCGCCACCAACGATCCGAGGAGTCCGACTTCACTGCATGCTCTCCTTTCTCTACGCCTTCACCATACGATCCCTTATTCGACAGTCCTCCCCCGTCTTGCCCGTCGGAGCAGGAGCGTTGGTCCACACCCTCTCTCACCCAATCACAAGAGGGGGATAGAGCAACGATATCCCCTAACGTCGGATCCGAAAACACGAATGAAGAAGGACTTGCACTGAATGAGAGCGAGAGGCCAAGCGTGGACGAGAATAAAACACTTGAATTCACGGAGGACGAGAGCAGTGAAGGGAGTGCAGCTTCCTCCGTTAGGCGTATGCTGGAGGAGGACTTGTCTTCGAGCAGAATGTTCAACGTCATCACGCCGGATGCCAGCACGTTGTTGAAAATGAGAAGGAAGACAACGGTCGATTGAGTGTGTTGTATCATCAGTCCACAAAGCCACTAGTCGTGGTGGCCATTCATGCGCAGGAACACTTTGACCGCACCAAGAAGCATGTAGAGTCGCTCATTACCTGCAAGGTCTGTATTCGAAAATAACCATTATACGCGAATTATCATCATGTGCAATCGTTGTCATTCACTCGTCAATCTATATTTACACACATCTATCTTTTTATGCTACAATCTAGCAGTCCACCGAAGTAGGTGTCTGCTCTCCCCTCTCTCTCGCGGCATCCTTGAGCACCCGATCCACTTTCAAGCTCTGCAACACCGCGACCAAGCCAATGCAGCACATGACGAGCCAAATCAAATTACCTCCCAGGATGTTGCGCTCGATCGAGAATGCGAAAAGGGAAGATACGAACCAGGGAGAGACGGCGCGCGCAGAAGCAGTGACCATCTGGGACATACCATATGTGGCACCCATAGCAAGCTTGGACGGCGCGGAGCGCTTCACAAGGATCATGTTAAGACTGTCGTGAAGGTACATCAGACGGGAAGTGGTAGGGTAGGAGGGAGAAAACGCACGGGAAGACCATGGCTGCCAACCTGCCGATGAAGAGGAGGATCGCAACGCCTGCATAAGTGACACCAGGCATAATGTCGCCTCTTCCGCCTGCTCCACTTCCAACGGCCCTTGCGAATCCATTCAGGATAGGGGCGCCAATGAACATCGGAATGACAAGCGCGACTAGCCAAGGGTATACCGGCACGCCAAACTTCCTGACCACGCGGGGAAAGAGCCAGAGCTGGATGCTTGCACCTACTGCTCCAGCACCAGCAAGACAGAACCCGATTTGCGGGTTGCTCATGCTCAGCCCACCGGAGCGGACCGAGGTGTAAGCGTATAGGATGAATACGATGTCCCAGGATTGATTCGTGAACATCATCATGAATGCGGTGAGGAAGATGGTGGGGATGGCCCGGGAACGTAGGATCTGCAGTTGGGTCGGAGCGGAGGGAGGTGGGTACTCGGTTTCAGGCTCGGGTGCGAGGGTGCCGTACGAAACTTGGACCGCTTGCGGAAGGGTAGTATCACGAGCTTTACTTGGGAGGGTCTGCATCATGATCAGCAGCTGCCCCTATCATCTTTCGCATCAAAGGAGGACGTACCTCCTTAAGGAAACAGGCCGTAAAGAAGGACACTGCCGTGATGCATGCGCTGCACAGACACGGCAGGAAATAGGGGTATTCCTCCCAGAACGGCACACCACCGAATATGCTGGGGAAGTTGTCCGCTGGCCGGGAGAGCGTACCGCCAATAGAGGGGCCAACAATACATCCAACTGCCCACATCAAGCTATATAGGGGGAAAGCTACCCCGCGTAGAGGTATCAGCAGGTACGAAGGATGTCATAGGAAATGACACGCACCGCGGGCCTCGTTCGTCTCATCTGTCATCTCGCTGATCATCGTCTGGATGACAGCTCCGTTCCCCGAGAGCCCGCCCGCCAAACAGCGAGCGAGGATGGTGAGCCACAAGCTACGCGAGAGTCCGAACGTAAGCGTGGCGAGCGTGACGCCGCACAGGCCGAGTAAGATAACCGGTTTGCGCCCAATGCGATCAGAGAGCCGGCCCCAGTGCATGACGGTGAACAACTGGACGAAGGCGAATACTGTCGTGGACAACCAAATGCGGGTGATCATTGGTTACAGGACTGGAGACCGGGTTGAGGGTACGCACAGGAATCGATGAGCCCAGATATGAACCCAACCTCGTCTTCGCTCGCCACATATCCAAAATGCACACACAGGTCATTGATATACGGGAAGATCTGGCTAGACGCGACAGGCTCGGCTAGGCGAACAATGCAGAGAAGGAAGAGCTGGAAGGCTGGCAAGGGAGTGCGCTGCTGAGGTGATGGAGCGAGCTTGAGCAGCGACTGGCCTTCGGAGTCGGCTGGGGTGGAAGATATCGGGGTGATGCTCCCCGAGCGGATTGTTGAGGCAGTCATTGTGTAGACGAGAGGATAGAGGTTGTCAACTGTTCCAAAGGGGGTCGTCTAAAGTTGGGAGTAGTTAAACAGTCTAGAAAAGAAAGAAGATCAATAAAGAACTCGAGAACGCCATAAATAGGGGAATGCTAGTGCAGATGTGAAGATCAGTGAAGATTGCAAGGAGATAAACCCGAACAACCAGCGCCTATAATTTGCCCACATGGCCCCAATTCAGTGACTCGATCAGAGAATTATTTACGGCCGGTAAAGGTAAAGAGCGGTTCCGAAAGGGTCTGCGCTGATGGCCGATCGGCATACTTCGGTGCATCCGCTCTTGACAGGGGTGCCGATTTACCACCTTTGACCACGTACTTCATGCAATAAGGGAAGAAGATAGACAAGTTTAGTTGCATCGTAATATGGTTCCGGTCTCCATGGCCACGCTCAGTGATGGACCGACAATGTTTATCGCATCTCCATATGCGGGATGATGGGATCGTGTTCCTCATATGGTATGTCCGTTCTCTTATACGGGTAAGTGGCATTATTGATCTTTTGCTGATACGTCTTCGTCCCCTACCACAGACGATAGATACAGAAACTGTGAATGTATCTTCTTGCACCCGGACGATTGTAGCAGAGAGGGCATACAACATTAAATCCAGTTTCTGTTCGCTGCTTACAGTGATGCGCGACATAATCCGAGTCGACGATGTGAGGCGACTCCTACTCCGAGCGACTTGCAGAGCGAGACAACTGTTGCGTAAGACGTTGAGGCGGAGAATCTGCATTGATTGCGCTGGCCTCTTCCAGCGCAATACAGAATCGTCGACGACAACGTCCTACAGCAGCTCTGCCCCTGGAAAGATCCTCCGAGACTGACAAGTACGATGCATACAACCATGTCCGTCTTCCCTCGACATTACCGCCCGAGCCATCATCACCGCGAACTCAGCCGCTGGCAACCCGAGACACCAGCAGATCCCCGAGGAACAGGTTCACGACATGCTCGAGCATGCGCCACCCATCCCGTGGATCCGTGCTCTGGCTGCCAAGCTTGTGCGTTCGCTGCTAGGAAATGTCCTTAGTTTCAGGCAAAGATAGGATGTTCATGAGCTAGAGATAGACTGTTCGAGGGACGTATGCCGCGTGTGAGAAAATATGCGGTATGCCGGTGGATGGTAGGTGTAATACGATATGGTGTTCGAACGAGACAGCATAGATACGATGGAAACCACGACAGTCGGCCAACTGCATATGGAGGAGCATGACATATACTGTCGAGCAACCTCGCCTTATCTTCTTTATGTTGGACATGTCGTAGACAGTGCCCCCAATGCCAGACATGTAAGGGAAGGTATCACCTATAGTGACAGTGACATGTGTCAGACGATACTCCATGTTGACCACAAATGGAAAGCTGAAGAATACAGATGTCAACGATTCACCACCCAGACGTCCAAGCAGCAAAAACACATCCTCATGTTTGTAAAGGATGTTTAATTGACCGGGCGGGCATCTGTGTGGCAGGACGTGACCGTGCTCGAGGGAGCAAAGAGCTGGTAGAAAAACAAAGAGCTGGTAGAAAAACAAAAAGCTGGTAGAAAAACAAAGAGCTGGTAGAAAAACAAAGAGCTCCACAGAAAGGCAGGATCGTCTTGTCAAGAGAGAAACAAGCGGCGATGAACCATACAGACCTAAACTGAGGAGGGCTGTGACAACACCTGCCAATCACGGAAGGGCGTTGGTTTGTTCTACAGCCAGAGATCTGTGTGGAAGACCGTCGCGATACGTACAGGAATCGGAGGTAAGACATTGCCAGCTCGGAGAAAGTGCGAGGGGTGTTGATGTGAGACGAGAATGGAGGGCGACGCAAAGCCGCACAGACAGCCGGTCCCAGGGGCCTACTTCAAAGCAGCATCCTCATAAGTACATGAAGGCTGTTGCTTACTCCACCAGCCCAGCGTCTGTGTGGCAGGACGTGCCTACGTGGTGATGAGTGTTGAGAGCGAAGAGTTCCCCAAGGAAAGCAGAAACGTGTCCAAGAGGACAGGCAAAGAAGAGCAACAAGAGTGCTGGCTGGATCAGTATTCTCTGCGGTAGACAAGAAAGTTGCACTGTGTACCTGTCCAGCCTCTGGAAAGCAGGACATCCCTGTTCCAGTACATAGTGGAAGAAGCGAGCGACATGAGCTGCGGAGGAGCGTACAAGGAACCTGTCTACAAACACGGGCCCGGGTACAAGGACGTCCTGTGCTGCAAGTGCGTTCCTTACATGTACGGTGCTGCCAGGGGAGAAGGGATGTAGCAGTAGGGGGCAGGGGAGGAGGAGGAGAAGGAGGTGGTGGTGGTGGTGAGAAAGCAAACCCTGTCCCCTGCGCGGCGCGTCAAAATTCTCCACAAGGTCCGTGCGTCGAACGTGCTCGTGCCTTCATTCATGCCTTGCTCGGTTGCCGCGGATAGGACCCAAGTATGGGGATATCATTGTCAATTGTGAGTATGATAATGACTTTGATTGTCCATTGTCTCACAGCCCAGTCTCATCTTGTCTCACGATGTCTAACAATGTCTGATGCTGTCTGATATATTCTATTCACTAAGCAGCACGGACAGGGGTAAAGTTTATAAAGACCACGGGGATTCCTCAGGGATCGACAGGATAGGATCAGTGCCGGTCAAAGCCGTGAAAGCCGTTCTGGGACGCTTCTATCGCTTAACCTTGAGAGCGTGTTTCTGGGATGCATGAAGATGACAGATCGACATGGCGGACCTCCACTTGGCTAGGAAAGGAAGGAGGAAAGACGTAAGCTGTGTGCTGTGCGTGGTTACTCTGTTGAATTGATCTCCTTAGGGGCTGATAAGATGCATCTGACACTATGTTGACCTTCTGAGATGTTGGACCGGTTGAGCTGATCATCTGCTCTTACTTGGTGCAAAAGTGGATATGTACTCGATTGGCTGCTTACGTGAATGACGTCCTCTAGGGATAGGGACAAACAGAGGGAATACCCCGAGTGCATGACGGCATCCATGCAGGGAACCCATACTGCGTCATTATTCATTCATGTGCTGCTCCTATTCATGCGGGCCGAACTTCGGTCTGCTCCGTATACGTACCGGACCAGTGCCGGAGGAATGCTGCGGGCCTTCCCGCTAGGGGTTAAGGTGAGGGAACGCAACCCTAAGTGTTGTTTTGTTTCTTTCTCCGTGATAAGGTCCGGGCGTTGGTTGATATGTGCTGCGTGGCTGCTCCGGGCGGGATGATGATTACCGGTGTGGATGGGATGATGGCAGGGGTGGATATGTCCGGGTACCCGGGATGGGAGTGATGAAAGGAGTGTCATGCGACGTGTGTATTGCTAAATTAGCCCCTGAGAGGCGGGCATTCCAGTCCTGACAAGAGTAGTTAAGTGCTAGGTCGAGGAGATGGGCGGTGGGAAGCGGGCACGCTAATCGTGGGCTGATCGATGGTGTGCCGATATGGAATGGATGATGATGCGCGCACGTGTGCCGAGAACGGGAGAAGCGGGTGAGTGCGAGTGCTTCAGATGGATGAAGAGAAGAGAGAAGAGTAAGGGGAAAGTTCAGTGAAAGGGTATATTTCCAGAGTGGGAAAAGATAACAATGAAGAAGGGATATTTGTATATTTAAATAGAGGGAAAGAAGAGTGAGAGAGAACAGAGACGCCGACGGTTTTGTCGCCGTATTATTTTTGCAGTGCACAACAGAGAAATACACGCGCGCATCCCTTAGCCCCGCTCAGCGCCGCCCCTGAACCCTCCTCCTCCTTCTCCTCCTCCTCCTCCTCCTCCCTTTCCCACACTCAACATCCTCAGGGGTTACAATCTTTCCTTTATCCCCTTTCCTTCCTTTCCCTCTTCTCTATTTCTATCCACCACCTCGTCCTCAACGTCGTCTTCTCTTTGTCATCCACCTCCGTCCGACGCGCTCAGGAGGGATCAACAACGACCAACCTTATGGACACCGACTACCGACCACAACACACGCGCAAGCGCTCTTCCTCCGCCCGTCCACGTATGCAGCAAGGACCAATAGCAGGCGCAGACTACAGCGCAAACACCCTCGATGCAAAGGTCGTCATCCTCGGCAGGCAGGGTACGCAGCTTTTCAACATCCACCCATCCCTTGACAACCGCGCCTTTCTCCTTCTCATCTCACCTCATCCTCTTCCGCTCCCTTCTCACGCTCCGCTACTGACCCGATTTGCATTCCAGGCGTAGGAAAGACATCCCTCGTCCGTCGCTACACGAGCAACACCTTCCACCCACCCTCGACACAATCCACCACCGGCGCGTTCTTCGTAACCAAAAAATGCACGCTCGACGGCGTCGGAGTCCGACTCCAAATATGGGATACCGCAGGCCAAGAACGATTCCGGAGCATGGCACCCATGTACATCCGCGGCGCGCATGCCGCTGTCGTCGTGTACGATCTCACGAGCGAGCAGAGCTTCGAAGACGTTCGAGGGTGGATAGACGGTACGCCCCTGTCTCAGCATACCCTGACAACCCGCTGACAGCAGCTCGACTTTCTATTTTGGCTTTGTGCCCCATTTCAGAGCTCAAGAAGTCCACTCCACCATCAACGCTCGTCTATGTCGTCGGGTCCAAGTCAGACCTTTGTCCACAACATCGTGCCGTCACCCCTTCACACGCTAGGGCATCCCTACTCCGCTGGTATCCCCCACCACCGCCATCGACGATCATGTCCCCTCTCAGGCCCTCACCACCCCGTCGCCCAAGGCTCATCTCCCTCCCCACCAGTCTGCCGATGTCTCGCTCCACCCCCGCCCTCCAGCAGTTCCCAACAGTCCGCCACGCTCTATCCGGCAGTGTGAGCGGCCCGCCCACACCGGGCGACAGAGGTCCCCTAACCGCCCCGCCAGTCGAAAGCAGCCAATTTGGGTACGCGACCGGGCGGCCAAGGCTCGTCAGCAGCCCGAGCAGTCCCGCACACGGGATGAGGCTCACCGCGAGCTCCGGGCCGAGCTATAGCAGCCACAGCCACTCCAATGGGCACGATAGGCACGATAAGCGATCTAACGGCCATGCGCATTCCATGTCCTACGCCCCTCCTGCACGTTCGGGCCGCGCTTGGAGCTGGGGTTCCTCTCCAGACGAAAAAGAAGAATCTCCTTCCTTCCAACGGACACGGACGACCCACTCCACTGGCTCGCATTTCCCCCCTGCCCAGAGCGCTTCCTACGACCCTTCCCCCGACCGGGGCTTGGTGCTCACTTCCTCCTCCGGGCCCGACTCGGCTGAAGAAGAGTCCACGTCCTCTCACACCACACCCGAGGAAGCGGAAGACGAAGAGCTGGAAGAAGACCGGCAGGGGAATTGGGAGCTGGTCGAAGTAAGTGCTAAGGACGATGTGGGCGTGCAGGGTCTGTTCGAGGGGCTGATACGACGCTTGCTTGAGAGGAGGGGGGAGATCATGTATGAACGGGAACTGAAGACTAGGGGCAGCGTCATGCTACGCCCGAATGAGGACTCGGGCGTCAAGAAGCTCGAAGAGGAGAGCAGGGGCTGGGGGGCGTGCTGTAGTGTGTGAGCGGTGAAGTGTATGCGCCTCGAGTGCGCATATACCTGGCTTCCGAAGTTGAGAACCGACGACCGAAGTTGAAGACGGAAGATTGGACAGAAGATTGAAGATTGAACATGGAAGTGCTCTCCTTGATGAAGCGCCATATCTCGCTCTACGTACCTGCTCATCAGCAGACACTCGACTACCTCGACTCACCCGTCGACCCAGCGTCCAACGCACGCACCCGACTCTTTCCTCCGCCTGACCGGAAACTGGATACACCCCGACCGAAAACGACGAACGAACATACCACATACCCCCAAAACAGCCCTGCCGCCCCACTGTGCGATGCGGCCCGGATGGCGACGGCGACGCAACATGTCATGTCATGTGTATTATGTTACCACACGCACCACTACTCCCAACTTCTTTCGACCTTGCTCGACCTTGATCTGCTTTCTGCTCGATCTGCTATGCGATTGATTCTCTGATTCCCCCTCCTGCCTCTTGGCACTCGTTATGACCACTTCTTGCAATGCCCATTTCGTTTCACTCAGTTCCAACTTACTCCATTCCAACAGTTTCAGTCTCTTCTATGCTATTTCCATTGTTCACTAGTGCATCCCCATACCACTTTCACTGCTCTCTTGCTCTCACCTCACCTCACTTCCCCTCGCTTCCCATTCCATTCCAAGTCTGTTTCCTCGCTTACCCACCCTGCAGGAGGACGGGTATACCTATTTATTCGAGTTTCTTTCGATTGGGCGGAGGGGATTCGGGAAAGTTCGACGGTGTACGGCGCTGCTACTCTTGTAGTGGGAGGGGTAGGGGTGGGAGTGATGGCAGTGGCATACAGTTCATATCGCAATGATATCTGATTGAGATCCAGATCCAGATCCAGACCCGAATCCTATTCCTGTCCTTACTGCCGGCCGAAAGGGGAAAGGCAAGCCTATCGGAGGGCCCTCCCAAGATGAGAACGTTCCAGTCATCCACTGTCAGAGGGGGGTTGAACGTTCCTGCCCACCACACCACACCCCTGCATCCACCGCCGGACGTATGAACAACCCGGTCCATCCTCCGATCCCTCTCTGTTTTCCCATATCCAGCGCCCTACTCTCTCCGCAGATCGAGCTCATACACTCGGAAGCCGCAAACGGACCGATAACGACCCTTTGTCCTCGCCAGAACCTGCATGCACGCACTAGTACTCATGGGAAGGAGGAAGGGTCGGATGACAATGTCTTACGTCGACGTCCCTGACAATGCCAAGCCTATGCATATGTCTGAACACCTCTGAACCCTGAGGTAGTTGTGTTTGTGTGTGCTATGGCCATGGGGGGAACGTGCCAAGCTCTCCGGTTCTCTGGTGGGACTACCTCTGCTGACTGGGTGGGTAAGGGCTTGCTGTGTCTGCTCGCTGGCGCGCTTGGATGTGTGAAGCCTGAAGCCTGGAGTGTGGTCGCTTGGCACTCTTGGACGGATTTGGCGCTGATGTTGTCTGCTTGGGCTTCCACGATCAGGACGATTGGCATGAGCTTGGCATCGGCCATCAGGTAGAGGTAGAGGTAGGTTGTTAGCAAACACGTTGAGGAGCGCAGAGCAGGACCCAAGCAGAGCGGGAAGAGGAGTCTTATTGCCTGCTTGGTTTTCCGGAGAGGAAGGATTGTGTTGGATATTGTCATTGTTGATTGCCGGTTGACGGTGGACCGGTGTGCCAAACAAGCCATAAGTTCATGATATACGCTGACGATGATTGACAGCTGTTCTTATCAGAGCGAAGAGCGTCAAGAAATCAGTGTACATCGACCACTCAATGAGGCAAGTCTTGTTCATGTTCTCAACCATTAGAAGGAAGCAAAAAGAAAAGAAAACACAACTGGGATGATCCGTGCTTTGTCCTTGGTCCGTGCGCTCGGGGGCAGAGTATGGCGCATATAAGAACACGCGCAACGCCGCTTTTGTCTGTCCTTTCACGCCCACCACTGTCGTTTCGCCTTCATTGTGCCGAGTACTTGGTCGTATGGAGTCACACTTGCCTCTCCACCCAAGACGCGCCTGAGCATCGACTGCCATTGGACGTGGTGTGATGCACCCTCTCACAGCAAGTGGGATGGCACTGGATCATTCCGGTGCCTTTGTCAGTCTGTGCTGCGGTGTTGCCCACAACAGGATGCTCCATGTTTTATGGACTGGTTGTCTTTGTCTCCTCTCGGTTGTGAATCTTGTTTCCGCCTATGTGTTCCTCCCTTCTATCGGTCCCACACTTGCTCGGTCGACTGTTGAACACCAAGCGGTTACCGTCCTCTCCCTTTCCTCCATTGGGAAATTAATGCAGGGCTGGCCACCTTGGTGTCTTTCAGCTTTCCGCATCTGACCAAGCATGACTGTTGTCTTGGATTTCAGTCGCGGTACCATTCGGCTTTGTATCTCCGCCTGTAGCTGACTGATGATCATGGGACGGCAACGCTCCTGTGCTGTCCATGTTTCTAGTCCTATCGACCTTTGACAATATCCTCTGTCTTCTCCCTCCCCTCTGCCTCCCTTGTATCAAGGGGCAGTACTATCTCCGGTGGTCTGTATCGGCCTGCTAGAGAAGCAGGCTGTTGTGAGCCGCCGGATATCCCCTCCTGCTCTGCTCTGCTCTGTGTTTCTCGCCCTCCCCCTGAGCCGCATGCCACAACTCCAGCCCATATTGCTCTCAGCGTATGGCGCTATCATCCTCGTTTTCCCCCCAGTTGCACATATTGCCCTCTTGGATATATGAGTCTAGCGGTATGGGTTTTGTTGGCTAGCATTGTCGGAACTAAGGTACAAATAACATAAGGTGAAGAACCGTCATCTTGTTCCTGTTTCCAAAATGTACGGGTTGCGGCTTGCTTCCTACCCTTAAATTGCCAATGAAAAACCGTGCGGTTCCTGTCATATCCTGTGCCTTTTGCGAGAAGCTGACATCTCCCGAGTTAGCGTGCCTGAAAGTTTACTCCCTTCAACATCCCAACCTTCATTCATGTGACATCTCCCGTCCACAGTGCTACATCACTCGGACGTTTGTACCCCGACATCCACCATACCCGCTAGTGACAAGCCGCCCTGCCGAAACATGGTGACCGGGAAAAGAGGGTAGACGACGGCCAACATTCGCTTTGAGGGAAAACCTAAAGTTAATTAAAGGATATTGAGCCTTGAATCGCTCTTGAGAGAGGCACACTTTTCCTCCCACCTCCGACACCTCGCGCCCTCTTGGCCGCCCTCTCGATCGCAGCTGGCACGACAATCAACCATCTAATCAATCAAGAAAACTATGTCGCCGTTCACGTTCTCCGCTGGGACGATAACTCCACACCGACTGAGGAAGAGGAGCACGTCGCCTAAGGAGCCGAGGCAGCGTGTGCGACAGTCGGAGACGCCGTCGGGTATCCCTAGGCTGAGGAGACAGGAATCAACACCTTCGATTGAACGGTATGTTGATTGTTGAGGTCGAGGTACGGTACTGATGTTATGCAGAGTTGACACGAGCTCGCCTACTAAAACGACACGCGCACAGACGCCTGTGTCAACACGCGTCAAGAGGCCAAGCACGGCTCCTTGCCAACCTCCCTCTTCCCAGCAACCCGAGGCAGCTGACAGTCTCCTCTCTCCCTCTACTTCCCTACCCACCTTCGACACGCTCGACTCTGCCACCCTCTCGCAGCTCGAACAGCTCTCGCTCGAACTCCTCGCCCTTACCGCAAGCACAGCCAGCACACCCCCAAGGCGGAAGAACATACTCACTCGCAGCCCTAGATTGGACAATATCGTCGAGGTAGACACGCCCCAGAGTGACAGGGGAGGAGTTGTGATGCACGGTACGCCATGTGCGATGGAGACGAGGACCGCAGAGGACGTGTGGAGGGAAGTAGGCCGACTGGGAAGGGAACTCAAGGAGCTCGCTTGGTGAGATGCGATCTTATACTCTAACGCTGTTGTACGCTCTGCTCCATGTTGTACACTAGGCGTTGTACTGGTGGTACCCTGCATCAAGATATAACGATGGAATTGCTGATTCGTCGAGTAATCCGCCCCAATCCCTGAGCATCGAATTTGCCGAACAGACGGGCGCTTGACTTCTTTTTTATCTTCGCGTCCGCTGAACAAGCCTTAGACGGACAATTCAGATTTTCTCACGTTCCTGACTCGGTATAACTGCGAAATGATATCAAGATTCTCCACATTCGCGGGCGGGAGAAGCCTGGATTGCCTCTCTGCTGGATACGTTGTTCGCTTTCTATTGATCTCGCTTGGGCTCGTTGGTTGTCTTGACTTCGAGGCGACTACTTGAGCTGGCTCTCCCTGCTACGTTCTAACGACTTCCTGGAATATCCCCTGATAGAATTCTCTTTTCAGGATGACCGTCGGCTCCTCGACTGCCTCGGGGTCAGCAACGCCCACCAACCCCGTCGACGCCGAATCCCAGCCTCTGCTCAAGCCAGCGCGTCCAAAGACCCCTCTCCCCAAACTTCAGCTCTTCCTCATCTGCGTCGTTCGTCTCGCCGAGCCCGTCGCGGGTACCCAGATATTCCCTTATGTCAACGATATGTGTGTACGGATGGGGTATGCCAGTAGCGAGGAGACGGTTGGGTTCGTTAGCGGGCTCATCGATTCGCGTGCGTATTCTTCTCCGAGCCAGCTGTCCATCTTTTGCTCACATCTTGTCGCCGTGCTATTGGATGTGATGCGCAGTATTCGCCTTCGTCCAACTGTTCACCGTCATGTACTGGGGCCGACTCTCAGACCGCATAGGCCGCAAGCCTGTCGTCCTCCTCGGCCTCTGCGGCGTCGCTTTCGCAACTCTAGTATTCGGGCTATCACAACATCTGTGGCTCACCGTCCTTGCCCGCGCGATGGGAGGGGCGCTGTCCGGGAACGGAGCGGTGATACAGACGATGATAAGCGAGATGACGGACGAGACGAACGAGGCGCAGGGTGCGTCCACTTGAACACAGGGACGATGACTCGCGCTGACCTGACCTGATCTTCATCAGCGTTCGCTCTGTTTAGCCTTATGTGGGCTGTGGGGTGTATCGTTGGTCCCTCGATTGGGGGGTTGCTCTCCCGCCCGGCGGGGAACTTCCCGAGTGTGTTTGGCGGGGTCCAGTTCTGGGAGAAGTACCCGTACTTCCTGCCGTGTCTGTGCAGCGCGGGCATCACGGGCGTGTCGATATTGACGGCGTTGTTCTTCCTCAAAGAGGTGCGTCGTCTGTCCATAAGTCGGAATGCACCAAGCTAATGACTTCCCAGACTCATCCAGACAAAGCACGCCATACCCAACTGCCCAAAGCCGTCCAAGCGTCCTACAGCACTATCCCCCCCGAGCCGGACACGGAGTACCCGATCCCTCCACCGCCCACCCGATGGGAAATCCTTTGCTCGCCGGCAATCCCCACCGTCTTCCTCACAGCATTCATGATGATGCTCGTCGACGAATCCTGGGACATCGTCTTCATCCTCTTTGCGTACACACAGGTCCGCCTAGGAGGAATGAGCATGAGCAACGCCCAGCTCGGGTACTGTCTCGCCGGTGCCGGGCTAACAGGGGCGTGTATCCACCTCTTCCTCTTCCCGCGCTTTGCTCAGCGTTTTGGAGTGCCTATGTACCCCTGGCTCATAGGGCTGCATATCCCGATGTTCGCCAGTGCGGCGCTGCTCAACGCACTCCTCCGTCTGGCCGGGAGCGGGCAGACGAGGGGAGATATCAACCCCTGGCTGACATACACCGGCGCAGCGCTCCTCTTAGGCGCAAACGGGTTCGCAACCATGGTATTCCCTCTGAATATGATGATCGTGCGCCGAGCCGCGCCTAGCAAGCTAGCGATGGGAGCGACGTACGGGATGTGCCAGATGGTGACGAGTCTCGCTCGGGCGGTCGCGCCTTGGTTCGCTAGTAGCTTGTTTGCTTGGACGGTGCAGACGGGGGCGTTGAGCGGGCAGATGGTGTGGGGGGTTATGGTCGTGCTTACGGGGTTGGCGGTGGGCCAGGCGTTGAGGGTTGGAGGGGCGCTGAGGGAGGCGGGCGAGAAGAGGGAGTTGGCTGGTGGGGATGAGTAGATGAGGCAGGTGCCTTCATGGTACGCGTTTGTCCGAGAGTAGCACAGTAGAAGGGAATGAATTCATTTCACGAAACTATGGTGCTGGTATATCACTGGACTACACACAAGATCGGACTGTGGGAGCATCTCGAGTCATCACCTTCATCATGCATTTCTCCTCAAGTTATTTATACATCAAAACACAGGCTATCAGTGCCTTCGTTAAACTTAAGCACAAGTCAACAATACCAGAAGGAGGTGAAAGCAATCCCAGCAACGACAAGAAAGCTCATCGTTCCCTTCGCTTGCCCTTGCCCTTCACAGCCTGAGCAAACGTCCTCCCCTTCCTCTTCCCCCGTGCGGGCATGTCCACAAGCTCGAAGTCGTCTTCCCACTCCCCCTCGGCCTCATCATCATCATCGAGGACGATCACCTCCCTCGGGCGTTGCACAAGTTCGTAACCCTTCGGCACGCCTAGACGAGGTCAGACAAACTGCCTGGCGTGCTTCTCGTGCCTTGTGTAATGTGACTCACCCCTCCTTCCCTTGCCAGGCTTGGCAATAGCGAGCAGATCTACGCCGGTAGATCCTGGGTGCCTCTTCTCCCGCTCCGGACCGTCGTATTTCCCATCACCGTAGACACCAAAATATTGGAGCTCGGAAACAGTCCATCGGCGCATATCGTCCGACTTCAGCTCGAGCGGCCTGCCGCCCCGGCTTCGGCGGAACTCTCCAACAGGCTCATGAGTGTACCGGTCGCAGTCTACGATCATCAAGATAGAACCGGAATGGAAATGCACCGGGTCAGCGATACGGCAGGTACAGCGCGAAGGGGCAGCGGACGCACACCCGCATGTGCAGCCTAGGAGGCCTTTGGATCGATGTCGATCCCGTGGGTGCTCGAGTTGTTGCCGAGCGACCTGGAGGGCGCGGGTCGCCCGGGCTTGGTCGGCGGGGTGAGGGGATGCGAGGGCGGAACGGTCGCGCGCGCGTTGGGGCATATTGTTGGTGTTAGTGGTGGTGGTGGATATAAGGGTGGGTTAGGTGTGTATGTGACGGAGAGCCGTCAGAGTGTTGTGAGAGTAGGGGCATCCTTTAGCGAGGGGTATATATACCCCCCGAGGTCCAGGGTGAAAGTCGCTGACTGTGACCTGACAAGCGATGACTCGGGTTTGCACTTCCTGCTTCTCGTACACAGTGCCATTCAAACCCTCTGCAACCGTCTAGTACGTGCTGGCATATCCTTCCTGACTGGACAGCACTTAGCGGACGTTGGCACAGTCAGGACATGCATGACGAACAGGTTAGCCACAGCAAGGGTTGATGGCACTGCATGCCGCCTGACTCGGCCGACGTTATCGAAGGTGAGCAGCTTGCGTCTGTTCAACGACAATTGTAGTACGTGGACGTTGGTAACAGGGGATGGCCGACCTGCTCGAGCGTTGTATTCCAGATGATGGCAAGCAGCGAGAAAGTGCTAGGACGTTGAAGAGACGGCGACGGACAATGTTCGGCGTTAGTCTGTTAATGACTAATCGGGAATAAGCACCGTTATTTCCCCGCATTCTCCCTTCTAGGCAATTCTTCAGTACATAGCCATCATGGTCAATTGACTGTTCTCTATCTCCTCTTGCCACCTAAATGTGAACTCTCTATCTATTAAGAACGTTCTAATATTATGACTTGAACTGAACACTCAACCGCATCTACAACCTCCATCTCAGCCCGCCCTATTCCCGTCCTATTCCCGTCCATTACCAAATCGAACTTCCGGACTGACAGGGCCGAAAGTATCGTATGCCAGGTCGGGCTTGTCAGCACCGTCCCCCTAGTGGCTCAAAAGCATGGCATCCGATTGTACCACACTCTACACCTCTACATCTTTGACTAAAGACCTCTGATGGCAGACATCGAACACCAGCACACCGAGTACGACTTCGCCCCCCTCCCCGAGGGCCAAACGACATGCACCATCCAGCCTCTCGTAAACTGCACACTCACCATCCCCGAGCCATTCGTGCTCACCCCCGCTTCCTCCCCTACAGCACGGTACCAAGCGCCGACATTCGTCTTCCTCATCACGCACGAGTCGGGGAAGAAGTACCTCTTCGACTTGGGGGTGAGGTTCGACTGGGAACAGGTCTGGCCCGAGGGGATGCTCGCTATTACCCGCGATCCATGGGATCCGAAGATCGTAGCCGATGTGGGGGAAATGCTGGCCCAGGGAGGCGTAGACCCCAAGACGGTAGATGGGATCATCTTCAGCCATCATCATTGGGATCACACGGGCTTGATCAGTCCATTCCCTAATGCCGCCCTCCTCGGGGGGAAAGTGACGTTCCTGGAAGGCGCTTCAGGAGACTTTAAAGACTCTACGGGGCGTGCAGTGGACTTGGCAGCGCAGATCGCTAAAGAAGGACGCACGCCCCAGCCGGTGGACTTTGATGCCGAAGGGGCGAAGCATGTGGGTGCGTTCGAGAAATGCGTCGACTTGCTCGGAGATGGGAGCTTGTGGATCTGCCAGACGCCGGGGGTGAGTGACCTGCCTTAGGAAGGGATGTCCTGACAGGAACAGCATACACCGGGCCACGTCTCCGCTCTCGTGCGCGTCACTCCTTCCCCCGACGCTTCTTACGTCCTCCTCGGGGGGGATACGACACACCACCCATCCTTGATCTGCCCATGCCACCACCACCTGCGCATCAACACCACCTTCAAGCGGCCCTCCGATCCGCCCACCAGAGGGCCAAGGGTGATGCACGGCGATATCCCCCGGGCGTGGGATACGATGCAGCGGACTGCTAGGATGGAGAGGGAGGGGAACGTGATGGTTGTCGTTGCGCATGATTATTTGCATTGGAGGGCTTGGAAGGACGATAAGCGGGTCATGTTTCCTGGGGAAGGTATCGGGAAGTGGAAAGAGACGGGGTTGAAGATCAAGAGGGAGTATAAGCCTGACGGGTATGAGTATAAGTAGGAACGGCAGCACTGGTTGATGGGACTGCGTGGAACATGAATAAGAAAGCAATGGGTCATTATCTTGAAAACTGAGCACTTAGCGACCGCTTATAGGAGGATGTGGACATGAGCGGGACTCGACACAGTTGAGCGTAAATGCATGATCATATCGGGTATGTCGCGCGATTACATAGAGGTGTTTTGCACATATATCCCCATATCTCTCCCACTCCCCTCTAGGATCCAAAAGAACTCAACGAGTAGGCTCCTCGACGGGCACGATAGGGAAGTCGAAGGTGACGTCCTTGCCGGTAAGACGGCGGTAGACGGAGCTGAAAGAGTCGAGCTTGTACTCGAGCTGGTTGGCATCCTTAGCATCGAGGAACCTGGTACATGTCAGTAAATCCCCTCTCTCCACAAGATGTACAGGTAGCACATACACTCTCAACAGTTTAGACCCATCAGCAGCGATACGCGTCCGCCTGCCCACGATCTCGGTAGGGAAAACGAGGTCCTCGAGGATCTTCTCGTGCACCGAGGTGAGCGTCCGGCTGCGAGGCCTCTTCTGCCCCGGACGCGCACCACGCTTCGGCTTGCGGAGCATCCTCCTCTGCCCAACAAACACGACGTGGCGGTCGGAGAACTTCTTTTCCAGCTCGCGGGTGAGCCTGGTGGGTAATGAGTATTTGCAGGTGCGGAAGGAAAAAGACGTGGAGCGCACCTAGCCTGCAGACGGTGGAAAGCCGCCATCTGGGGAACAGGAACAAAGATAACAATAGCCTTCTTGCCTCCCTTGACATCGACTTCCCTCGCAGCGGAGATCTGGAGTGGCCTCAGGTCTGCCTTGAGCTCGGGTACGTTGTTCTCGAGGTCAAGCAGAGCCTGAGCGACGGCAGTCTCGGTCTCGCTCGGAGAGCTGGACGGCGCGTTCGCCGTGCGGTGGATCTTGGTGGTGACGGACATGGTGTGAAGAGGAGGAGGAAGGGGAGGGAGACGTCGAGAGGGACGACCTTTTGCGGGTTGGGACCGTGTTGAGGGACGACCGATGTGCTCAATGGGTGGATGAGAGAAATTGCTTCCGAACTGGAACTGTACAGTTTGCTTTGCTTCAGGGTAGGGACACTGCCACCACACACCTGTAAGCTTCAAGCGCCCGTGGTGGCTTCTTCACCTTCGACATCTCATATGGGTATTGCACAGAGAGAGATAAAAAGAGAGATAAAATGCCTTCCCGCATGAACAATCACCTGAGATGGAACTTGACGTCCCCCGAGTGGTTTCGATGTGTACGGAGAAGCGACTTGAAGATGGCGGTCTCATCAGCGCTTCCTTCACTCATGGTGTCATTTGGTTCTTGCGGATCATAGCATGTCTGAATTGAACTGGGGAGGATCAAGCGGTTTTGTAAATGGCATGCAATGAACATTTAAACATAACAACTTGGTATAAACCAAAAACACAGGTGTAACTTATGTATCCTGACGCACCGATACATGGATGGTTACTTACATGATTGTCCCCTGATAAAGCAACATCAATGACCATAAGTTCAGATATGTTGCGCGTCATTGTAACATCAGTATGCGGTGTCGACCTCGTTGTCAGAGTGATGAACTGACTGTGCTCGGCAAAGAGGCTCGCCACACGAATAATCACCTTATAATAAACCGGCTCGGGCCTCATAAATGTGCCCCTTAGCACTTTTAGAGTTCCTGTTCACGACATTGTACTGGTACAATGTTCGTTCATCGTACGAGCTCATATATTTTTCTTGCGCTATGTAAGAAATCGAATCTATCCTCGGAGTGAGTCACCCGCACTCACATTCCGTCCCATTAGTTGCTTCGACTCCCTTGGTGGCAGTCTCGAGTCAATCGGCGACACCGACCATTAACGACATAACGGGGACGCACTCAAGGAGTGTAGACTATAATACTACCAGGGAGGTTCTGGTGTGTTACGGCCTCAAATGAGAAAGACGTGCGCTGATCCACACCTCGTGCAGCTTTATGATCCTGGAGATCAAAGTGAGGCTTCATGCTGAGAACTTACGTCTGTGCCTCATGTTTTCAACTTCAGCAGAAATAGTATGTCCAGAAGCAGGCCTTGCAGAGGAGTGCCCTCAACGCATGCTACAAGCAGGAGACAACAGTATGACGTCTCTGCAGGGTGGTTGCACAGCGGAGACAGGGAGTGGGAACGTAGCCCGTGGAGCGGATCTGATGGGAACTATGGTCGGAGTTTTGGGGGCGATAGCGGGTGTGATGTTATTTGATGTTTCTGGCTGTTGATGTTACTTTGATCAGGATATGATGATAGTTGTATAATGAAATGCTCGGAGAATATCAGAAAGCCGAGTCCATTATACGTCGGATATACCTGCCTCGGCTCCGGAGAACGCAATCGGAAGCAGTCAGTCACTTACCCTCAGCCAATCATACCCACCATCCGACGTCGACACACCGCGCTCTCGCAGTGCAAGATGTCCAACTCTCTCTGGCGGTACGTCAAGAATGTGCAGAAAATGGGGTTTAAGAACTACGTGCGGGCAATGTGGTACATCGGGGATGCGAAGGGTGGCAAGTTTGTAGGGGAGGATCAGTACGTCTTGTTCTCCGGGAAGGGGTCTAGAGGGTTGCTGATTGCATGACTACAGGTTTGGGAATAAGTACTACGAGAACTTGAACCCCGAGGAGGAGACACCCGGTCGGCAGCGGTGGGTTGACTACACCCAAGTACGCGACAGCTATTTTGCGGTGGAATGGTACTGATCAGCCTGTAGCACAACTTCGACGCCTCCCAACTGCCTCCTGAGTGGCATGCATGGATGCATCATATCCGCAAGGACCCCCCATCGAGCGACTTCCAGATGCTCCAGGCCAGCAGGCCGAAATGGATCGGAGTGCGTTTCTCACTTCGCAGACTTGGTGCCTGCTGATCGCTCTTAGCCATTCCGGGAGAACCTCAGCGGTACCAGAGGTGCATTCAAGACGTACAGTACGACGCAGCCGAAGTTCCATGCGTGGGATCCGAAAGTAAGCCAGCGAGCGCCGTCTGCAAGTGCGTGAACCTCGCGAGCAACGTCTTAATTCTATATCCAAATGTACAAAATGCAAAATATTGCTACATGAGACCGTTACCGCCCTTCCTCACCCAAGACGTCTTCTACGACCATTTCTGCCAACCCGAGACTACTTGTCAACCCCGGACTCTCGATACCCATGAGGCTGATCATCCTCCCAGACTTCCCTCGTCCCGCATCCTCCTTGCTCCCCCCCTTGTGTAAGACGCCCACTCCGTCCCCTCCTCTGCTCCAATCACTCCGCACCACAAAATCCATAAACCCAGCTCCAGGCCCGACAAGCTTCGGCCTAACACCCACGTAATCTCCTCTGAGCCCTTCCTTCCGCACTCCGGGAAGATAACTCTGGATCGCAGCGTACATCTCGTCCTTCCTGGCCTCGCTCGGCTCGAGATACTGGTACCAAAAGTCCGCGCCTTCCAAATCTGGGGCTCCTTCTGGAGGGGAGATCCATTCTACGTCAGGGCCGAACTTCACCCCGCCGTCCATATCCATCGTAAGATGCACTCCGAGGCCCGCATGTCCGTGACTCTTCCCTCCCAAGTCCGGGGCAGGGTAAAGAAGCCGTTGGACTTTCTTGACACCTTCTCCCGAATAACGGAGGTATGAGCCCTTTGCGAACCACAGGGGTACAAGCGGTGCAGGAGTTGGGAGAGAGGCGAGCCACGAGTTCAGGATCAGCGCGCTTGATAGGCCGGTCGCGTTGATCAGCGTCTTGGCTAAGATCGCACTAGGCTCCTCTCCTTCCGTGTGCAGCTGCACCACCCACCCTTCCTCTTCCGGTACGACATCAACCCGCACTACCTTGGTACTGAGGACGATATCCCCCGAATCGGACTCTGCCACTTCCCTTTCTAGTCCACTCATGTATGTGTGGGAATCGACTATGCCTGTCTCGGGGTTCCAGACCGCAGCTTCAATATCAGGGGACAGGTCGGGCTCCATCTCTCGTGCTTGAGCTCCCGATATGACCTCTGTCGGGGGAGCGTGAGGGAGGTTGTACTTGGTCTCGAGAGAGACGCAGTGAGCGTGCAGTTGCTTGAGGTAGGCAGTTTGGGTGGAGGTGCCTACTACGAGCTTGCCGACCTTCTTGTAGGGTATGTTGTGGGACTCGCATCGTTGATAGAGAAGATGCCGTCCACGACAGCATAGACGCGTCTTCAGGGACGTTTCTGGGTAGTAGAGACCTTTAATCGTATTTAGTTTTCCTCTTTACATGGCTGATGGCTGTGACAGGACTCACCAGCGTGAATCACTTCACTATTCCTCGAACTCGTTTCCTGCCCGACCATCGAGTGTCGCTCTACTAGAACTGTAGTCCTGTTATTCCATTTCGATACTAAGCGCTGAGCCACAGCAAGCCCGATCACTCCTGGGTTAAAGATCAATATCCACGCGATGCGATATGTGGAGGAACATACCACCACCAACGACGAGATAGTCCACCTCTCCGGATGGTTTCACAAATCCATATCGCTTAGATGCGTTCAGGGTGGTAATGAGAGGTCTTACGGAGGGCATGGTTGTATGGAAAGCACGGGGAATGCGATAAGGTATATTTTATATGGTCAGCGCTGGGTGGGCCAACGTTCCCACAAGAGGGCGGGACCGAAGGACCCTGCTTCTTGAATTCCAGTGCGCGTTCTCGAAGTTCCAACATATTACACTGCGGTTCGCTTGTTGTAGGAGAGTATATGGACAGCGAAATGGTAATGATTGGAAAAGTATGTCCACTTGAGAATGAAATGCAAGTTGTCATGGTCATTGTCAGAGTAGAGTAAGATATCCAATACAGCCAATGTTGATTGATTCCGTGTAGGTTAGGGCCCGGCATCAAAAGTCCGCTCTTTTATTGTAACAGGCGACCATTGACTGTTTCCCTGAAGACGTCGGCGTTGCCCAGCAGCCCACGTCGCGCATATATGTTCCTCGTCGTCGTCTCGAACGATGAGCAAGCGTCAAAATCCATTCCAGCAGCCATTCTCATCCACACCCATCCAACCAGGAGCTCCTCCAATGCAGCCGACACCAGCGGGACAGCAGCAAGCAGGCTTCGACTATGGCGCGTACTGGGCTGCCTGGCAGCAACAGCAAGCAGCTCAACCTCAACAGCAAGCAGCTATGATGCCCCAGCAGCCGGGTGTCATCAGTGCACCTCCTCAACCCTCTCAGCCCAATTTTCCTAACTACGGATACGCACCGGCCGCACAAGCTCAGCATGTCGCTGCTCAGCAGCCACCTTTTGGGTGGCCGGGAGCACCGGGCATGCCACCACCCCCTTTCCCAGCAGCTTCGACACCGGCCGTACAACAGCTACCCGTCATGTATCCTCAGCCGGCGCAACCATTTCCTCCTCAAGGCATACAGTCGCCTGTGAATCCATTTTTTGGACCCGTGAACGCAGGCATCCCTCCCCGTCTGCCACCACAACACCAGCCGCTAGTCCATACCCCCCCGCATCACGCACCTGGAGGAAGTGGAGGACCTCCAGCGAAGCGGGCCAGGTTCGATAATCCGAGCGGGATGCAACCTCAGGCTCTTGGTCCACCTAATTTCCAGCAACCGCCTTTCCCCCAAGTTCAGCCTATGCAGCAGCAGCAAGGTCGCGGTCCGCAGGGGAATCAGCGGTTCGGCGGTGGCCCAAGAGGAGGTATGGGGCGCAGGGACAATATTCCGAACCGAGGTGGTCGGCCTGGTGGCGGAGGTGGAAGAGATGCAGGCGGAGGGTCAAGAGTCGGAATGAACGCCGGACCGGGGATGCTACGTGATGGTCCACCAACCGGACCGCCTCAGCCTGTACCTATCAACCAGCTGGGGCGTGGTGTACCCCGTGGGCCTCGCAAGACCGATGACAGCAGCAGCAGCTTCAGCTCGAACGGGAGGAGAAAAGGGGAAGACTTCCGCGACAATCGAATGGACCGACGCAGTGCTGGTGCTCTGAGACCACTGGCGCGGATGGAAGCATTAACACTGGGCTCGACGAGTGGACACCTGAGTGATGGGGCGAGCAGCGTTGCCGCGGAGAATCAGAGTCTTGGAGATTTCAGGATTGTGGGCGTCCTGTGGGAGAACGTCTGGAGCTGGGGTGTGCACAGAGCAGGGGAGCCAGAGATCAACGAAGCGGCTAAAGCAAAAGCGAATGGCAAGATCGAGAGGGAAACTGAGGAGCCAGCAAAACCCAGCGAAAAAAGCGAAGACACCGAGGAAGTCACTGGAGAAGAAGGGCAGGTCGAGGCTGCGCTACATCCCTTACTGTCGACTCCTCCGGCTCAACCATCCACCTCTGTCGATACGTCGAACCCCCCCTCCTCACAGACCCAACTTCTTACCCCACCACCCGTCTCCCTTCCCCCTGCACCTGGTGCACCATCCCGCGAGACCTCCCGCCTGCGCATATACTTCCACACTCCTATCAGTGCCTCTCAGGCGTACTCTCGTGCGCATAATCAGGTCCGCGCCGGTACTCGTCGGAAAGAACGTGAACGTGCGACGGAGGATGAGGACGGCCGAAGCGGCAAGCGGCTCAAGGAAGAGCCAGACGTGAAAGATCAGGATGAGGACGCTGATGCAGCTGAAGAGGTTGATCGAGTCATGAGAGAGATTCAGAGGGATATGAAGGAGGAGCAAGAGAGAAAAGCTATGCAGGAGGCGGGGTCGAATCCCATCAACGGGCGAGAGACCTCTGAGGTTGGGGATACAAATACCCATCCTTTCGAACCGGTCCCGGGGGCTCACGAAGCTTCCTCCGTCGCACCCTCTGCGGTCGATGAGAACACGGCAGCGAAGGAAGTGATCATCCCTGCAGGCGTGATTGATAGTGAAAAACACGGGCGAGACGAGTCAGAGATTCTCCCCCCAGAATCGGAGATCGACCTTGCGGAATCTCAGCTGCCTGACTGGTCCTCATCCCAGATCGAGAGCCAGATGGACGGCCTCGAAGAGAGCCAAATTAGTCAATTGGTAACTCCTTCTATGTCTATCTCCCAGCAGGTTCCTCTTGGGGACGAAAGCCAGACACCGGAGAGTCAGATTGTGCAGGAGCAGGTAGAAGAGGGGGAGGAGAAAGAAGAGATTCGGTCGGAAGGAGTGGTGAAGGATCAGGAGATGGATGGGAGTGATGATAAGGCAAGCAATCTAGCCGTGCAATACATTCAGTAATTGACCCAGCTTTTAGACAACTATAACCGCGCCTACTACCGAACCGCCAATAGCCTCGGTTGAAGCAACAGGTGCGAATCTGGCTCGTCCTGACCCTGAACCTAATCGCATATCAATATCTTACGCCTCCTCATCCCGACGCATCGTAATCGACTCGTCCACTATCCAGAAGATCAGGATTTTCCGCCAGGAGGGGAGGATCGAGATTACGGTAGTAGTACAAAGGCGCGGTGAGGCCGATGATTTCAAAGGCATTCTTGTGGGTTCATTGCCTTACCCGGAAGATATTCTCTTGCTGACTTTGTATAGTTCGAAGCTGAGACTTCTGAACATGATTTCGTTCAGATCGTCCCATCGGCAGTCACCTGCGCGGATGCCACGGTGCCGCCGTTGTATACTGTCCTGCGCCCAGCGGATGAAGAGCCAGAGACGATCTTACTTCAAGTATTCGTCGACAAGGATCGACCCCTCAGCGAGCCGAAATGGGTCAAGACCGGCGACGTGAATGATCACATCGGACCAGACCGAGATGACCAATCCACCGTGCCCAGCTGGAAGGGGAAGATTGAGGTGATCGACCCCGATAAGGTGAGTTTTATTTTCGGTATCGAGGCCTGCTGTAGCTCACCCTCGCCAGCCGAAAATGCAGACTTTGGAAACTATTCTAGATGGGTGGGCTATCAACTCGGTGATCGCACAGCAGAAAGATCGCGAACGCTTTCTCAGTGAACATATGCGGGGCCAGCCGGACAATCTTCTCGAGATATTGCTCCGTCTTGTCCGCGGAGAGCGTGCCTCTGTGGCCACGCACATCCACCCATTCTCGTTGTCGGGTCCACTGGCCGCGGCCATGCCCTCCAACGCTGATCATGCGCATCAACAGACTCATGTCAGTCTTGCTGTTGTAGCTCTCTACCGCATCGCTGTAGACTATGCGAAGAAGGCTGGGGCTGAGGAGAAAGAGGTTTCGGACAAGGCTGGGGATATCATCAAGTCGATCCCGAGCCATCTGGTGTGGAAAGCTTTGGATGGCATGTTCCGTGATTGGCTGCAGACGCAGCCCGGTGGCAGCAAACGGCCCCACCATCCCGGTCGGCCATGATTTTTTTCTCCATCTACACCTCGTTTCTTCTCCCTGTGGTTAGGCCGTATTTTATTCGTCCGTTTGGGACCGAAGAACGGGATGTGTTCAAGGTCTGCCATTGTCTGCAGTTGGGCAGATCTGGCCTTCACTCGTCTTTGTTGCACGTTGGCAATTGATGCATGTCTTAGTCCCATTTCTACTCAGTCCTATTCCTACTCCCACCTCACGTCGCAATGAGCGGGATCCTGATCCATTGTCTTCTTGAGACAGGTTGTGATGTCTGGTTGGGCCAATCCTCAGTGTGGCTTAGGCCATAATGCGCTCTTTTTTTCGGTCATCAGTCAGAGATGTTCGCATCAGGAAGTGGCTAGGGTAAGTGAACCACTGGATGGCTCCAAGGTGGTGTCAAGCATCGTGAAATGGAAATGCGTAAAAGGATGGGGCCGTGTTGGGCTGCTTGAAGTTGTGGCGGGCAGGAAGGTAGGAATCACTGATACATTGGAGCAGGACCAACGACATATAGATACCTTGAAATTTGCATAATTTCTCATAGGTAAGAATATACCCTGTCAAAATAATATACTCATCGAGAGGAATTGGGTCAACGAGCATGTATATTACCGCTTGTGCCGCCGGTCGCCTGTGAGGAGCTGACAAAACAAGACTCATTGCCCACTTTCCTTGTTTGTAATTTTGATCCCATCTGCCTCCGCCCTGGCCTTTCTCGCCGCCGTCTCTCGCGTCTCGAGCCTCTCCGTCCATGCACCGTTGTTGAAAGTGAACGTCGAACTCGCGATTGCATCGTCGTATATAACCGCGACGGGACGTCGAAACATGGATATACTATCCATTACACAAGAAGCGTTGAAGAATTGGAGTGACGAGGCTCAGCGTGCCAAGCTGTGAGTGTGTTGTCCGTGGTCGTTAGTGCCTACCCTAACCTGTTCGCAACCCCAGGCTATCTGGACTCTCAGCACATCTTACCGATATTTCCCAGTCCTCGACCTTGGCGTCATGTCTATGTGCTATGCTAAACGCGCTCTCTTCCGGTGCACCAGGTAAAACCGCAAGTTTGACACCGACTCAGTTAGCCGCCTTCCTCGCGGAGATCAAGCAATCGTTCCCTTCATCGTCCTCTGAAGATGGAGCTGCTGTAACACCGGAGAAGTCGGAATACTCGGAATTGATTATCGATCTCATATGGACACTCGATACTTCTTTGGAAGACGAACTTGCGGAGATTACCGCCGCCATCAAGGCCGAATGGCAAACAGCGAAAGATGCCGTCAAGGCGGACGCTATGGAAGTGGACGTGAAGGAAGCGAAACCAGCAGTCGTGAAAGACGACAAGCCCCCTGAAAAGTCTAGCGATCCACAGACCGAGCGCACACGGTTAATGTGTGAAGCGCATAAGAGGGCGCTCACGCAACTGCTGAAGGAACTCGTGATGGTGTGTCCGGACTACAACCTGTGGAGATGACATGCTCATGGTAACTGTAGAAATCTGTCATCACGCACACCTTGGCTGTCGAGCGGCTAGATCAGCCTCTATTGATAGCCGCCGGTTTAGTACGGAACGGAGCTATGTATGAGAAGAAAACTAGGCAAATTCGCACAAGTCTCTTGTACGTACTGTTGTGCGATCCTACCCTCACGATCTTACCTCTTTGCTATAGCTACAAGCAGACCAAGTTCAACCTTCTTCGCGAAGAGTCAGAAGGCTACTCCAAGCTCATTGTTGAGTTGCTTTCTCATCATGATCAACCCGCTTCGTATACCTGGCACCGGATGATCTCTTTGATCGGCTTCTTCGATCTTGACCCCCATCGCGTCCTGGACCTGATCTTCGATGTCATGGAGAGCTCAATTATGACCAAGTGGCAGTGGTTTCTGGATCTGCTTCGCGAAGCAGGTTGGGCGAAGCATCCCATTGTGCCAGAGGGAAAGGGAAAGGAAAGGGAAAGTGAAGGTGCTGGTGAAGAATGGATTGGACCCAGCCGATTTGAAGGCATGACCCTGGAGGATATCCTCAAGAGATACGAACCCTGCGATTCTTTGCATTCAACCGTGGACGAGAAGATTATGGATGTCCCTGCCCAATTGCTCGGCTTCAAATTCTGCAGTCATATATACAACCAACCGAACACGCCAACAGCGCCGAGAAAAGAACTCTATTTGATGGTCGCCATTCTAATTCGCGAAGGTGTTGTATCGCTTCCTGCACTATATCCCCATGTGCGTGTTATTGCTGCCTTGACATTCAAAGAGCTTTTTTTCTAATTGCTCTATACAGCTGTATCCCACGGAGGATGACATGAAGTTGCTAGAAGAACGACATCAGAAGAACTTAAAGGAGTTATCAGTGCCTAAGCGTACCACCAATGCTCTGACGCGTGCCGCTCCGCTTTCGGAAGAACCAGATCGTCCGGGAGGATATCGGCCTAGAACGACTACTGCCGCAGCGACGGCAGCTCCCGCAGTGGCACCCACGGGTCCACGCAAAGCAGAGCCTCCGAACCACAAAATGGGCTTGTTGCGAGCTTTGTTGTCCGTCGGTGCCCTACGGCCAGCTCTCTGGATTTTGACCAAGCACCCATGGATGTTTGGACCCTACAGCGCTCTGGCCGATCTATATCTTCGGCTACTGCAATGCTCGCTCGAACCCCTCTATTCTCGCATTTCCATGGAAACTCTACACAATTCGGTAGTAGTTGATATCTCAACACCCTCCAATAATTCAGGCTCGTCTGCGAACCCAAAACACACCATCACTGATCTTGCCCCCGAACCTCCACGGACTGCAGGCACGACCTTCGACTTCTTCTACGACCCCTGGAAGGATTCTGTACCGACATGTCAGACCAGCGGCGATATCAAGACATTATTTGAGCCTCTGTTGCGTTTCATCGGCGTATATGCGCACCGCGACATTGTGCTAATAACTAAGCTGGGTCGATTAGGAAAGCACATTCTGGAAAGCGAGGTACTTTTCATTTCAACCTCCCTTGCAGATAGCGGGGACTGACGCCCAATTTACAGGGTCTTGACTCGCCCGCTAAAGATTTCTGGCGATATATGCTGACATCGTATCTCCTGCCGGCATTATCTTTCCAGCGTGCCGACCAAGTCTTCTCCTCCGAACTTTGGGAGTTCCTGCGATTATACGAAATCACAGATCGATGGCAGATTTACGCCCAGTGGCGCACGACCTACACTTCTTGCCAGGAAATGCGGAACAGGTTTACCGAAATCAATCGTTCAGTCAAAGATATCCTACGCCGTGTCAGCGCATTGCCGAACCCGGATCGTATTGATCGAAAGCATTATGACGAAGCTGTCGCACGCGTCAAACAAACCGCTCGTGACTTTTGCAAGTTTTCTCATACCAATCCTTGTATCGCTGTCGCTGTTCTTGTGGATCAAATCGAGGGATATGGTCGGGACGACAATGGACACTTTGTCGAAATGCTGAAGCTCTTGGCTCCGATGTCGTATGATGTCTTCTTGTATCAGATCGTGAGCGAGTTGACGTCTACGGCGGACCGTACAGCGGTCAAGGAAGATGGTGTGACCCCTTCTGACTGGCTTCAAGGTAGTCTCCATCTCAGTGTTTTTTTGTGGAATTCGTGCTGATTTCAAGCAGGCCTCGCGGGATTTGTGGGACATCTGGGATATGGACTTCGTCCCGGCACATTCGAGTTCAAGGCCCTCTTCAAAGTACTTGCAAACAATCTGAAGTCGAACGAGCTGTGCAACCTTGTTGTCTTCGAAGAGTTGATCAACAAAATGACTGGCATTGAGTCGCTCGGTAATCTTTCTGATGCCCAAGTGCTTGCCATGGTTGGCGGCAAGAACTTGCGCATTGAAGGCGTCTCCACGTCCGTGTTTGGCGTGCTTGCTTCAAAACCTCTCGCATTCCAAAAGTCATCGCAGCGGCTTGTCGATATGTTGCAATCATCCGATTTCACTTTGGCGCTGCTGGTTCTTCTGTCTCAAGAACGACAACTGTGTTGTTTCGTTGCCGATGACAAAGCAGCCCCCAAGAAGCTTGCGGACTTGTTTGACATAGTATGTGCAATCGTATTGCGACTTCTTTCACCCCGCTGACGTAACTGTGCAGTGTCAACGAGTCTTGTTCCAATATCTGTCTTTTCTTTCAACGGTTATGACTCCTGATGTGTACGCCGCTTTCACACCATCACTGAAAGACCTTTGTGTGAAGTATCACATTGAACCAAGTGTGGCATGGCATATGCTTCGTCCGAAGCTCAGTGCGGCAGTTATAGTAAGCAAAAGGACTTTCCTCTCACATATGCGAGCTCAATGTTCTTGAAGACACGTACCCAAGCAGATGCTGCCATGGAAAGAGAGGCCCAATTGCGGAAGAAGGCTAAAGCACAAGCAAACGCTGCAAAAGTGGAACCTTCTCCTACACCCAAACCCGTAAGCCAACCTGCAACGGAAGCCAGGTCAAGCGCAGACGCAATGGAGGTTGAAGTAAAGCTGGAATCTATTGCCCCCATAGCGGTCGAGACACAAGATCTCCCTGTGTCGCTGGAATCCTCTGACTCCAAAGATGGGGCCCAAGTGAACGGCCATCTGCCAACTAGTGGCTCGGTAGGAGACGTCGTTGACGAAAAGCCAGTGACATCCTTGTGGCATCCTGAGCTTCAAATGTTGTTCCATGATGTATTTGCTGTGCTACCTGATGACGTGGTAAATCGGATTGGGTATGACTTCACCTGTGTTTGTGAGTTCATACTCTTACGTTGTATACAGGGCACCTTTTTACTGTACCTTTTGGCAACTTTCCCTCTACGACATCTACGATTTAAGCGAACGCTACAGGCACGAGATCGCAAGGATGAATCGCTTGGATGGTGAATACAAAAGCCAAATAAAACAGTACGGGGAGCTCAAGGACTGGGTGAAGCGGGAATACGAGTCGGCTAAGCGATTCAACGAGACACATCCTCATGATCGTCCGAAAGAATTACCCATGATACCGGCTGACTTTCCGATTCAAACCGATCGTCAATTGAGCAACGTTGAGAAAGCGCTGCCTAAATTCTCGCAGATGAAACAGAGCTTGTTGCAAGAGTCACGAGATCAGATTTCCTGGATTTCTACTGTTCGGAGACGTTTGCAAAAAGAGAGGGACCACTGGTTTGGTGCGTTCTCAATTTGTTGTATCGGCACACTGCTCATCTCGTCAAGACCACGTTACTACGCAGGAAGAACGAGGTCAAGTGGCTTATAAGATGCTGCAATATTGCATTCTCCCCCGGGCGCTTATTTCGCCTATGGATGCGACGTTCTGCGCCAAGTTCATCAAGCACATGCATGTGATTGGGACGAAGAATTTCATGACGCTCAGGCTGTATGACAGAGTACGCCCTCTGTTCGCGAGATGAATCTCCTTGATTGACTTGATCCAGATCTTCTCGGAGCAATTGACCAGTATTGTCTTCAGCTGCAGCGAGATGGAAATCCGCAACTATGGCGAGCGTGCTTACTCCAAGTGTGAACTTGTTTTTGACTCATTTGTTAGCTCGCATGCTGTATGAGATACTGGTTGACTTCCATGCCTGGTTCAAGGATAAGGAGAAATACACTCAAGAAGCACAAGGCCTAGAACGAGGACCGGACAAAGGGCCTCTGCCGGGATTCCAGAAGCGTTGGTTTAGCGGTGACGATGTCAAGCCTGGCGATCTGCTTACTCATGAAGAGTTCCAGAGGCTTGTCAGGAAGTTCCATGGTGTTCTGTCTAATGTAAGATCACTCGTTATATGCTAGACCCTGCTAACATTCCTGTCAGACTTTTGTCAAGTGTCTTGAATCCCAGGAGTACATGCATGTGCGCAATGGAATTCTTCTGATGGTCAAGTTGCTTCCTGTGTTTCCGCTTTATCCTATGAGCTATCTTCGCCCACAAGCTCCTTTTGGAGTGACGATTGAGGAGCGTGTCCAGTCGTATATTGCGGTAGAGACTAGACACGAGTTGAAATTGGCCGCAACTGGGTAAGTTTTTCTTCCTGCAAATAGTTTTTTTTCCCTCTAATGATCACTGCCTAGCTACGCCGACATGCTCAGACAGAGAAAGAAGGAATGGTCTTTGGTGAGTGACGGAATGGATCTTAGTTTGAACACTACTCACGTCTTCCTGTAGCCCACACCTGCACCTGTGCCCGCTTCCGACACGGTCAAAGGTCCCGCAAACGCCGTTGGAACGCCCTCAGCCCCAAGTGGTCCTCGACAAGCAGACGCCTCACGACCTCCTGCAGCCACTCAGGTGAATGGCGCTCCTGCTGCAGCCGCTGTCAAGACGCAGCCACAGCCCAGTGCAAAGTCTGGTGCTCCACCAGTGGCTCCGAAGGCCGCGATCGTCCCTGCTGGGACACCAACTGGTCCTGCAGCTCAGTCCAGAAATGTCACCGCTGGAGCAACTAGCGCTTCTGTACCATCAACCACGCCGAAACCTGCTGGTGTCCCTGTCTCAGTGCCGGTATCAGGTACTCCAGCACCATCTGCGACTCGTTCTGCATTGGAGGCTATCCCGAAACCAGACATCATTCCCCGAATACCACGAACTGCACAGCAGGGCCAACCCCCCACAGGGCCGAGTCAAACACCTGCCGCTAAACCCACAGAAACTTCCCGTGTGGCACCAACAAGGCAGACGAACGGTGTGCCTCCTCTCGCCAAGCTTTCGACTGGTGCAACACCAGCAAGTTCTGCTATTCCTACAGGTCCCTCGAGTACGCAAGCGTCTGCGCGCGAGCGGCAAGCACCCGCAGTAAATGCGCCTGTTCGTTCCGGTGCGGCCACGCCCATACCGAATGGCAATGGAAAGGAAACAACAAAGCCTGCAATTGATAATCGTACGCCCGCGCCTCCCTCAACGGTTCCATCACAGCAGAGATTGCCAGATTCTTCTCCGTCTCAGTCCATCCGCAGAGCGGATGCCGAAACCGGAGCGCCTCCTCATCCACCTCCAGAACCCGTCCCCCGACCTATTGAGCAGCGAGCTCCGCCTGCACCAGCATCTGCTTCTGCAGGTCCGTCGTCAGCTGCTCCACCAGCGGGCCCTGCTTCAGACATCCGCCCGGCTCCGAGCCCTATCGGCAGTCTCCCACAGCGCCCAGCACCCGATCCTCGGGCTTCTGGCGGCTCTCGGCCAGTCTCGCCGCCTCGAAATGCACCAAACAACCCCCGAGGCAATGTGGGACCAACGACCCGTAGACGATCTTCCAGATCTCGATCCCCAGAGCCGCAACGTGCGCCTCGCCCTGAGGGCCCTGATGAGACTCGTGATGCTCGGACTCGATCCGACCGGGATGGCCGAGACCGTTATCCGCGTGGTGGACCTGAACCTGGTCGTGACCGTGCAGCGCCCCGTGAATATTCTAGCAGAGGACCGAGGGGAGACTTGTACCGTCCGGGTGAGACGTATCCGGAAGATCGCAGAGAGGGGCGCTATCCAGAGCGTCCAGACGCGCGAGAGGTCGATCGTCCGCTCCGTGAACGTGAACGAATATCAGACAAAGACCGGGATCGTGAGCGGGATGAACGAGATCGGGGTCGGGATCGTGGTCGTGAACGTGACGAGCGCGATCGTGAGCGACGAGCTGATACGCGCCCGGAGCCGGCGCCGCTTCGCACTGATCTTCTGCCGAAAGATACAGAGGACGAAAGCGCTCGTCGTAACTCTATAGATGACTCGAAATCGAGGAAGCGCTCTCATGATGACGAAGCGCCAGACGTGCGAGAGTCGAAACGACACAGGCAGAGTCGGGGTGGGCGAAAGCGTGACGATAGGACGCCGTCGGACAAGGCAGACGGAAGACGAGGAAGCGAACGAGAACGTGATCGTGACCGCGATCGCCGACGCGACGACACTCGGCGCGAGGAAGACATGGCTGCAACAGGTAACGCGACCAACCCGACTATCACGCCTACGTCCGCTGCACCGCCTAGCGGCCCTCGTGCGATGAATCGATCTGGCCCATCGTCCCCTCCGCTTCCAAATGCGCCCTCGCGTAGAGACAGCGATCGTCCGGCTCCACAACGGGCTGATTCATCGCATGGTGCCGGCGGTGCCCCTGCTCGCCCGCCGCCTGAGCGAACGTCAACCAGAGATGACCGCGCTCGTTCTCCACAAAGAGACCCTGGACGTGGCAAACCGAGCCTACCGAGTTTAGCCGATCGGTTAGGACCGCGACGCGAAGGTGAAGGTGGGGATGGTCAAGATACGGAAAGATCCGCTGGGAGGAAGCGGGGCTTTTCTGGTAAGCACTTTTCCTTTCGTAACAGTACCGAACTCATTTCCTGCACAGAACGAGAACCGGAGGCCCGTGATGAGCCTGGTGAATCGCGCGAGGCGAACAAGCGGCAGCGAAAGATAGACCGCAGCGGTGCTCGGGAACGCGAGCAATCTCGCATGTTCAACATTGCGATGGGCGACGCGCAGAAGCAGGATTCTGGCCGCCCTAGCCGCGGGAGGCGGGGTGGTGGCGGGGAGGCTTAAATGCCCGTTCAGGAAAGTAGACACCGGGTTTGAATAGCATATCCTTCCATCCATAAGCTGCAACTCACACGTACAACTCATCCTGTAATAACAATGCCCCACACTGTACACTAATCAATTCTCTTCCTGCAGCCCTGAACTTCGTGCGCTGCAGGAACCCGGCAGTTGGTGCGTTGAAGCCCCGGCGTTTGTCGCGTTGAAGTAACCTGCGTTGAGTAGTGTGTCCAATATGATACACACGCCCGTTGAGGCGCCCTCCTCGTCCCCATCCTCCACCTCCAGCCTCCCCGTCCTATAGCCCACAGGTTACGCGCCCGCTATCGCAGCACAGACGGGGAACGGATAAGATGAAAAAACTCTTCGCGCGTCTTCTGCCGCGTACGGAAGGCGCCGAGCATCGTACTTGTTACTGTGGAACTGCCGGGTTTTTGTACGCCGCGCATGGTCATACACATGTGTCTGTGGCTGAGGTTAGCGGGTAGTTAGTGTAGAGGTGAAGGGGGAAAGGGGTGAGAGGTTGGAGAAGGGGAATGAAGGGAAGTAATAAAATTGAATGAGGGCTCACGTAGCCTCTATAACGACCGCAACTCCCAGTGGCTGGACGGCCTCCTCGACCGCCAGGGCGATCTGTCGCGTCAGGCGTTCCTGCACCTGCAGTCTCCTGCTAAAGGTCTCCGCGATCCTGGCCAGCTTGCTCAGACCCAGCACGAGCTTGTTAGGGATGTACCCGATCGAGACTTTCCCCGTGAAGGGCACGAGGTGGTGCTCGCAGAGCGAGGAGAAGTCGATGTCGCGCACGATGACCATCTCGTCGTGATCCTCCGCGAAGATGGCGTCGTTTATCACCTCTGCCGACGATGTCAGCGTCGTATAACCAATAGGAGAGGGAAAGCAGACGCACCACTGAGCCGCACCTCATACCCCCTCGTCATCCACAACAACGCCTGTGCATACCTAACCGGTGTGCGCATAAGCCCCTCCCTGTCCGGATCCTCGCCAATACACTCCAGCAAAGTCCGGACTGCATCGGCAAGCTTCTCCTCCCTTTCCTTGCGCGCGGCGGGGGACTCGTGTAGCCTCTCCAGAGTGGTCTTCGCTGGCCAGCCAAGGCCGTTCGGGTCCCGCACAGGCGTGGAGGAGCTGGAGATGACACTCACCGGACGAGGGGTACTAAATAGTGCGGGTGACATAAGCGAGGAAGTGCTGTGCATGAATAAGGCGGGACATACCCAGCAGAGCGGACGAGATTCATGTCCCTCAACCTGGCCGCTAGGTGCCCTGCTCCGACGCCTGGCTGATACTCACCCCCCGGGGTGGAGGGAGGCAGGTGCTGCGGGTCCGAAGGTACTCCCTGAGCACGGTCGACTCGCTCGTGAGCTGCGTGTACTTGTTCAGGCTCAGCGAACTCTTCCGAATGGGAATGCGAGTGGTTGGGGTAGTACTCCTCCTCCAATTCGGGGTCGACGAATGGCTCGTATTCCCCGCCGGTCCCTGCGGGGAGAGAACTGACGGAAGTGGTGGGCATCGTTAGCCCTGCTATAGAGTGTGCTTGTGCGAGAGGAGAGGACATGGGCCTGCCGAGTCTGAGCTGGTGGTTGAGTGCTTGTGGTTGTGACCGAAGAGCACGGGTGAGCATGAGGTTGAGAATGGAGTAAGTAGTCTAGTTGAGGAGCATCAACTAGTGCTGTTGTTTGCTTGTGTGCGAAGTAGTTTCGTTGTCCCTTTGCGTACTAGTGAGGGGAAGAGGACCCTGGGCCAAAAAGTTGTTGGCCTCCACTGACTCACCTCTCGGCCGAGTTAAATACCCAGCGGGACAACCCACAGACGCTCGTTAACGATATAGTAGCACTGAGCGGTTGTCGCCGCACTCGCTGGCAGAGCCTGAGGACGCTGCGTGCGCCAAGGTAGACCCGCAGATGAAGTGTGAAATGCTACGCGGAGACATCGGGAGTTCCGGGCGCTTGCTGGATGGTGTAAGATTACTCATTCTTTACGGTATAGAACGCCGAACGAAATAGCCACAGACGTTGTCTTCTTGTCGTTAACCAATTACTGGGAGAATATTTGCGTCGAGGTGACGATATATGATGACCGTGACGGTCGCTAGATTGTTCGCGGTTTGACGACTTGATGCGCTGGCATCAACCAAATAGGCAAAGTTGTATTGACAGGGGAAGGATGCGATAATCCATACTTGCAAATGGTGTTCTTGATCAAAGGAAAGATAGATCAAAGCATCATGCGACGTTCTCTGTTCACAACAATGTTTGTCATTCATAATCACACTGTAATGATACACTTGCAGGAGCGGGAACAAGCACTTCATGAGTGCTTCCCTCCTCGCTCTAATAAGACCACTTCCTCCTACACCACGATCGGGTTGGTGCGACTTCCAACGACCGTTACAGCCCCCTGAGCCAGGTTATCCTGCGCACCGCGCAGCCTCTCGTCGCGGTCGTCCAACAACTTACAATGATTGTCGAGATCCAGATGAAGACTCGTGAACAGCTCGATCTTCTTCCTGCAAGAGAATTAAGTTGACCACGGCGCTTGGGTGTGATAACCGAACGCACTGCATATGGTCCTTGACCTGACGAGCGCAGTTAGTCTCGGCAATAAATAACAATAGCCGAAAGCACGTACAAGGCTCAACGTCTTCTCAAACTGGGCGACAAGCTCCTTCGCACCATCAACCCATTCTTCGTGTGTGCATTCTCTCCATTTCTGCTGTAACGCTTCATACCTGTACATGTTTCGATTCAGATAAGCCTGTACATCGTAGTTGTTCTTGGTAGGCGGAGGCGGCGGGGTCGATGGGGTCGGCTCCAGCTGCTCCGTATCTCCCTCAGAGTGCAAAGGCAGGTCATGCTCGTAACTGTCTTGGTAGTCTTGATATGAAGAATATTGTTGAGCAGAGGGGTTAGAGTGCATAGAAGGAACAGGCGGAAGCATTGATTCAAGTTGGTAGTACGCATCATCAAGATGCTCGTATTGGGACGATTGGTGGATGTTCGTAGAATCATTGGCAGATGGTGAGACCTGGGAAATAATCCAATCAGTCCATGCCTAGAATCCGGAGAGAAACGAGTTACAGGTCTGTTATCAGGCCTCGTCCTCTTCATAGGCCGCTCAGTAACCATTTGCTCGACTTCATCGTAGTATGACTCCTCTCTCTCATCGTACACAGGGCGGCCATGGGAATGGATCTCTCTAAGAGGCAGTCTAGCGGCGTTTGGGCGTGCAGTCTGAGGCTGTGGCGCTAGAGGGGAAGGTCGACGCTTCCGTTTTATCTCAGATATATGCCCGTCAGAACGCTTCCCCTTCCCTTGGCGTTCCATCGTAGGTTTACCGTTCATTTTATCAGACAGGGGGATGACGTATTCTTCGGGTATTTCGTCATCCACCAAAGTCATATCAATATCTTCATGCACATGCGAGCGATTGGAAACAGGAGTTTGAACAGGGGGGCGAAGCGAGGGAGGAGGGCCTGGAGGAGGAGCGCTCGGGGGTGCAGGATGAGGATTGGGGCCCCGTGCTTTCATTTCCCCTACCCAGCTAAAACCAGCGGGAGGAGCCTGCCAGTTAGAAGGGCCGGTTTTACTAATTTGGTCGACAAAAGATTCAGTATCATGCGAAACAGACAGAAGAGAGGGATCGACGACGTTTTCGGTAGCAATGGAAGGCAGATTGTGTGCAGGAGGTTCATGTATGCGCTTATCTTCGTTCGGACGAAACGGGGCAGGCGTCTTGGCGCGGCGGGCAGACGAGAGAACAGGGCTGTTCGTGTCGCCCGCAAGATCCGCTCTAACACCAGCGCGAGTGTGAGGACGGGGGATTTGGGGATTAGCAAGAGGTTCGTTGTTTTTCATGAAGCTATTGAGAGGCAGGGGGTTGAAATCAGCAGCAGTGTCATTGTTGACCATTGTCATGTCAGAGATACTAGACAAACTCCGTCCTATTGCGGGAGTAGAAGCACGAGAAGCAGTCGAGAACAGGTTCCCCATAGTTGAGCGAGGGGTAGGGTGGTGCAGCTTGGTGGTTGATGTTGCCGGTGTTGGAGGAACACCAGGTTTCGACGACGTTCGGGAGGGACGAGGCCCCATACCAAGTGCTGGAAGGAAAGGTTTAGTGACAGGAGGCTTGACGGTAGACATCAAAGATAGGAACAACAATCTCAGACACGAAAGTGCAGAACGGCCAACAAGATGATGGTAAGGAAGAAGGAAGGAAGGCGCGACGCGTTGGGGCTCGTGTTTTATGGAACGACCGTGCTTTTAGTCACGTGGGCATCTTCCGAAAACAGGCAGAAATGCCCTCAGAATGGGCTCAGACTGATCATTTGAATTAATGTACAGGTATTTTGCATTACATTGTTTTCATTTTTACACCAAAATCTTCCTCAATTCGTCAACCCTGACCTCTAATTTCGTGACTGGACACGTTCCTTTTTCCTTCACCCATTGATACGCGCATACATAGCAGCATATCCATCCCGTAGGCAATGCAGTCGCGTTCACAATCTCCTGCTTGCACACAGGACATTGACCATACTTTTCCGGATCTACGCCAACACCTTTTGGATGGGGCGAGAGCGGTGCAGGCGGAGGTATGGGCGGGCCTTGTGTGGTTCGCTCAATGAAGCGGGCGGGAGATGCTGGGGAATACCACCATTCGAGGAACTTGAGCGTAAGAAGAGAAAGTGGAAGAAGCTGTTTCAGGGATGAAAGGATAGTGGACGGCCGGAACAGGGCCAGGAGACGTTGTACCAAGGGCTGGGACTGTGTTGCAGCTGAAGGCACGACGCCAGACATTCGCTGTGGTATTACGTCAGCGTATATGCGTTCCAGCAGAACAGGGCATTTTACCATGTCTTCCACTGTCATTCTTCGCAAATCAACACCGATCAATGCAAGCCATGGTCGGTAGTAGCTGGTTTTGTTAAATAAATATGCGATGTTCCATGCAAATAGCCAAAGATGGTATGCAGAATTCGCATAGGGATACGCGACCTTGAAGGCTTGCTTCGCTGCAGCCAGCATGCGAGCACGTGCGGTCTGTGCTTTTGTTCAGTTCAGCATCCGGTTGGAATGCGATCAACGTGCCTGTGATGTGGAGATTTGCCGTGGTTGGGAGGTTTCTGCACCAGCGAGATCCGGGTCAAGTCCTCCACCCAGTTGCTCGTATACATCCTCTGCTTTCGCACGCAAGTACGGTACTCCTACCTATACAGACCGTCAGAACCAGGGTGAAATATAATGATAGACGGAACTTACCAGAAACAATAATGACAACAGACGGGCTCGAGGGGTGAGTGTTTCATGATCTCCGGCGCCGCCCGCGGCGATATTTGCCCGTTCAATCTCAAATATGGGCTTCTTTCGTCGTTTGAGGCCGTAGAAATTCTCCGAGAATGAGGCATCTAATAACAGGACTCAGAGAATTAAGGGTTATCGAGATCGGAGAACTTACTGGTAGTCCGGAGATAATGCCTCTCGATGACGAGCATCAGTAAGGCATAGAACTCTTCGTGCCGGTTCACGATGCGAAGCAAATAACGGGGATACCGTTGCGCAAAGAACTAAAAGGAAGATCTGAGGATCCGTGTAGCGTTAAGGGAAGAACAGCCCAACCGCCAGCACATATTTGACCGCAGGTTGTAGCAAGTCGCGCAATTGCTCCTGGGCAAGGAGCTCGAACAACGACGGGCGCTGTGTGTCACTTGCTCCAATATCGGCATAGAAGTCCATAGTTAAGCAGAGAGAACCTTAATCAAAGTAAAGTTTATGTCAGCTATTGATGTCGTTGCATTCAACAAACGGAATTTACTCAAAGAGAAGCTCGGAAGGCAGGGCCGGTTTGAAGTGCACGCGGGCTTGTGAAAGTAGATTCTCCACGCACGTGCGTGAGCCAGAAGCTTCCGTTTACTTTGGGCGCTTCCAGGACCCCGACTGCACCCACCGTTGCATTGAAATCCTTCACCTCGGGTCAGCAAATGTATTTAATTCTTTACGTACTGGCCCCGCTCTACCTGTGATGGTTAATGAAATCCCTCAGAAGAGTCACTGGAGTGCCTAGGATGCTCACGTTGAGCGATTATGAGGGCATGACCTGTCCAACAATGGGAAACACAGTTCTTTGGGACAACAGATATTTCTCCTTTCCATTTCGCACCGTTGTAATGCCCACTCTATGGACGGCATCGTATGAGGCATAACGGAATCCTTCCGGAGAGAAGTCACACGTGATCCTATTGCTCGAAAGGGTAGGGTCGGTGATTAGGTCCGAGCGCCACCCTTACTTGTCTCTCCTCTACCGAGTTGCAGGTTCTCGTCAACGCGAGCACTTATACCTCTAACCAGGCCATGCGACATCGTCCTGTCACCCTGCCCACAGCGTCTGCCATACAATAGCAGCGCTCTCTCCAAGTCATCCGATCTCGACACGGTAGATTAGGGAACGATGAAGGTGCGCTAACCCTGGTGGAGCGTCATACGGACACACACTCACACGCCTCTTTTTTGAACCAGTTTGGCAAAGAAATTCAAGCACAGCAAATCCCGGGATGGTCTAGGTACTACTTAGACTACAAGTTCCTGAAGAAGATTATCAACTCACTCGCTGCGAATCGACCTGCGTCAGAAGCCGCGGCTCTCGCAGCGGGTATTCGTCCATCAGAGCTGCCCCTGTCACCCGACACGCCATCTACGAGAGAAGAGCAGCCGCTCATTAACCCATATGCTGGCACCCCCGATGGAGATGCGGGGATTATGGAACCACCTCTTTGGGGCGGAGGTGCAGATGAGAACAGAGGACCCATCTTTAAAGCGCATAGAAAAGCATTCTTCTTCAAGTTAGAGAGGGAGTTAGAGAAGGTGCGTCATCGCATCCGCACCATGAAGTGTTCATTTATTTAATGACATAATTTGTTCTCCCAGATTAATGAGTTTTACCTACAGAAAGAAAACGAGCTCAGATTGAGGTTGGGAACATTGTTGAGCAAGCAGCAAGCAGCGATGGAGAGATCCAAACGGAACGCGGCCAATTCAGATGGAGAGTCCCTCACCGACAGTGTTGAGTGGAGGTCGATTGAGGAAGGATTCAGGGTGCTACAGAAGGATTTGCTGAAGCTGCAGGTAGGTCTCGTGCCCCACATAGGCTCTCGGCGCTAATTTCCGCAGCAATTCATTGAAATTAATGCGACCGGCTTCCGCAAGATTTTGAAGAAGTGGGACAAGCGCTCGAAGTCGCATACCAAGGAACTCTATCTCTCCCGTCAGGTTGAGGTTCAACCCTGCTTCAATCGGCATTTGCTTGCCGAGTTGTCGAACATTGTGTCCGCAGCTCTCGTTGACCTTCAACATGCGCCAGAGCACGCACTACTCGTCAACGGCGACATTGTTGCCGACGAAGACGAGCATCGGACGGCCCTCGAGCGACAGGCAGAAGCAGCCTATGCCGATTTTGAGAGCAATCTGTCGGATCTGGTTGTACGGAATGACGAGGCCGGTGTTCGTGCTCTTCTACCGGAAATGGATCTCCTCTTGGGCCAGGCCGCCGATGCAAAGACCAACATCACACGTATCCTATCCCGAGCGATCATCGAGGCTCCACCGCATATTGCCGACCTGCTCATCTCAAGCACACCGTTCGACTTCTCCTTTGTCGATGACATCAGTGGTCGTACCTGCCTTCACGAGACCGCGATCGCGGGAGAGCGCCGTTTGGTACAAATTTCTATCGACAGGGGTGTTGCTGTGAATTTCCAGGATGTCTATGGTCGCACTGCTCTCCACTACGCAAGCATGAACGGACATGTCAAGGTCTGCGAGCAGCTTCTGGCTGCTAATGTGGATGTGTCCATCAAGGACTCGGACAATTGCACTGCACTCGTATATGCGGTGATGAAGGGCAAGCTTGACTGTGTAAAGGCTCTTCTTTGCCAACCAGGTGTGGATCTCGCAGCAGCCACTACCAGTCCGGACGAGTTCAACTTGCTTTCCTTGGCATGCCAGTATGGCCAGGATAGCGTGGCTCGCTTATTAGTGGACAAAGGCGCGCGACCTCTGCCAAACTCGAATGGCGAATATCCTATCCATCTGGCAGCTCGAGAAGGCCATGCGGAGTTGTGCCGTATATTCGCCCAGAACCAGTTGATCAAGGACGTCCCTGATAGGTATTCGGAGTGGACACCTCTGTTCCATGCTGCTCGCAACGGTCATGAAGCATGCGTCCGCGTGCTCCTGGAGTCCGGCTGCAATGCGAATGCAAGGGATGAATCAGGGAAGATGCCGATATACTACGCCGGTTGGTATGGTCACACAGGTTGCGTCAACTTGCTCCTCCAAGCTGGCAGCCCGCCCCTGGCTGCCGCTTTACCGGCCAGCTCTACAATCAACTCGATCAGCCCAGCTTCCCAGGTCAGCGACACGATGCAGGTGGATTCCATGGACGAGATCGACAATATACCCTCCCTTTTCTTGCCACCTCCGGCAATGCCTTTACGTATTTATGGCCACACCTACCTGAACCGCTCTTCGCTCGTCCAGATCGCCCTCGGTCGGCCTTTTGCGAAGCTCAAGGATTCGCCGCCTGTTCAGGCCGTGCAGCTCCAAACCCGCGTCACCGGAGCTCCTTATGTGCACAGCGGGCCTTCTCTCAAACTTATCATGGCTACCAGGCCTAACATCGCCGCCGCTCCTCATACTGTCATCCTTCCCCTACAGGACGAGATGGAAGTTTACAACTTCCAGTTAGACAGCCTCGACGATCTTTCTCTTGAGTTTTCCTTATACCCCGCTTTTGGCTCGAAACTCATGGGACGAGCCGTAACAATACCATCTCAAGTCGATGGACAGCGTATCACCGACCAGATTGTCGTCTTGCCCATCTTAGATCATCGGTTGCAACCCATCGGCAAGGTGTCATTCCAATTGCGGATCATAACGCCTTTCCGAGGTGTGAGTCTGGAGATTGGTGGCGCCGTCGAGACTTACTGGAAATCAACCACCGTACCCCAAACCGCCGCTCCGTCCGTGAACAGTCAGATCCGGCTTCCCAGCGTTCCTTCCTCCATGCGCAGTCCAACAGCTGCCAGCACCTCAGTCAACAATCTCACAGTCTCTTCTTTAGCCGGCGAATACGTTCATGTCGTCGTCCAGGCAACGAAAGACATGGTGCCGGTAGTCTGCACGGACTGGCGCCTGCCTTTCGATGAACTGGAGCTGATGGCGTGCGAGGTTAATCACTTGCAATTCCAGCACCTCGCTAAGCGGAAGGGCAAGCAATTGCCGACGTCACGAGCCGGCCTGACATCTGTTGCGGCATGGAGTCGTGTGGTGCGAAATTCCTTAATCAGCCTTGACGATCTTCTCAGAGTTCGTCATTCTTTCGCGCGCTCACGTCTACGTCTGACATAATTTCGAAGGTGTTACCGACAACCTATAACGTCAGCCTGGAGTTAGCATACCCGACAGCTGCGACTGTGGACGGTCTAGGGTTCGGTCGCTCTCCTAGCTTGAACGCTTTTATCGATGCTGTCCTGCAAACTGTATACCATGCTTCGCAGGCCACGCCCACCACCACGGGCACCTCCAATCCCAGGCGCAAGGTAGTATTTTCCTCCTTTGAACCGGACGTGTGCGTTGCCTTGAATTGGAAGCAGCCTAATTGTGCGTAAAGATATCTGCCCTAATATTGTCTGCGGGTGCTGACTGGATTCCCCAGATGCTGTATTATTCGCAACTAATTGTGGAGTCGCGAGCGCCTCTGTACATTCCTCGATAGCACAATTCGTACCTGACGAGTCACAAACTGACAAACGGTGCTTAAGCGTGAGCGCTGCAGTCAACTTCGCGAAGGCGAATAATCTACTAGGCGTTATTCTCAACGCCTCATTATTGGTGCGTCCTAATTCTTCTATTTCTTACCAGTGCTGATGCCGTCCACAGAGACGTGTTCCGTCCCTGATTCGTGGCATCAAGGCGTTGGGCGTAATTCTGACTGCGTTCGGGGAACCAGAAGACATTCAACCGCTCCCGACGTCTGGTGCGGAAGGCTCTGCTGTAGATGCAGTTTTACAGAATGGCGTTCTCATGTACATGGACAACCCGGTGCCTGTCGTTGTATAAGATAGTACTGTAGTTTCTTGGTTAGCTTCGATCCTGGTTGTATGTTATGCCCATATGTACTGTATGGTGGCCATGAACATAGCAAGAACGAGATATTTATCGATATCTAACATGTCTGAGCGTACGTCGTTGTTGCCTCATCCTCAACTATGTTTTGCTTCCGAAACTTATGAAGCACGCGCGACAACACCAGTGCCGTCTGAATGCCTCCTGAGCTCATTAGCGCCAACATCTTGTGCTGGCACCATCTCAATCAATGGTCGAACAACGGTAAATCCCGGTGAATATGGCGACAATGGCAGAAATACTTCGGGAGGAGGAGCGATTGGACGAGCTGGATCCTCTGCGGCATCTGCGAGATAATGATGCCGACGCTGCCGGGAACACGGACGAAGGTATCTCTGACGGCTTCATCGTGCCGGCACAGAGGCCGAGTATCATCAATCAGCTACAGATTCTCTCGTTCCCGGTTCTTGTTCCTGAGCTTAGGTTATCTGTGGATGCTAGCCCCGGATGCGGCGGAATAGCGTGGCCGGCCGGCGAAGTACTTCACCCCTTGCATCTGTTACGAACTCAATGATCCGAGGGATTCTTAGGTTCTCTCACGTTACATCTGCCTTCGTGAAACCCGAGAACCTGGGTGGATGAAAACGCGGACCGTGCTGGAGCTTGGAGCAGGAACAGGCCTCGTTGGCCTTGTCGCGGCGAAACTCGGTGCAAAGCATGTGGTAATCACTGATCAGACGTATGGACTGCGCTGTTATGTCTCGGACACTTCCTGAAGCGACAAACAGGCCATTACTTCCTTTGATCGAGCGGAACATTGTTCTCAACAACGTGCAAAATGCGTGCATAGCCGCGGAGTTTAATTGGTAAGTCGTCTTTCACGACAATGCAGTCGCCACAACTGACACCTGCACAGGGGGGAACCTCTTTCAGAGGCAATCCGGACGGGGGCGTTTGACTTGATCCTCGCCGCGGACTGCGTGTATTTGGAACCCGCATTTCCTTTGCTTGTGCAAAGTCTTTGCGACCTGACAAACGAATCCCCGAGAGCGGAACTTCTGTTCTGCTATAAGAAACGTCGTAAGGTGAGGAGAGGCTAATGCCGCCTGATTGTCACATTCATGATGATTCTATAGGCAGACAAACGATTCTTCGTCCTGCTGAAGAAGCATTTCGAATGGGAAGAAGTATGCAAAGGGTCTTTCATCCAGGTCGTGCACGCAATTGACTCTCCGAGCAGGTTGATGATGACCCCGAGAGACCGGTTTATTCTCGTGACACCATTTCACTTCTTCGCTTCCGTAGACGAGGTGTGAAGGCATCCTTCTGATTGTTCGACCATGTGATTGGGCCAAGGTTCCTTGCGATCCGCCCGTCCGCAACGGGTCGCGAAAATCTGTCGGCACAAGTTGTTGAAGCAGTCTTTGTATCCTGACAGCGATGGGAGAGTTTCCTTTCATGAACAGGAGCTTGTTCGCCGAGCCACTTCTTCCGCTGGTCGCATGATTACAGGTTGTTCAATAGGGCCGAAGCAAAGAGAAGAAGCAGATCATGCAGATAGTGTCGCATCAAGTCGGAACCAGATAGTACACCGGCACGCCGCGGCTAACCACTTTGTCGTTTTCCTTTCGCTAAAGTCTTCGCGTTTCTTCTTCTCATATCATTCTCTTTGTTGACCATGGAAGACAGGGCGTATAGAAATCGAAGTGAGTGGTACACCGAAAGAATGTTCACTTCACAAACCCCATTGGAAGACCGTAGAGATCCCTGGGTATCGAGTGTTCGCGAATTGTGGCGCGATTCTTCTGATACGGACCGCTGAAGCACATGCAAGCAACACTTCCCAAAGGCACCCGTCCGCGATCATTGTGCAGCCTACGCTCTCCGTGCCCCGCACAATTTAATGGCCCTAGGTGATGGATGAGATCGCACGAATGCTATCGGGACCCGATGTCCATACGTCTGGCAGTCCCTTGCTCTGTGGCACCCTCCGCTTAAGGGGCCATTCGTCATTCGTTGCTCTGGTATTCACCAGAGAGACCGAGGCAATGATATTGGAAGTACACTTGTGGGGCCTTTAAGCAGGGAACAATCTCGGTCAAGCCAAAGCTTCTCTGCCGAAGCAATCTTTGACTGCCCAGTTGCGAGTCTCTTTCCACTGGCACGTTCTCTCAACAGAGCAGCTTCTCCCCAAGCTTAGTCTTACGACATCCCACTGCCCCGCACCATTACGTTCCTGGACAGCTAATCCAGATTGAAATCCTATATAAAGACCTCCTCCCACTTGCCGGAAGAGCACGATATCCCTCCATCGTCCCTTTATTTTATAGGGACCAGTATGCCGAGGAAGCGGCCGTCTGTTGCTCCTAAAGTCAATGTCACCGGTTCCTCGAAACCTACCCCGCCTCAGGTTGTTCGGCACCCTGCTATCTCTATCTCGCACAATCCACGACAACAGGAATCAGCTCCAACCGTGCCAGATACGACACCGACACTCACACCGGAAACGGTCCATTGGCGAACTCCTCCACTCCCGAACTCTAACCCATCCGAGTTCAACCATCCTAGACACCCACTTTCCGTCTTGGCACCAGAACTTCGACAAATTGATATTGGCCAGATGCCGGAACTGTATGGACCGATGGTGCAGGCCGACCAGATCGGCCCGGCAGAGTGGCCGGACTCGGCGGAGGTGTATGTCTCCACTTTGCGCCAGAAACGGATAACTGAGAATGGTGACGTAGACTGGACCAATACGTCATGGATTATTTCAGGAAGCATGGGCTGCACAGGACCGCGGAGATGTTCGCAGAGGATAGCGGGGTGAGCCTGGCTGTACCAGGATTGGACACCAACACTGGGCTGTTGGACGAGTATGATGTTCATTCTGCACTGAATACAGCATCTGACAATCATTACAGCATATGGAACATCTTCTGGAGGTCTATGCTATACCGACACCCTGAGCTGATGCCTCCACAGGTTCGTTCACGACTTTCCACTGTCTCTCCGGCCCAGAGTGTGCCAAGTACACTCAGTCGTGACAGTGAGAGGCCCGGGACTGCAGGCCGCGCAGTGCCACGGTTAAGCCGAGCCGATGCGTATACCCCACACTGGGCTGCATAAAGCAACTGTACTGTACCTCTAGTCACGACCCCTGTGTCCACTGATCGAAACGCAACGCGGAAGGAAGGGTGGGTGGCGGGCAGTGGACATTTCCTCGAGAATATAATGTGCTTCTAGATAAGTGAGCAGGGGTTCCGGAGGACACTACCCGAGGTGTCGAAGGATTCCCAGGGTTGGCCGCTGATGACCCAATTGGCGAACGGGTGCGCGGGGCTTCGCAGCATCCGTTTTGCGAGCGTGTACGCCGCGCAGGCTTGCTTCGCGTCGTAATACGTGATATCGCTTCTGTGCAGGTATTCAGTCTCTGGGAAGTGATCAATGAATCTGACATGCGTACGGAAGAGGAGGGAGAGCAAGTCGTTCCCGGAGCCAAAGATAACTGTTGAAAAGCGAGAGCTTGCATAGTCGGGACCTGGCGGGATCGGGATTGGGGTTGGGATTGGATACCGACAGCACAGAGATGTGGATGTAAGACTTACCTCCCACTCGGCTGAAGCCCTTTTCTCGACTTGAGGGAAGCGCCTCTCCTGATACCGCCTACGAGGATTTCCGGTCCGGCGCCAGCGACCCAGGACACGGACTCGGGAGGGGCGGGCCCGGCCTGGGAAGGCTTCGGGAAGGGGAAGCGGAGGTCGGTGAAGTGTATGCTGGGGGGGTGCTGGTCGAACGGCGCTGGCATGCCTGGGAGGGGGTACGTAATACGCTCAATGCTCGGAGGCGGAGGGTGAATGGCGTACCTTGCACTCCAGCTAGTCGGTCAAGGAAGGCACGCTTACTGTCTGCTTGGGCGGAGTCCCGTAGGCTGGGGGGGACGGAGCCGATGACGAGGTGGGAGATGTAGATTGGGGAAAGGAGGGATGAGAGGAGCGCCCCTTGGACACCGAGGAAGGTCCAGCTTGCGAGCTTGTCGCTGCAGGACATGGACATTGTAGGTGGGGAATCGGCCCGTCCTGCATAAGGTATTTAGCTCACTGTGGTGGTGTGCGGAGGAGGGGTATACCGGGCTTCGTACGCAGGGCACCGTAGTTTGTGTAACCGTCCCTCCCGCGAGCTGCCCCTTCAGCTGCAGGAACAGGAAGAGCATCTTTGAGTGAAGCCATGTCCGGGGCCTGGGTAGCAGCGAGGTAGGACATGGACACGTCCCCGCCTTGTAGAGGGGTTAGTCTTGGTAGATTTGGGAAGGAAAAGCGTACATGGGAGGCAGGAGACGTACATCCCCAGCTGTACTCCTGGCTTGAGTGCCCATCTTCCCTCTTCGACTTGGTCCACCCATTCCCCAGTCCCGACCTGTTCCATGAGCCACAGTATAACTCCTCGCCTAGCGACCACCTCCGCGTGACTGTCGTGTAGTACATCTCCTGCCACAGGCAAGCGAGAAGAAGGAAGACACTTGCACCCCGTACCGAGGGAGATGGGGATCGGAGGCCCTGAGGGAGGGAGAAGGAGGAACCCTGCTAGGATGGTCCATGGTTGTGCTGCACCGCTGGACTGGGGGCGGCAGGATGGCGGCAGGGAGCTGTAGAGGGAGAGGACGGCTTGGGCTATCTCATCTGGAGTGGGGGTCATCCAGCGAGCAGATGGTCGACGACGACAGGTCGACGAGCCCTGAGCGTCGGGCGACGAGGATGGATGAGCGCTTATGGTGCCCAATATCTCCAGTTTATTTGACAGTTGGAAAAAAAAAAGTTAGAAATATGTGAGAGTATACTGTACAATGCAATTGTGAGGTATAATGAAAGCAACATAATTCAGCTCAGTCTTCCTCCTCATCTGCACCAGCTACATCCTCAACCGCCGCCGCAGACTTATTCTTCTTCCTCCTCTTCCTCTTCTTTCTCTCCTGCTGCACCTCCCCAGTCTCCTCCTTTTGCACCTCCTCTTCCTCTCTCCCCCGCTTCCCAAGCCTGACCGCCTGCTCTCCCTCCGGTCTATGATGTTCAACAGCCCTCGGCACTTTCCTTTTCACACTGAGCGGATTGGGTGCTTTCGGCTTCTTCTTCCTCACCACCGGCGCAGGAGGCGGTTTCTCCCCACGGGCAGCTTTCAAAACTGGCCTAAGCGCTTTCACCTCCTCCTTCGACGCTTCCAGGGCTTTTCCCTCCATCTATTCCTGTCAGCCTCTATCCCAACACTTGTAGAGCCACTCACAGCCCGGATCTTCAGCTTCGTCTTCTCACTCATCATCTCCAGTACCATCACAGCCCTATTAAGCGCAACGATCGGCACTCCCTCGACTTCTCTCATCTGCGGCCTTAATCCGTCACTCTGGGTCATGACCACATACCGGTGCCTATTTGTAGGCCCGACGACGGAGGCGATACATTCTTCGGGAGAAAGAGGCGTCTCGAGGTGCCCACAACGGCGCCGCTCGAAGGTCTTTGCTAGGTCGACGATCGATTGGCCTGTAGGCCCGAGCGCATAGAGAGCGGCGATACAGCACTGGGTTATCACTGGTTGTGTTAGCTTCTGACAGGGAGAGGTCAAGGAAAGGTGCAGCGTACTCGGTTTGGCTTTCGCTTGCAGGACGATCTCGAGGTCTTTCATAAATTCCATCTTAAGCTGGATAGCCATTTCACAAAAGTCGGAATTAACTGAATGCATTGTCAGCAAAATGAACAGTCCAAAGCAGGCAGGGTGAATCGTACCAAGTACTTGATATGGTTGCCGGAAACCGAAGGCGCGCTCATACTGGGCCATGAGCTTCCTGTACGTTTTCGCTCGTTTTTGACGCATCTTCACAGTTGATGCAAGTGTACAGTGACAGTATATCCAGGAAATAGAAGGTGCAGATGTGATGAGGAGAGGGATGGCGTCCCACTGCGGTCGTGTGCACTAGTTACTAGTAACTGCAATAAAAAGTTTGGAATGGGCGTCTGTTCGCTTCAGGGTGCTGACTCATCATTGCTGACTGACGAGTTATTGAAATAATCCCTGAATGGATTAACAATAATTGTAATCCATTTGAGGAGATTCGTCCATTCTACAAAAGATCAGTCAAGAACAAAATATTATTTCTTAACTCCTTTGAAGGCTTTATTATACCACAGATTTACTGGCTAGCAGGGGAGTTCACCTGGATTCTCTCCGACTCCGATTCATATCCTTCAACCGCCACGACATCGCCAATGTCCCTCACCTTCCTTCGGCCCTTCCTCCCCCTCCTACGCACCACCCGTACCCGCGCCTTCAGCACCACTCTCGTAGCCCGGAACTCCCCTCCCCAGAATCCGGAACCCGAAGGCCAACTGACAGAAGGCGAGCGTACGATCGCTTCCAAGCTGCGGGAGGTGTTCAGCCCCAGCCGGCTAGACGTGGAGGACGTTTCTGGTCTGTCCTCTCTCTCTTCTTCCTGCGGGAGGCTGGCTGATGCCACGGATTGTTCGAGTCGATAGGGGGATGCGGCACTTTTTATGCGATCACTATACAGAGCAGCGCTTTTAGGGATATGACGCTCGTGAAGCAGCATAAGCTCGTGACGAAGACTTTGAAAGAGGATATAGAGGGGATACATGGGCTGCAGGTGCGTACTCAAAGTGTCTTGGTGTTGATGTGAAGCTGAGTGGATCGTAGCTGAAGACGATACCTGAGCCGAGTAGTTGAGGAAATGGAGGAGGGTGCTTCATATGGACTAGACGTGATGAGACCACAAACTGTAGCGATGAGTATTATTCACCAGTGCAAATTCCATCAAACTTCCCATGTTTATGAGAGGGGTCGGCCCATACGAAAGGTCCATGAGGCATCAAGAATGCGGACCGCACAAAGTGGTACAAACACATTACATTGGTTCTTGATTTCACGTGGTTATGATCTACAAGTGCGTTCCTACACCCTGTTCTGCCTGCTCTCCTCCTCGTTGCAGTTATCCCAGTAGATCCAATACGATACCCGCAGCGACCGTCTCGCCCCCCCTCCTCAACAAGATCCTCCCCATATCCTTATTCACCGTAAACGTCTCGAGCGGAACAGGCGCCACCCGTTCCCCCGCGCCCGAGATCGTCCCCTCCCTCAAGGAGACCTGTACTCTGGCCGACTGGCCGCGAGTCAGCACTCTTGGATTCCGCTTGAGCACCGTGCCCGTCGTTCGGTCTAGCGTAGACAGGAGGGTAAGCGTACATGGGACGTCTCGTGAATGGTGGAAGAGTTCTACTGAGGCGCCGGAGGTGAGCGGCAGCTGGATATCGAAGACGATTATCTGGGCTGTGAAGGTTGTTGTGAGGGGGACGAGGGCGTCGGGGGGGCAGAGAACGGAGCCGATGCTGTTGTACACGGGAGGTGAGTGGGTGGTGTGGAACGGGGCTAGGGGGCTTACTCGAGATGGATCGGGTCTACCCCGGCGAGGTAGAGCGTTACGGTCGACCCTGCTGCTGCCCAAGGCAGGCTTGACTCGTCCTGCTCTATCACTGCAACCCGTCAACATGAATACTTACAATAAAATCGCATGCTCACGTCTGACAACGGCGCTCTCGTCCCCTGGTAAGATCCTCACGCGGTCCCCGACCTGCACTACCCCGCTCGCCACTGTCCCCGATACCCCGACGCCAGAGGCCATCGCTGTCTGGCCTTTGAAGACGTTGGCCAGCGGGATCCGCAGAGGGAGCGTATACGGCCGTTGGGGGGGCTTGAGTGCGTCCAGGGCATCGAGTAGTGTCGGACCGGTGTACCAAGGGAGCGACGTTTCGGTCAGGTTGAGCCCTTCCATCCCTGACAGGGGGACGAATACCGTGCGTTGGAGTTGGAAGCCAGACTGGACGAGGAAGGGAGAGAGGGTGGAGACGATCTCGTCATATCGGGATTCTTGGTCGATCGCCTGCTATGATCAGCGCTGTATCCTGAGAGTTCCAGAAAGACGCAGACGCACCAGATCGATCTTGTTGACAGCGATGACGACCTGGCTCACTCCCAGTGCGCGTACAAGCACCAGATGCTCCCTCGTCTGCCCCGCCCTCTCGAACCCCGCTTCAAAAGAGTTGGGCGCGGCGTCCACCACGAGCAGGGCCGCGTCGGCCTGAGCAGCACCGGAGATCATATTGGGGACAAAGTCCGCGTGGCCCGGCGCGTCAAGCAGGGTTATAAGGAGCGAAGGAGTGCGAATATGCGTAGTAGCGACGTCCATCGTCACTCCTCTGTGCATCCTCAGTGCCCGCAGCGGCAGAAATAGGGAAGACGCACCGTTCTCGCTCCTCAGCACTCTCGTCTAGCGCCCAAGCCCATTTGAAACTGGCTTTCCCCGCACGCTCGCTCCCGCGCTCATTCTCCCTCCTGATCTTCTCGTCCATCTCTCCAAGCTCGTACATCAGCCGTCCCATAAGCGTAGACTTGCCCGCATCGACGTGTCCTGCCATCGCGTCAGTCCCGCATCCAGGTAGCGAGGGAGGGGGGACAAACCGATGATGACTAGGTTGAGCCCCTTTTTCCCGGACTCAAGCTGCTTGGCCACGGCTTCGAGCAGTTTCTCTCGCCCCAGACTAGGTTTAGGCACTTCAACATCTTCCTCCGGAGGGGGGGAGAGGTTGAGTCCCTCGAGGTCGTCGGCTAGCTGCGTGTGGGGCGTGCTGGTCCGATGGGGAGGGTTAGATGCTGGCGTGAGGGGTTTTTTCTTCGGCGCGGATTTGGGAGGTGCTGGGGTTTGGGATGGGGGATTCTTGGGTTGCTTGGGCTGGGCCGCTGGGGAAGGCGTTAGATCGCTCCCACTGACAAAAATCCAAAGAGGACGAAATAGAAAGAATAAGCTACACCTACCCCGCCCACGCCACACTGCCACGTTCCCCGCCCACCCCCACGCCACGGCGACCTCACCTGTCGAGCCGACCACCCTGCCTCGCCTTAACAAGATCATCCGGACTCGGCCCTAGGAACGCAGCGGGATCCACATCCAGCGCAAAAGGGAGGGCGAGTCCGGGAGGGGAAATAGAAGGGTAGATGAGGATAGTGGCGAAAGACGAGGGAGCTGACGGGGAGGAAGGGAGGAAGAGCGCTGAGGAGGGGTCGGGAGCACTTGGGGGTATTGGGGGGGCCTCTTCTGCTGGGGTAGGCTCGGTCTGCGCGCGCTGGGCGAGTTGAGCAAGCTTGGAGAGTTTTCCCGCCGCGGTGAAGGCAGGCACAGGGGTGGGCAGGGATGATCGTGCTGAGCGCGCAAGGGCAGAGATGGAGGGTTTCTGATTCGCCCGTGTGGCGGCTAGGGAGGCTAAGCTGGGCTTGCCCACGGAGGGGTTGGGCGGCTGAGCTGCTGGGGGACGGGGTGCAAGGGAGGGCGAGGAGCTGGTAGGCGTGTGGGATTTGGCGAGGGATGCCAGGCTGGGTTTTGTTGTTGGCCCTCCTGAGGCTGAAGCTTGAGAGCGGGAAGCGGCTAGAGCGGCGAGGCTGGGTTTCCCTCCCCTTTGTGCAAGCGAAGTGGTCCCCTTGGTCTGGGAGGAACGGGCGAGCGCAGCCAGAGAAGGTTTTCCAGCTGAGTGAGAGTGGAATACCATGTTGGCTGGACGGGGACTGCGGCTTCCAGAATGGCGAGAGGCGGCCAGTTGCTCGAGGGTAGTGCTGAGCGGTGTAGACAGTGACGGGAATCCTGGTGTCGTGTGGGCGGGCAGTCCACCAACAAAAGAAAACAACGTAACAAATGCAAATGCAAACGAAGTGAAACAAAATATTCATTAAAGAAATATGTACTCACCCTTCTTCTGTTTCTCCAATCGTTTATCTCTCTCTTCTACCGTTCAACTCAGTCGTCAAATTCCTCCCAAACAGCGCGCAACGTACCCAACAACCACGCCACACTCTTCTCCACATCGAACCAGAACTCCCATACCGTATCCGCAATCTCTTCATCTCCTACGCCGCTCTCCTCTTCGGGGCCGAGAATGTCGCGCACCGCCTGACAGGCAGATTGGAGCTGGGCGTTGTCGCTCTCTGAGAGGTCGGGCTCGCCGTAGTCGTCTGCTTCTGCCATCTCCTCTGTTTGTTGTTAGAGCGAGTTGGATGGGAATGGAAAGTATGTACCATCTAGATCTAGGTTTCTGACCAGGCGATGTCTAGACATGATTTGTAGTAAAGTGTGTAAATGTAGTAAGTGTAGTAATGTAGTAGAAAGTGTACAAAGTAATGGCTAATGTAACAATGCATATCGGAAGTATTTCTTATTCCAATCTCCGCCCGTAACTTCTTTCATTACCCAAACCGCGTCCTCTCGCGTCCAACTTCTCTCTCTCTCTAACGACCACCACTCCTTCACTTACAACTATGAACGCTCTCCGTACAGCAGTCCGCCAACAGGCACGCCGGGTACGACCTTTCATCCCATCAATCCCAGAGGGACGCTAACCTGCTCTAGATGTTCTCCACAACCCCTTCCCGCTCAACCGACATCTCAAAGCTTATCCTTGTCGGACGCCTGGGCGCCGAGCCACAGGTCAAGCTCACGCGTAACGAGAAGGAATACGTGAGCTACGTGGTTGCTACTACCAACTATCCCGGTCCTTTGGGGGAAGATGGAGGTGCGCCTTCCATCCTCCTCACCTGTATACGCACGCTAAAATCACCCGTTTACTCCAGTTCGCCCAGAACCGACCACAAGCTGGCACCGGGTCCTTTCGTTCAACCCGAACCAGAACGAGTACCTCAAGAACTTGCAGAAGGGCTCTCAGGTGTACGTCGAGGCGAACTACGAGACGCGTGAGCCGCAGGCAGACGCTGAGCCTGGGACGCCCGCTGCTCAGAGGCAGATCTTCCTCAGACATGGTAAGTCTTTCCTTGACCATAGCTGTACAAGACTGATCGATTTGGGTATGCAGAGACGCTGAGAGTGCTGAGTCGTCCTAGGCCGGCGGAGAGCTGAAGAAGAGTTGAATACGTACGGACTGCAATGCCCTTTGATATTGTTGGATAATACTCTTCTCTCCTCGTTGTGTCTCCTCGTAGCTTTTGGAACCCGAAATACTTTACAAAATATTCATTGTCGTGTGCCGTCGTTGTATTTAACCCGAGTGGCGCATATATGCGGGGCAACACCAAATGAGGGAACAGTATACAGCACATCCTCTCCCTCACCATCTCCTCCTCCCCTCCCCTCTCTAACGATGATCATGCCCCTCCCCAGCCTACCAGGGCTCATCATCCTCGACAGCCTCGGGTGCGCCTGTTCCTTCTTTCCCCTCTCCAGCTAATCAAGAATCAGGAAACCGATCATTCAAACAACGTTCCGTACCACCCCTCCCGCCTTTCCCCTACTACATATCGGAGCATTCAACGATGCTCTTTCTCGGGCCTCTGAGAAGGAAGGAGAGGCAGGGAAGGAAGGGGTGGAGAACGTGTTATACGTACCTGGTGCTGGGGGGAAAGGGAGCGCCCTCTGTTGGAAACAAGACGGAGACCTGCGATTCCTCTGCCCGGTAAACGAAGACCGTACGTCCCCCACCCTTCTCCTCAGCCTACGCTAAAGGAACCTAGTCGACCCGTTATTCGTCTTCTCCTTCCTTAATACGTTCCTCTCTATCCTGCGAGATTATATCGGGGACATATCTGCCTCCCGGGTGAGGGACAACTTCGATCTCGTGTACCAAGTAGGCCCCTTCTTGTCTTTGGTGGGGCACGGGCTGACTGGAGCAGTTACTGGAAGAGATGCTCGATTCTGGCCATCCACTAACTACAGAACCCAATGCTCTGAGGGATATCGTACTGCCCCCTTCGTTGCTCAACAAGCTGCTCTCCGCAGCAGGTGCATCCAGGTCTGCCATCCTCTACTTCAACCTCCACGGAACTGACACCGCCCAGCTTGCCAGGATCGACGACCGCCATGCCCTTCGCCTCTCCTATCCCCTGGCGGCGACCTGGTGTAAGGTACAACAACAACGAAGTGTACTTCGACATCGTCGAGCAGCTCGAGGCGATCGTCGGCCGGTGCGCTCTCCTGCCGCTTGTCCGCTTGCGGGCGCTAAATGTCTACAGGAACGGGGCTGTCTTGTCTGGTGATGTCTGGGGGGAAGTGAAATGCCAGTGCCGGCTGTCAGGTGTGTCCTTCCCTTTATTGCGAATGTAAGGCTGACAAGTCTCAGGCACCCCAGATCTGCTATTGACGTTCTCCAACTCGAGACTGATCACCGAACCCTCCTTCCATCCCTGTATAAGGTCTGCCCCTCACACGTTCTCTGACGACGACTAAATGAGCACAGATTCCAGAGGTGGACACGCGATCGCGCGCTCTCGTTCGTTCCCCCCGACGGGCATTTCACACTTCTGAACTACATGGTCGCCCCGCCCCCGCTCGCACCGCATCAGGTCCCTCTGCAACTACGGCCGCATATCAGCATAGGCACTAACACGGGTCCGTCGGCCGCGGTCTGATCGTTCGCGGCTAATACCATCGCAGGCTCCTTTGAGATAGTCTTCGTTTCCCGAGCCGGAAAGACGCTGGAAGACGTCAAGCTCCTCTGGCCGCTCGGAGAAGGCGCTACAAGTGTCCAAGCGTCAATGTCCTCCGCCAATGGCCCAGCGAACGAGAAGGACCGAACATCATGGGGGCTCGACCCTCTCTCCAAGGTGTGTAACCTCTGTCTCGGGACCAACGGAGCTTACTTTCAGCCAAGAGTCTTGAATGGAGGATCCCCGTTCTGCCCGCTTCGGCATCTTTAACACTCAAAGGGACGTTCTCGAGCTCGTACGTGCCTGTTTCGATATTTGTCCCCCAGCCTGGTCTGGCTAAGATTCCACAAACAGAGAAACACACCCCCGGACATCACCCGCTATACAGATCACATATACCATGTCGTCGAGCACTATTTCTGGCCTCAAGGTCGAGAGCTTGAAGCTCGTAGGGGCGGAGAGCTATAAGCCATTTAAAGGCGTACGTGGGAGTGGACGTGGAAACGTTGAATGGAGATGGTAAATCAGGCTCACAATTGTACGCATCTGGGTAGTGAGACAGAGAAAGTCCATCCTGTAGAGTTACCCATTTAAGGTACGACGAATAAGAGTGTATCAATAATCCAATAAACCTTTTTTGTCCTTATATATTGAACCAGGGGTCGCCGCCATGTGCTGCGTAATGTGGGGTCCGCACGGTTAACATGTCGAATGGATGTGATGTGTTCAGTCTTGGCCTTTGCTCTGTCGTGGGTTTCATATCGTGAAACGCAATCCTACTGCGGTCAATTAGGTGGAATGCGCACTGGGGATCCGCCATCGACGGACCTCGTACCCGCTTTGTGTTTGTGTCTCTTCAGCAACAGTCGCCCATAGCCGGCAGGGAATTCCCAAGTTCCGTTCATTGGTAATTTGCTTAGTCATATGTCCATCATGCACCTTGACAACACCCATTTATGCCCGATTTGGAGACGTCCTGAAAAGAGCAGTCATGCCACTCTGCCCTGACGGGCTTTTCCTAGCCCCTTCGAAGGTTTTGGAATAGGAATCACCCTCTACTCAAAGTAATATCTAGATGTGCGAGCCAGCCTCCCAGCGCTTATGATCCACCGTGTTCGAGCTAATTTCGGCAAACTATCGCGAGCGATACGGGGCCGTGAGAGAACGAGAAGCTTCGGGAATGTGATCAGTGTGGGGTACTGCGCTCGGAGCGGGCCGGCATGGCCTGAGACTCGTCCATTCAGATGGTAGGCGGGTCTTGATCGAATGCTTCTTTTCAAAGAAGGTGGGCTTGCTGAATTCATTGCTGGCGGGTAGCTTCACGCCCTCCGCTTTGCAGAGGATGCAATGCTGATCTTTACCATCGTACCATCGGGAGGGCAGTTTCACTTCAGCAATAGTACGACAATTACATTCGTATATATCAATCCGAAGCAACAACAGCGTTCTATCTAGCTCAGATTCTAAAGACGACCATACAGATTGGGCTGGGGTATCTATTGGTACTACCGAGGCTATGAATACAGGAGTTGAGAGTAACGAAGGTTCTGGTCCGAGTTCCAGGCTGAGGAAGGAGTATGGACAAAGTTGCGCAAGGTTTCACTCACATGCAGATTAATTTTGACCAGCATGTGTGGATATAGATGATCGCAGCAAATCGCTTCCCTCTGTAACAAGTGTCATCTCGGAGACGTAGTGCGTTCGGTTCAAACACGCACATGAAGGATAGATGTGGAGTTTCAGTAGCTCACGTTCGTCCAGAACCATCTCGCCTTTCATGAAGCCTTTCCATTCAGCATGCCCGAACCGTCTCCAGTCTATCCACAGGTTCAGTACCCGACATTCCACCTGCTTCAGTGTCGGACAGTTCTCGGTCCATTTGAGCAGGTTGTTGTAACACCAAGGGATGTCATTCGCAGGCCGTACGGCGGGGATGGTGCCCTCGGTGCCCATGGAAAGATAGCGAAGGTGTTTCATCATCGCGAGTTTTGCAGCAAGCTTGTTTTCAAGGTAGTCCTGCATCACAAGTGTTCAGTTTGGCCCGCATCCTGTTGATAGGTACGGTGGCCTACCATGTCCGGTCGATCAATGAAAAAAAGGGCAAGCCTTTCCAGGTCAGGAAAGACCCGAGGGATGGAGTCCATAAGGCATTGGTTCCACTCGAAATGCAGGATCTCCAGGCTCTGGATAGGTCGCCGGGCATGCTTGATGGAGGTCTCGTATACCCACGCCAAGGGTTTGTCCTGCACATGCCTGCCCTGTTCTGACATGTCCTGCATCCAGAGTCTGACTTTGTTGATCTCGGAGTCTGGAATGAAGTGGGTGGCCAGGAACGCAGGCCCCGACCATGATGATATGTTAGGTGGCAACCGAGAATCGACGACGAAGAGAGGATCTGAGCAAAAGAAGTGGAGTTCCTCTAGTCGTTGCTGCCTAGCCACTATTTCATAGAGGATCGCGCCGTCGATATACTCGATATGCAAGCGACGGAGTGTGTTGAGTACCAGCTCTTGCAGCAGTGACTCGATGAAAAATTTCCCAGTGGTGAGCCCACCGATCACATGAAGATCTGTGAGGGTGTTGCTCAGCACCAGGTACAGCCAATCGACGAGGTCTTCCGGTTTGTCATATGCCAACTCGCCAATAGTCAACCTTTCTATAGAGTGATTCTTCCGGCGAGGTATATCTGCGAACATATTCTTCCCCAGTCGGCAGCTCGAGCTGATGGAGAATTGTCGCAAGGTCTTTGTTTCGGCCAGCAACAGGGCACCTCTGTAGCTTAGGACTGTCCCAGAGAGACTGACCGACTGGAGATTAGTGAGTATCCCCAAAAGTTGAACAATGCATGGTGGTGGAAAGCTAGCCACCATCAAATGAGCGTCGTTCCAGGTGATGCAGTTGATATCGACTGATTGCACGTAGTTTTGCAGATGTCGTCTTTTCTGTACCAGTTCACACAATGTCTCTGCATGGTGGTTCCGGTCATGATGAAAGCTCAGCCGCTTGAAGAGCAACGGTAGAGTCAGGATATAGAAACGGCGGCACGAAAGAGAAACGTTGAGGACCGACTTCCCCGAGTCGAAAAGGAGGCGAAAGATCATGTTCCAGATATCATCGGGGACCTTAATTCGAAATCCTTTGAGCTGTGCTTTGGGACTGAATGAAGCTCTGTCAGCGACCACGGCGACCGCAAGGGGCGGGACACTGACTGCATAAGGCGAAGAGAGCTGGCGGCGGCGCATATACAGGCAGACGAGGGTGTCTTGCAGGGGCATGGCAAGGGCAGGCGCTGAGCGCACTTTCCAGCCATCTTATGATCGAGCTGGTTCGATCCCTTCGGCTGCTTCCCGGCGACAGAAAAATGGTATAGGTCCCTAGACTCGCTGGTCATGAAAACATTACGCCAGGAATAGAATCGAATGGAAACACGCGGACAGCATGGACTCACATCGTTATGCGCATGCGACGGCTGCTCGTCGGTGAGGAATACGCTACGCGGGACAGGAAGGGGCACGAGATCGCGAAATTCCTGTTTTATGGAGGAAGCCTAGCTACCAAAATGATGGATGGCTTCTTTGTGGGAAGGCTTGCCTCATGGACCGAGGAGAACAGGACACGCTCCCACGAATGACCGCCAGGCACGGAGGGCCAGAAGGGATGAAAAACACGGCGGTCTATCTGCTGCCGTTCACAGAGCGTCACGCGCACAGACACCAGAGCGCGCGGAAGTGCGATTCTTGCCGGCGGTTAATGCTGCAGGCTCCGCCCTGACAAAGCGGAAGGAAGGCGCAAGATTAGGGGACAAGGGCGAGGACACGATGGCATGTATGGGCGCTTGGGCGCTTTATCGACGGAAACGCGAAAGCGATCCGCTCCATGTGCCTGCGAAAAAACATGACACCATGCCCAATTGAGAGCGCGAAATTGGCTCACCCCCGGATGACGGCCCCCAGGGAAACACAGAGAGTATCATGTGCGTGATCTGATACTCATTCACTCGTTCTGAATCGTTCTAGTCCCCTGCACCATCCGTTTGGCGTTTTAGAATTGCTGTCGTGTGTTATCTGCGCTGAAGCATGACGAGTTATTTTTTCTTCCCTGCGCGCTCCGAGGCTCCCGCGTGAGCTCGAGCTTGTTTCTGGCTCACTAACGATGCACAATTTTGCAGAGGACCAAAACGAACGGTCGCGCAGCTCTATAGTGGGAAAAGGGCCCGAAATGAGTCTAGTTCTATTCAATTGCCCCGGCTATTTCTCACTTAGCTGAGCGGTACGGTAAGGTAAGACAATAAGCCCTTGCAGGAATAACTGCAGAATCACTGGCTGTCAGTTTGGGTTGCATCCGCGGTTTTGGTCGCTTCGAAGGTACAGCTTCTAGCGAACCGGCGGTCGTGGCGGTGGGAAAATAAGCAAAGTGTTTGAGTTTGGTTGGCGAAGACCGTACCGGTGCGGTTGGGAAGGGGGAAGGGGGGGAAAAGGGAAAGGGTCCCCGAGCCTCCGTTCCGGAGAAGGACAGCCGCGGGGCGGACTGCCCCGGTCATATCGATATTGATCGTTTCATGCCGGACGTCGCTGCACAGTCGGTGATGACTAGGACGCCTCTCTAGAATTACTTAGCGCCCATTAGCAAAGTGGCTTCTAGTCTAAGGTATTTCCAGTCATTTCTCCGGATCTCAAGCTCAAAGACACGACTGAGCTGTTGAAGGTCAGTTTGCCGGACCGCGCTTCCGCCGGGAATGAATAGGCCTGAGCCGAGTGGCACAAAAGATCGGTATGTGGCTCGACGAAGTGCTAACTCCGACCGAGTTGATCAGCCATCTACCAAGATTGTTATTCTAAACCCGCCTGGAAAAGGTTCTAAAACCAGCGCTTCTGTATTTGTGTTCCAACTGCATTCCCAGCCCTCCTGCTCGAGTGTTGGGCGGGTTCTTCCGCCTGGCATGTGCCTCCTATCAAGTTTGCAGGAAAACTTGGCACAAAAATAATCAGCATGTGTGGCTGACAGACGAGTTTGTACGACGTGCTATCTTTGATTGCTGACCAGCCATCTGGAGAATGGCGCGAACCCGCCTGGAAAACCAGATGGGTACGAGCACGGGCGCTTCTGGATTTGCATTCCAACCGCATTCTTGGCCCGATCCGATCTTGATCTTATCCTGATCTTTGATCTTATCCTGATCGCAAGTGCACAAGTTGCATCGGGAGCAACATCTGGCTCAGAAGCTGGAAGAGGGCGATTAGAATAAAAAACCTGCTAGAAGCAGGAGCGGGAAACGAGATTTGCTGACAAGTGCGCATGCAGTCCCCATGTGGGGAAATTCCATACACATGGTAGCTTACAAGCAGGTGCAAGGAGGGAGGAGCGGAACTGTTGCACATTAATGCATTCCAACCGCGCCCTCGTGGGCGAAATGTAATGTACGGCGCGTGGAGTCATGTCGTCCTCGTCGTTCGCCCGGTCTGTGCGGGTCGTCGTGAGGGCAGCCGTACAACCTGTGATCCACACACGTTCAGAGGGCGCAGATGCACTGATTGTTCTCCCATCTCTCCTCATTGTTGGTTGTGTAACTACATTATTCAAAGCTGTGCATTGAGAGGTCGGTGTTGCCTCGTGGCCGTGCCTTCTGATTGAATGGACAGGGTGGAAGGATGATGTTGTCCCCGACGATCACACGTTGGACAAACTTTACATTGGGCATCTCTAGTATTTCCTTACTTCTCCCGGCATGCGCTCTCTCCATTTCATCTCCCTCCAGTCCTATTCCATTCTTGCCTTTTGTCCTTTCCTCGTTTCGAAATCTCAAACACACTACGGGCATTGAAACGCATTCACATTGACATTGGCATCTGGAGTCGATTGCAATTCAATCGTGACCGGAACGCCCCGCTATTATTTGCAATTGGGCTACCTGACGACGCAAGGCTCTCCTCTCTTCCTTATACCAAGCCTAGTGAGGAATCTGTTGTCAGCAGACGACGAGTTCCGGTATGACCCTGCCTACCAATGGCAACGAGGACCAGGCTGCCTTTACGTCGAGATCTGCGACGTTGTTATCTTCCTCGTCCGACTCTTCAAGCCTAGGCACAGGTTCGCGAAGTCCGGCTTTACCGCCAGTGCCCATCGTCGGCCGACAGAAAATTTCTCATCATCCCTCGCCCTCACTCCTCTCCCTCAGCTCTGTACTCTCTCACGCATCCTCTTCATCCAGCTCTACCTCCTCCAGCATCTTGAGCAACCTCGAGCCCCTCACACCACGAACCCCGGGCACACCGCACTCCCCCAGTTCACCACTGCTATCCTTAACCGAGGAATTCCGCAGATCTGCGTCTCCCTCACCACCTAGGCAAGCGCTGAAGGGTCCCCGCCCGAGACCATCGGTTAGCCCCAGGAAGGGAACTGTCAACCCCAGCATGGTCCACCCCAGTGGTGCACATGGGCATAACCAGCTCATATCGGTCCGACCACGTGGATCGAGACCTGTATCTGTCATGCCTACCATCCCCGCTGACGCACCGCTGCCTTCAAGGTATCAGCGGTCGTCGTCTAACCCTTCGTCGTTGTCTGCACTCCCCTCCCCTACCCGAGAGAAGGATGATCCAGAAGAAGAAGCAGGGAGAGAAGCGCAAAGAAGAGGAGAAAGAGACGCCGAAGAGGAAAGAGAGCGACAGGGAGAAAGAGAGGCAGAAAGAGAAAGAGAAAGGAGAAAGATATCCGACCATCCTCCCCAACTTCCTCAACTGGTCTTGACCACAAGCGGGGAGGGGTTCGAAACACTCCTCCCACTACTCTCTGCCAGTGAGGAAAGCAGAAGCAGCGGCGTTTCCTCCAGCCTCTATTCCAGCCTCTCATCGGGGACGCTGGTGTCCTTCCCCCTCCTTTCAGAGGCGGATCGTTTCACACCAGACAAGTCCTCCGATCCCTCCAGTCCCTCCCCTAACCCCTTATCTCCCTCTACCACCCCTGCCCAGTCACCGGTATCCCACACGCCCCCGAGCACTCCCCCCTTCAAGCCCACACTTCCATCCACCCTCTACTTGCAGGACGACCTACCTTCCCCAGCGGACGACCTCCCCCGCAGTAGCCCCCTCCGACCCGTCTCAAGCCGAACACCAGACCCGACACCTCCGAGCCCGGAAGACGTCGACTGGGGAAAGCTGGAGCGTATTATGGGCACTTGGAGAGCGGGACAGAGAGCGAGGAGCCGGGAGGTGGTGGAGGTGGTTAGGAAGGGCGAGGAGGAGAGGAAGAGGAGGTCCATGTTTCCTGGGGGCATGGATGGGTGAGGTGCGAAGCAGAGGAGGCCGTCGGAACGACAAGCCCGCAGCAAGGCTTGTCGGCGAACGGCATATTGGCGACCTTCAACAGTCCACGCCATATATGAAAGAAGTCTCCGCCGATTCATTATATCCGCCCACTTTGCTGGTCTGCTAGGGAGACCGAGTAACCAGCAGTCGAAGACACGAGACCAAGATCTCAACATCAATAAGATTTCACATACTACCGCATGTTTTCGAAGCAAATTGAAATTGGACGCTACAAACGTCGACTAGGCACTGTAGATATTTCAGGTGGTCACCAAGGATGTGCACCACACTTCACATTTTAGTATACCCAACAAGCACTATAGCTGTTGCTGTTGTAGCTATAACCACTACATCTATACCGCATTAATTTGCATATACTTTCGGTTCTCGTATGTTACCGCTATGGGCTGCAGTGCTCATTGGGAGATTCCTGGCACACGATCATGCAGCAGAGCATGTGGCCCTAAGCTGTCCACCGTGAGAGTGTTCTGTAAGCATGCAGCGATAAACTACTGGGTCCGAGGGCACAGCAACATGACATCTTGACGCCTACTTCTGATGGTGACCTTGCTGTTTGGATCGGAAACTTGCACCACTGTCATGGTACCCCGCAGATCACCGCGCGCATGAATCCACAGTACACACTTGCATTCAATAAACCCCAAAGAGGTAAAGGTATATCTTGAATCTATCTTTGAATTAGTACTCACTCTGGCGGGTGAATACTTGCTCGGAGGTAATCAACGCCATCTGGCCAGCTGGCTCCAATTCTAGGACCTAAGCGGTCCGTGCAGGAATGTCGCACCACCAGCAATATACGTCTGAAAGTCACCGAGACAACACAAACACGATCGACCGATCGACACACGTGCACGTGGTGCCAAGTCCAGGGCCTCTCACATAACATTATTGAGCCAAAGCATCGGACTGCGGCCGGAATCCGCCATTGCTTTCGGAATCTCGGGCGGAATGGGGCCGTGAATGCTTTGATTGATTGGCATTCTCGCTTGAAGATGAGTGAGATCTGTAATGTATCTTGCACGTATCTAGATTGACGTACGGGCAGGGTGCGGGTCTCCGTTTGGTGCGTCATCAAGCTCGGGTGCAGGCTCCCAAACCTAAAGACAGTTCGATGGAAGCAGGAAAAGCTTCTCTGTATCAAGGCTGTATCAAGAGAAGCTGCGCAAGTCTGGAGTTGTTCTTGTATGCAATACAGATCAGGAGTGAAGGTATGGAGAAGACTGAGGACGCCCTGTAACATTCCAGTGATCTTGCGTGCGGAGCGTGGCATAGGCGGGTCGGTGCCGAGAAGCAGCAACTGACCAAGAAGAATCAGACGATGTCCTCAGAAAGAGCATATGTCGATATTAAGAACTGAAGGGTCAAAGGGTGTGGAAGACGTCATACCTCATGATCGACAGCAGAGGACACATGCGGCTTCCACGCTTCTTCGCCTAGGATGGATGATTCGTCAGTCTGGTTTCAGAGCAACCATTATGCGGACTCGTTTCGAGAGACGAGGTGCATCGATCCAATGATGAAACAGCATCTTATTGCACGAGAGGAAAAGGCAAGCAGTTATTGCCGGTAAGACCTGTATCACACCAAAGAAATCACAACAAAGAGAGAGGGAAACAAACATGAACATGGACCGCGGGTTAGGTTAGGTTCCCGGCCAAGTATTTTCAGCAGAGAAAAAGAAGTGTCCAAGACTATATCACTTATCGGGAGTAGTAGAAGATTAGCGCCAGGGCGAGGACGACGCCTGAGACGACGATGGTGGTGTCGTCTTTGGGAGGAATTATCGCATCGAGGGCGTAGGATGATACCGGAAAGATTGAGGTGAAGATTCGAGTGAGCGTGAGACGGAGATGGAGACGGAGAGGGAGATGAAGAAGGAAGGACGTGGGCGGTCGTGAGGGGCGTAAAGATAGCGAGTGCGGTTGGGCGCGGGTGGGGCAGGCGACGGCGGCCAGTAGAGTGCAGGACAGAAAGACCAAGAACACTCATTTTCACTTGTGTTTCGAAAAGGTGGCTTTGATCTTACCGAAGAGACTCTGCCGCTTCTTCCTCTTATCCTCCCCACTCGGGCTCGGGCTTGCTTCGCTTGCGGGGCCACTGCCAGGCCCGGACTCGGTGGTTGGGAACGACATGTCTTGCGGTGCAGTGGTTATCGGCACTGGCGTTGGCAGCTCGGAGACGTCCTTCAGGGGTGGGAGGGGCGTCTCGTCTTTCTTGATCGGCTCCGGAGCGGTGCTGTCCTCTTTCGCTGCTTCAACAGCAGGAAGAGGCTCAACAACAGCTGCTATGGGCTCTGCGGGCGCAGACACCGGCTCAGCAGGAGGAACAGCCGGCGCCAGTGGCGCCTGCCCCACCTCCTCAGCACCAGAAGTGACAACGCCCAGATCCTCCTCATCAACCAGCGCCTGTTCCGCAGCCTGGCTCGCCTCAAGCTCCGTAGCCAGGTCGTCATCCACCGTACCCGTGACATCTGCCACCGCCGGCTCGGGGATATCAGAGGGCAGGTCGGAGGAGAACTCTTCCGCTCCTGCGTCTTCGGCCGGAGGCTCAGAGATGGGCTCCATCGTTTCTGGCATGGGGACGTGCTTCGGTCCGCCGTTGGTGCTGACGGGTGCGGTGAGAACTTCCTGCACTTCTTTCAAGGGCTCTGCTTCGGTGACCACGGGAGGGGCAACTTCCTTCTCGAGAGGCAGCTCCTCGCTGACAGGGATCTATATCCACACCATTAGGATCAGCCGGCGAATCAGGAAAGAAGATCACCTTAGGCGGATTAACAGGGTCAATGCCCGTAACACCAGCCAGAGCCGCGCCGACCCCGCTCGCAATATACGTGATCGCCGAGTGCGTACCTTCGGCAGCAGTGACCGTCTCGCGCACCTCTGTGAGCGTCTCTTTGTGCGCGTCGAGCAGGGGCTGGACGTGTTCTGGCACTTTATCAGTTACGGGCTGGAGCACTTCTTGTATTTTCTCCAGTGCGGGGAGGACGGCTGTCTGTGCTTGCTCCAGCACGGGTTGGATCGTCTCCTTCGCTCCCTCGGTCGCTGCTTCCACGTGTGGCTGCACGACAGGAGCGACCTTCTCATGCACGTCAACAACGGTCTCTGTCACGCTGGCCACAGCAGCCGGGACAGCGAGAGCAGCAACACCAGTGAGGTGGTCCACGACCGGGTTGACAGTCTCAAGCACAGGCTTGACGTGCTCCTCGTGTGACTGCTTCGCCTGTTCAAGGGCAGGCTGTAGAACAGTAGCGTGCAGCTCCTGCACCTTGTCCAACGCGGGGAGAATGGCATCCGCGTGCACCTCTGCGAGTTTGACGTTGACCGCATCGACCACGGGCTGGATGTGCGCTGCGTGCAGCTCGTCCGCCTTCGCAGCGGCCGCATCTAGCGCCGGGGCGATGTACGCCTCGTGCACGTCTGTAGCGGCCTTACTCACCGCGTCAGTAGCAGGCTTGACGTAGTCGTTTACCTGGATAGCGACGGCAGTGAGGGTACTGCTTGTTGTCGAATCCGGGGATTCGGCTAGCTCGTCATTCTGATTCTGTGTTACCGGGGCTTCTACAGCTTCAGACGGCTGGGGGACATCGTGTGCCTGGACTTTCTGCTGCGGGGGGAGCGAAGCCTCGACCTCCGGGGCAAGCTCGACCACGTCCTGTGCCTGAGGAGCCGGGACAGGGACCTCCGGCACCGGCGGAGCAGGAGTGACAAGGACGTTGTTCACGTTCCCGGAATGGTCAGCCTCTGAAGGCTCGTCCGAGCTCGTGATCCAGTGTCCATCAACGAGGTACTTGTAGAACACTTTCTCGCTGTAGGGGAGGGGGATGGTGCCGCTGAACCCGGAGTCGGATTTTGTCAGCGAGTGGGAGGAGGTCCACTGTGTGAGGCGAGGAGAGGAGATAAGAGGTTTAGCTAGGGTGAGGGGGGGAGGGGGAGATAAGAACGCACATTGTCAAATGTTCCTGTGACGACGACATTGTTGGCATTGGAGTGCGGCCTGCTGATTGTGAGCTTTGTGCATGTGAGTATGGGTGGACATACCATGTGAAGGTCGCTTGGTAGGACATTGCTTTTCACAGGATATCTAAGAAGAAGTCAGCGATTCCTCGACGGAATAACAGTGCTCACCTATTGGGATGTTAATGTTTGTGAACGAAGCGTATACCGATGGTATCGGCGATAGGGAGAGGAGGAGGAGGAGGAAGGAAGAGGGAGATGGTGGAAAGGAAGAAGGAGTAATGAGAGAACGTGCACTTCGCTTGTGAAAAGTACAAGATGAGCGCCACTCCATTCTCTCTTACGTCATCACATATTGATTACGTCAGCATTCCAGACCGTGATATATAAGCCTCATGCAGCAAACCATCGTATTTGAAACAAGGTGATGATGGCCCTCCTTGCAATAATGGCTAGATAGTTCATACACGGTCTATTTCATACAATTAGGATAAAATCAACTGGTGCAAATCTCACAATAATGCAGATAAATAATCCACAGTCCTCAAGCCAACAAAATATAACAAAGCATGCGTTTTCCCTGCTCCAGCCCGTCTGACCCAGCAGTATCCCGCCCGGGCCCATACAAAGCTCGTACTCAATTCGGGTGCCCATCAACCATCCCAACCCTCATGATCCTCCCCACCATCTTCCTCAGCTCTCCAACGACCCATTCCGGCCTTTCAGCCTGGATGTTGTGCGCCGCCCCGAGCACCACTATCGGGCCTCTGGCTTTCTCGGGCAGGGTGAGCTTGAGCAGGGCTCGGTGGTAGGATTCCCAGTGCGGCTGGACGTAGCGCAGCGTTATGGACGGGTCCATGCCGATGTATCTCTGTTCTTAGTCTTAGCACGTCGACCGACTTAGGGTGAAGGGGGAGAATCGCGCACCTGACACTCCTCTTCCGCAAACGGGAGTGGATCGTGCATCCCCACCGTAACATACGGCCAATCCGGCAGCGGCGGGCCATCAGCGCGGGGCAACATGCGTGGTATCCCCTCCCTCCTCATGCCCCCCAGGACCACTCCCTCACTCAGATGTTTCCTCATTCCCTCCCTGGTCCTCGTCATCGTTTCCTCCTCTCCGACCTCATACGCCGGTAAAAGCGCAACAGGCAGCGTATCAGTCAGATAATGGTCGAGGAACAGCACTCCCCTGACGCCCTTATACCTCCCTGCATAGAGCCTGGCCAACGCGCATCCAAACGCGTTCCCAACAAGTACGAGGGGTATATCCTCCACCTCATGCTCCACCTCCGCCTCCTGATCCACATTCGTCTCGTTCCCTACGATATCCCTCAACAGCGCCGCAAGATCCTGCACCGCCTGCTCAGGGTCGTTGTACCCCGAAGGATGGGCGGGGTCGGGCCCGGACTCGCCCTGCCCATACCGGTCATAGCGGATCATCCAAGCGTCGGGGCATAGGGAGCGGAAGGAATGGATGACTTCGAGCCAGGTCTTGCTATCCCCGAGCAGGGGGTTGAGGAATAGGATGAGCGGGGTGAGTGGGGAGAGAGGGGAGGAGCCGGCGTAGACGTGGGCTGAGAGAACGGAGCTGAGCTTGCCCGGCAGACGCAGGAGGTTGTGTTGTGGCCAGTGGGCCATGCGGGGGTGTTCCTGTTCCTGTTCTGTTCTGTTTCTGGGAGTGGGAGGGCAGGTTGGGACTGAGTGTGGTGTTGCTGAGAGACGAGCAAATGATTGATGAGGGATGGACCCGTTTAGAGTGTGGTGGAGGGTAATCGGTGAATCACGGGTGGCAAGTGCAGTGGACAGATTCGATCGAATGCAAGCAGAGTACAGAGGAGTGGTCAAAGTCGTCGCACTCGTCGTTCGCGCAGTTAAGTAGTAAAGCAAAGTGCCGACAAAGCTAATGCCCAAGTTGCACTTGGACGTCGGTGACTGGGGATGTCACGATGTCAAGTGAAGTGTCAAGTCTCTGAGGCCCTGATTCACGGTGAGGCAACACCTGCAGGCGGTACAGTGACGCAACTCTTAGGGACCACGGGAACAGCGGCCGATGAACAGATCGTGTAATCGTATTTGATGCATAGGATATGAATTGATTGGTGGGGCAATGGATCAGCGTGGACATGAGGTACGAGGGGGAACGTGCATGCTGTCCAGTGTGTCTTTATCTGCCGAAAGATAAAGGATACTTGATAACAAAGATCCTCAGAATCGGATCGCTCTTCAGCACTGCTGAATACCCGGCAACTAGCACATCGTCAACATCAACCTCAACCTCGTAACCTCAAAATAAGATACTGCAGTTATGAGAGAACGTTCGTCCCAATCGCAACCCTAGCAAACCCTCAGCAGTCTGATAGGGAAGCCCTCCCGCCTTTCCGCACGGATCAGTACCAGCTTCGAAAGGAAATAGGAGTGAGGTCATGTGCTCCAGCGCTTAGTTAGTCGGTGAGAACGTGCTGGTGCGGGGAAATATGTTGTCGGACACCGACGGGCCGTTGTGGGAGTACGACTTGTTGTTCAAGGGCGTGTTTGGGGGCAAATCATGAGCTCTGCGTTGGTCGGGAGGAGTCACGAGCGCCAGGGGTTGATGGCGTTCATATGCGAAAGATGAGGGAGTTTTCAAGTCATTCAAAAGCCTCAATTTCTGATACTCCGAGAAGGACTTGTACGACGTTGTCCCACCCAGTAGCAGGTGGTCGTATGCCTAACCCACGCATGCGACGTGGCACTTCCTCTGATGCGAAGAAACACGTGCACCCTCGCCAAAGGGTAGCACCGCCCCTTACGTCGATTAGTGCGGGGCGCGTTCACGCCCTGACAAAAAAACGGTGTCCCCCTAGGTCTGTCGCCCTCCTCACTCTCCTCTTGCTCCTACACTTGCGATGGCTGAGCTCAAACTACCACCACCACCCAGACCGGGACTGATAAAGACGCTTAGTGGGACGGCGATCAATTCCCTCACAGCGCCGTTCAACGAAGATGGGATCGGGGATTGGCAAGCGGCATTCACGCTCCTCGGTACGCACCCACTATCTGCACCAGTGTTTCGCGCAGCAGTACTGACTTTGGGGATAGATACGATAGAGACGTACTTTGACTCGCACTTTGATTTACTGGAAAGGAGGTTTAAGAAGACGAGCGATAGGCTCCGGTCAAAGGCTAGCGAGGCGTTGGCTGCCCGTGGTCCGGGGAGGACACCGTTCGAAAAGGAGCTAAGACAGTTTAGGGTCAAGGTGTGCTGTTTATCACACCTCACTGTCAGCGGCTAACGAGGTGTAGATCGCGGGCAGGATATCGAGCTTGTATGATACGTGGCATTCGTCCAAGGTTGTTAGGTTGAAGGGGAAGGTACGTGCTCTATCTTGGCTTGTTCGCCTTCTGACATGCTGGCAGGTATCATTCTTCATCGGCGTGCAGACTGTCTTGATATCCGCGCTCATCTTTGGTATGGCCCCCGAGTATGCACAAAGCGTATCTTACATCATGAGGTTGCTGACTGCTGGTTGCTAGGTGGATCCCCTTCGTATACACAGTCCAGATGGCATACTCCTTCCCCTATCGCGTCTACACATTCAAGAAGAAAGCCTGGCATTATTTCCTCTTCGGTGCGCACGTCTTCCCTGTCTCTCCAGCACTCTCTCATATGCGTAGACCTCTGCTACTACGTCAACCTCCTCAACATGGTCTTCATCTGGTTCATGCCCCAGTCCAAGTTCCTCTTCCAAAGCTGCTATCTCCTCTCACATGGTACGCCTTCTACTAACCTTCTCACAACGACTACTCACGCTCTGCAGGCCCAATCGCAAGCGCTGTCATCACCTGGCGGAACAGTCTCGTATTCCACGACGCGGAGAAGATCATGTCCCTGTTTATCCACTTCTATCCCCCATTTGTGTTCACCGTGATCCGGTATGTGCGTTTCTCAGACTTTCGTGCGTTTGCTCATTCCCAGGAAGACATTATTATCCCCATGCGGAGGAACGCTTTCCTGCCCTCGTTGGGCTCGACACTCTGAGCCCGTGGAAAGCACTCCTTCTGAGCGGTTTCATCTGTACGTCACTTAGCCTCATATCGCTCCCATACTCACATAACGCTAGACACCGTATGGCAAGGCCTGTATTGGAAGTTCATCGTCATCGACCGCGGTGCTAAGATCTCAGCCGGGAAGCGCACGACCTCCTTCTCGTACATGCTCAACGACAAACGGGGGATCATCGGTCGCATGCTGCGGAACATCCCTCCGGCATACAAGGAGCCGTCCTTCATGGGTGGTCAACTCGGTGCGTTCCTACCTCCTACTTGAGAGTTCCACGCTGATATGTATGCGCCGGTAGTGTATTCCCTCCTCACAGAGCTTCCCGCCGTGTTCCTCATGTACAACAGCCGCCGGTGGAGCGCCGTGTTCCTCATGATAATCTTCAGCGTGGCAACCTGGAACGGCGGGGGGTACTACATCGAAGTCTTTGGGCGAAAGTTCGAGCGAGAGCTGGAAGCGCTCAGGAAAGAACTGGCAGAAGCTTCCGCAGCAGCGTCGAACGTCTCTGGCTCTCCGGGCCCGTCTTCCCCTCCCTCGGAAGCCGAGTCCCAGTTGACATCCCCCGTGATCGTCGCTTCGGACATTGGGTTCTCGCCAGTGAACGTGCCCAGTGACGTAAAGGGAGAAGGGGAAGGGGAAGTGGAGACGCTGGATCTGAGCGAGCTGCACGATGAGAGACAGGTCGCCCAGGAACTGAAGAAAGACCAGTGAACTCCCCTGGCTGACGGTGCAAGATCTCATACGTTCCATGCCTTTTGCACGAATTGAATGACTCATGACATACCAGCGTTATTCGAATATATCAATTCTTTTGTAATGATCCTATTTAGCTAGTCAGTCCACTCTGTTCAAATATTATAATCATAATTTTCATCGAGAAAAACGAATAACAAGGGACTGATTGCGAATGAATAGACTTTCCCTAATAGGGCAGCCACCCGCAAGAGAGAGCCGAGCACGTCGGCCAATTGTCCCTGCTCGCTGTTCACCTCTGTTCACTCTTCGAGCTCGCCGTCGCCGTCAACGAGCAGCGCTCAAAAGGGACGCCGATGTCCCCCCTAATACTTCGCATTGGCTGTCGTACACTGCACACAAGCAGGCCCACCTTGCTGCGAAATATCTCCAACCTCGGCGCTGTACCCAAGCCCGCCGTACCCTTCACCGTCCCCGCCCACCCTGCCATTCGAGCATCATCGCCCTCTCGTATCCTCAGCCTATTCCGCCCCAGTCCCAAGCTGAGATTCTTCGCAACTTCATTCCCTCTCGGTGTTCGCCCGCTGCCAGAAGCATACTTCACCGTCACTCGAGGACTAGCGACCGTTGCCCGTACTCACCCGTCCCAGCCCCCGCCTCCCTCCAGTCCCAGTCCCAGTCCCAGTCCCAGTTCCAATTCATCAAATCCAACTCCCTCAGCAGAGCAAGTGGAAGAAGAAGTGAGTCCCCCCCTCCAGCCGCTCTCCCCCGCTTCCGTAGGCTACTGGCTCTTCCTCCTCGCCGCTCTCTCGTTTAGCATCATCACCGTTGGAGGGGTGACGAGGCTCACTGAATCCGGGCTGTCAATCACGGAATGGAGGCCTGTGACGGGTACACTCCCGCCTATGAGTGATGAAGCGTGGGATGAGGAGTTTAGGAAATATCGGTCCACTCCGGAGTACAAGATGTTCGTCCCCCCTCTTCCCCCATCCCTCTCCCTGGTGGACGTAACTGACCCCAGCACAGGCTCAACACCAACATCACCCTCGAAGCGTTCAAGCGTATCTATTATATGGAGTACTCTCACCGTCTTCTAGGCCGGTTCATCGGTCTCGTCCTGCTCGTACCCTTCGGCTACTACCTGGCACGACACAAGCTCACCCCGGGCCTCCCGAGCAAGCTTCTCGCCCTGACTGTGCTGCTCGGCGCCCAGGGCGCACTGGGCTGGTACATGGTTGCCTCAGGGCTGGAGGACGAGATCCTCCATACGCCAGGAGCCGTACCCCGCGTAAGCCAGTACAGGCTGGCCGCGCACTTGGGAGCAGCGCTGGTATTCTACGCCGGGCTGGTGTTGATGGGGCTCTCGGTGCTCCGGGACGCTGCGTATGTCAAAGGGAAAGGGTGGCGTGCAGACGGAGGGTGGGAACGCGCTTGGGCTGCAGCGCCAGCCCAGATGCGCCAGTTCCGCCTGGCGACATACGCCGTTGCTGCGCTGGTGTTCGTCACCGCCCTCAGCGGGGCGTTCGTCGCCGGCCTAGACGCGGGGCTGATATACAACGAATTCCCTCTCATGGGAGGTCGGCTTATCCCTCCTGGGGAAGAGCTCGTCCGGCCCGAATTCAGCCAAGTGAGGATCAAGCATACTCGGAAGGACAGCAACGGCGCCCAGAGCGTCCACATCGAAGAGCTAGACCAGCCATGGAGGAACATATTCGAGAACCCGACAACGGTGCAGTTCGACCACCGGGCGCTGGCTGTCACGGCCTATGTCGCTGTAGGGGCACTGCATTTCCTCGCGCTGAGGTTTAGGAAGGTGCTGCCTCTGCATGCACGGAGGCTGGCGGGTTGGAGCTTCGGGTTCGCGAATTTGCAGGTTGCGCTGGGGATTAGCACGCTGATCTACCTCGTACCTGTCGAGCTGGCGGCTGCGCATCAAGCTGGGAGTGTGTGCTTGTTGACGGCGCTCTTGGCGCTGATGGCCGTATTACGCAGACCGGGGAAGTGGGGGATCCTTTGGCGGGAAGCGGTCAAGCGTGGGCAGGTGAGGCGTTGACCGCTGTGTACGGAAGGAGGGGGAATGGGGCCTCTGGATGGGCTGGAAAGTTGGAGACGAAAAAGAAATTGGTGCCACCACTCACTGTACTATACACCATGGGCAGACGTAATACACTTGGTTTCGCTGCATTCGACTCGACTGTTCTGCCCACTGGGGTATACGGAGGCGGTCATGAGAAGAAGAATAATTCGATGCTATTCAGACAGTAACAACTACCTAACCCATGTTGACATCATCGTCCGGCAATCCGCCTGGCATCTCCTCTGCCGGGGCCTCTGCTGCAGGCGCGGCCGGAGCACCAGCCGCCGCCGCCGCTGCTGCTGCTGCTGCGACAGAAGTGACAGGAGCGGGCACTTCCTTCGGCTGCATGCTGTCCAAGTAAGGCTGGATGACCTCCCCCTCCAAGATCCGGAAGACGCCCTCCTTGCCCAGGGAGGCGATGTTGGCTTGCTCGTTCACCCCTGCAGGGCCAAGGATGCCGATAGAGGTGTTGTGGATCGTCAGCTCTTTGTCTTGCTGCAGCGTCTCGCGAAGCGCGTGCAGGCCGTGCCGGATCAGGTCTTCCAGCGATGCTGCACAGCGTCAGCTGCAATTCCCAACAGGAGAGCCGAAAGAGGAGGGAAGGGAGGAGAAAGGAGACACACCATTCTCGAACAGCTCAAAGTGTTTCTCCAAATACGTCTTCGCGCTCTGACTCCGTGCCCCAATGCTCATCGCATAGTACTCATAACTGTTCCCCGCAGGTGAGAACTCGTACAAGTGCGGTCCGCTCTGGTCCTGCCCGATCACAAGCAAGCCCACACCGTACGGCCTGCGCCCGTATTCCTGGGTGTTGACCTGTGCCCGATCGGCAATGGCGGATACGAGGCGGTTCACAGGGACGGGACGGTTGAATGTCATCTTTGATGCCATCGCTTGCTGGCGCATGAAGTTGCTGTTCCGGGTTAGAGGGAAACAGATGGGTGCAGGCATATGCGTACCTTAGCACTCGGGCGTCAGACGTTAGCCCGGCGATGGCGATCCCGACATGGTCGTCTATTCGGAACATTTTCTGCTGGTAGGACGCCAGCTCGCCGGAGGATCTCTGGCACAATGTTAACTACAGTCTCATGCTTAAATATCTGCGCACCTTCAGCGCTAAGAGTACGGCGTGCGTCTTGGACCTCATCCCTACGGCAGCGCTGCCCTGCTTGACGGCCTCGAGTGCATACTCAACTTGGTGCAGCCTTCCCTGGGGTGAGAAGACAGTGTTATCCGAGTCGTAAGTATTCCTAAACTGTGCATTCGTCAACACCTAGTTATTATGAGCATATATGTGCACTGACCATTGTAGAAGAAGAAGAGAGGGCTGACGACTGCGACGAGGACGAGGTCGAGGACGATAAGGACGTCGATGGTTACGCGTCGCTGCAGCGCGAGATTCTGATTCCGTGAGGGTTCAACAAGAGACGCGCATGACTTATTGGAGCCGATGTCTATCCGGAGATGGAATACATTAAATGCGCGTACATTCATTAACCGTTGACGCTCTGTTCACTACGCTGGCTTGTATTGTCATTATCGAATATTTACTATTGGGAATCTTGGTGTACTGATACTACTGATTGACTTGTGACTTGCTGGAAACTAACTGAAGATGGACTGGTTTACTAGTTACTTCGCACACAAGCGTGACTGGTACGTTCATCCTCCCTCTTATCTCTCTATCCTCTCACTCACCTCCCACAGCGCCAACAAACGTGATCTCCGCACCAAAGCCCTCCTCTCCCTCCCGAGTGAATACCACAACCCCCTCCCCTCCCAACCGCTCATCCTCGCCGCCCCTCTGTCCCAGCTCATCCAGAATGTCCAGTCCGGCAAATGGACTGCGAAGGAAGTGTTGCGCGGCTATGGGCAGAAAGCGGTCGACGCGCAACGGGAGACGAACTGTCTGACAGAAATCCTCATTCCGAGTGCTGAGGAGTGGGCTGAGGGGGTTAAGACGGGCCCGCTTGCTGGTGTACCCGGTGCGCTGTCTTTCCTTCCCAGATGCGGATCAAGAGGTTGAGACGACCCCAGTGAGCCTGAAAGACACCTGTAACGTAGCTGGGTACGACTCCTGCATCGGGTTCTCAGCATGGACTTTCAAGCCCTAGAAGAAAGACTCTGCGCTCGTCAGGCTTCTCAAAGATGCTGGAGCCGTACCGTTTGTGAAGACGAACGTCCCGACTTGTCTGTTGAGCTTTGAGTCGTGCGTATTCTTCAGCATATATGGTCCTTATCTAACTTGACAGGCAGGTACAACGATGTATGCACCTCACCTCACTTTGACCTAACCTAACACCCTAAGCTGACGAACTTCAGGTATTCGGACGCACCACAAACCCATACAACGCCGCCTGCACGTCCGGCGGATCCTCAGGCGGGGAATCCGCACTGATAGCCTACGGCGGGTCTATCGTCGGCGTCGGTTCAGATGTAGCGGGCAGTGTGCGTGTCCCTGCACATTTCTGCGGCATTTACACTCTGAAATGTACGTGTTTCCATTCGGGTATCGATTGACAGAGGTATACAGGAAATGGCTGATACGGGGATGTAGGTTCTACAGGCCGATTCCCTCGCGCGGGTAATACGAGCGCCGTACGTCCTTCAACGGCATGGTATGAGCTGGAAGTTGACAGGGCTGTAGATGCCAGGGCAAGAAGGCGTCAAGGCTTGTTATTCGCCGATGGCGCGGTCGATGGAGGCGCTGCGGGTTTTCTTGAAAGCTGTGGTAGATATGAAGCCGTGCGTTCTTCTTCCTCTGCACCTCTCTTCTTCGTCACGTTTCACACACTTCCTACTCTATCCCCATCTCGTTTCTCCCCAGCTTGGCTATTGGCTCTCAACCCGTGACCACCCCGCTAACCCCTACCAGATGGGACTATGACCCCTCGTGCGATCCACTCCCCTGGACCGAGCCCTCCCTCCCCAAACAACTCCGCTTCGGTGTCCTCTCCTCCGACGGGGTCGTCCGCCCCTCCCCCGCCTGTGCCCGTGCCGTCTCCCTCTGCATCTCAGCACTCGAAGCAGCAGGGCACACCGTCGGCCCCTTCCCCTTCTTCCCGCCCTCGCCTCTCCGCGCCCTGCAGACAGCGTCCCAGCTCCTCCTAGCAGACGGGGGGAAGACCGCCCTCCTCCCCTTCCGTTTTGGGGAATCGAACGAGCTCGGCTTAGAGCGCATGTTATGGCCTATGCGCTGGCTCCCCCGGTGGGTAAAACGATGCTGGGCCTGGTGGCTCGAGCATGTTTCCCAGGATCCGGTCTGGGCAGCGCTTGTCCGAGACTGGGCGGAGAAGTCATACGTCGAGCAGCAGCGGCTTGTCGTCGAGCGCGAAAACTATCGAGCCCAGTTCCTCCAGGCATGGCAGAATCACGCAATCGATTTCCTCATCACGGTGCCCAACGCTACTCCCGCAGTGCCACACAACGCTTTGAGGGACACGTTCGCCTCGTGCGGGTATACATTCCTGTTCAACTACGTCGACTACCCTGCTGGTGTCCTCCCGGTGACGAGGGTCGACCCCGCGCTGGATCAGCTCACGGACAAGCCGCAGAATGCAGTAGAGCGCGGGGCGTGGAAGTGGTATGACGCGACGCTGATGGCTGGCTTGCCCGTCGGGGTGCAGGTCGTCGGCCGACGGCTAGAGGAGGAGAAGACCTTGCGTGCGATGGAGATCATCGAAAGCGCGCTGAGGGCGTATGGCGTCACGTACCAAGTATAGATTAGGGATAAATCTAAATTGTTGTAAGCTAGGAATGGCTACCAAGAGAAGTACAGACAATTATCGGGTATAAGCTATCAGGTATCGTATGACATGATCCGAGGATGCCCGCTTTCCATGTGCTCCCCTTTCCCACACTGTCGCCGCCGAATGGGCCATAAAGGGGAGTTGGTAGCCGCATCAGTCCCTGGACTGAATTCACTCCGACTCGTCAGATTCGTACTCTTCTGCTGCTGCTCGTTCTAGCGCACGGACGTGCGCTTCGAGGTTTGCTCGTGTCTGGGGAGAGGAGACGATGGAGTCTTCGAGCAGGTCTTCTTCTAATATCTGCCGCATCGGGAGGTCCACTTCGTTCATGCAAGTAAGGAAGAGGGTAACAATGTGCTATTTCCGGTTCAGCCAGGCCATTCCTTTGGGCTCAGAGTGACACACCTGCGTCAGAAGTTTCCACATCAATGATGCCCATCCGTTGTTTGCCATCTCAGTGCCCGTTTTGAGGTATTGTAATGTCGTCACCGAGTCCGCGACCATGTACTGCTGCGGTACTGTGTACATCAACATTGTCGCTGTCATGACCGCGGCCTCGTAGCCGCAGACATGGTACTGGAATCCGAGAAGAGAATATGTCCCCTGACAAAGACAGCAGATCCATGTGTTCCTGTGTATCTCTTGCTCTGCAACGCGAAAAGAGATGGCCTCGTTAAGCGCAAACTGGGTCCTGTCGATGCCCAGCTCGGTCGCCGCTTCGATGCAAGTTCGCAGGTAGGAGTCGCCGGCGAGAAGAACATCGACATGTTTTGTGATGGGGTGCGTGACCTCGGTCCTGGGGAAGGGATTCGCGGCGGACATCGGAGCAAGAAGGTTTCTGAGAGGGGGGAAGGCTTGTCCAGCTACTCCAAGGTGTACGTCCAAGTAGGTCGCTTAAATATGTTCCAGTAGACTCTCATGACCAGGGGGGAAAGGGGGTAACAAAGTACAAGTCACGGTGACAGAGAAGTGCTGCTGGCCTTGATCATTGATGAGAACATGACCGCCAGCACAATAAGGAAGCATGGTACCACGCGACAATGTGGACGCCGATGATATGGGCGCCAACCCGGTGCCCGGCGCTGGTCCGAACCGCTTCTCCGCCGGTCAGAGCACAAAAGCGTGAGCAAGCCCTGAAAGTCAGATGTCTCCTCTTATCCCAACGCCTTGGAACCTGACAATGAAATGACTCTTTCATGTGCGGAGAAGCGCCAGAATAATTCACACTTTGCCATATATGGAAATCCCCGATCAAATATCTGATATGGTGAGAGCAGCTGGTCACTTTAAGCATCACCCTGTATGGGTATGTCAGGGGCCGTTAATGGCTACGGGAGAAGGTGGATCAAGCCTGTACATGTCCTTGTAAACTCTCCAGCGGGCGGACCATGTTCTTGACATGCTGCGAAGCGTGCACTCCCCTAGCATCTTTCAGTGGCCTGGAAGAGAACACCGCATGTCCTTGCATCAACCGAAGTGTTCCCATGAGGAATAATAGCCGATTCTCCTGTTCCCGAAACAAGGGAGCGCAGAATGGTTTGACCGACATCCTTCATAATATTCTTCGGAATATTCCTATCAACACCTGAGCAACCACACTCCGCATTGTTTTTGTCGTGTTATTTTTACGTCCGTCCGAAGGAGAACCAAGTGTCTGACCACTCCTCTATCTGGGGCCAAAACTCTGACTATAACCGCCAGCTCTCTGATATCACCTGTCAAAAATGTTATTCGGCTCTCTCGGCAAGGGTGTCATCTGAGACCCGACGTCCACGGAAAGATTGCTGGGTATTCTACCATGGTGGTTCTGAGCAAGTTGTTGGAAAGGTTGGGGAAACTAGGAAACAGTCTTTAAATCGTGGGAACTCGGCACGTCAGCTTATACGTCAACTTCCGGACTTTGCACCCCCGCCATCAATTCAAGGCCATGTGCGCTCAGCGATCTGATGGGCTACTGCCGCATGCAACATTTGACCACGCATCTAGAATGAACGAAGGTGAGAAGGCACGGCATGGACAAAAGGGGGGTGTTAGAAGTGTCGTTGGCAACCTTGTCGAGGCTCGCGGGGATAGTACAGACCCTGTCGGGATTTCCACAATCTCAAAGGGCACCCGCAGATAGTAGGAATGCGAAGCGATCCGAATCTCCGAATGCCTGTCTCCGAATGACAGGCCGGACCGGTGAGATGCGAGCTGAATGTAATGTGGTCAAAGGAGTTTTCATTCAGTCTGATTCCGCCCTACTCAACGGACCAGACAAATCATCGTATCGTCCCATATAATACAATTGAATAACATACAAGGTCGAAGTGTGCAGATGTTTCGATTCCGGTCCAGGTCGTTCGGGTCCGCCCGACCCTTCTACTCCGTGGACCACTCCGAGTCTTCGTACTCTTGTACATCCTTAGCGACCTGTCTTAGGACGGCTTCTCGGTTAGGCGCGGCATTCAGCACTCGAGGACTGATGAGCCTGTCGTCCAACAACATGCCAATGTCGACCATGGCATGCGTGTCGTGCTGCAGGAATAGCTCGATGAGATGCTGTTCATCATCAGCACCGCTGCATCCGATAATGACGACATATTTGCGTACCTCGCTGACTAAATCCCATAGCAACCAAGCAGCATAGGTCTGCAAACGCAGGGCTCTTTGCTTCAGATGTAGAAGCGCTGTCTCCCCATCCGCGACTCGACGTTGTCCACCACGAATCTCGCAGAGGAGCGTAATCTTGAGACTTCCACAAGGGTGCATCTGCCAGGTCGGTGACATATTGTGACCGCAAGATGCCCCACATCGCTTGCACACGTTGTACCATCTCCCAGATTGCTGGTCGAACCACGATTGTTCCTTCACGAGGAAAGCAGTTTGATCGAGTAGTATCTGGAAGTTGTTCTCTGGTAGACGCCGGTTGCGAATGGCATCGTGAAACCTCTGCATGTCGGGATCGTGATCCACCCGCACGAATATGTGTGAACCGTGGGGTGAAAGGGGTACCATAGTCATGGGATCCTATGAGATGACGTGTGCGAGTTGTGCGTATGACTGTGCTGAAGCATCAGGGGTGACACTCTGAAATACTGCAAAGCGTGCGCACCGAGCCAGACCAGCGTATTTACTCGGTCTCTGGGCAGTAATGGCGCGTAGATGTGGTAGATATGACTTCGAGGGGGGATTAGGGGTGAGCTCCTGCCTGAGTCGAAGGGGGGAACGGTGTACGTACCAAGCAAAGGCCAATATATATACCCCGTCTTCTCAGATCGACCGCGCGTCACGCGGTGAAATTCTCCCTGTTCACAAGCTCCCGAATCCGTGTAGCTTGTGTGGTGTCCAGCTGTTGAAGCTGTGAATGCCACCGGCGGAAGATGCGGGAACTGAGCTCTCGAGAGGGGCAAAATGCAGACGGGCGAGATGTGATGACTGGCAGCTGTCCAATTAAATCCTGTTTAGCGTCGACCGTGATGTGATATGATAGGTCTGCTGGCAGTTCAATGTCGCAGATGGCAACTAAGTCCTCTAAAGTCCGCTCGCCCTGGGACGTGACCCAGAGCGCGAAGCCATCAGGAACGCGAAGGCCCGGGTGATGCCCTTGTCACCGCATTCAAGCCGCTCAAAATCCCCGGGACTGTTCGCCGAGAATGTCGAATTTCAGCAGAAATTTGCGTGTGAATGTGGAATCGGGGAGGCTAGAGGTGCCGATTGTTGCGGCTGTATGGGTCTGATTTGAGGGCAAAGTGCGGACGAGAGGAAGCATGGTCGACGAGGACAATGGCGCGGAAGATATTTTTCCTGTAGGATCACTATCACCGTGTTGCATACCTGTCCCCGAACATGCTTGCCTGACACGGGGGTTCTCTCCATAAACTGTAATAGCCATTATTTGTTGAATTATAAGGGTGTTCAAAAGTCGCAAACTAAAAGGATTAAAAAGAAGCTGACAGAGCGGGGGCAGCACAACAACTATACACAGTCCAAGGACGGAAAACTCTATTTTGGCGCTCACCTCGTGGCTCTCCACGTGCGGGGAAAATATTCCAACTTCTCTTTTGGTCTGACCCTTTGACATCCTTTGTTAATCTTGTCTTAAATATAATCTTGTCTCAGACACCTCCATATCCACATTCACGTACAAGAATGCACAACATATCCCCGCTCACCCATGACAAAACCTTGTAATTGGATTCACCAAATCTTCACACCACACATCTTCTTCCTTTGTCGTCACAATTTTCACCGGTCCAGTTCAGGGTACTGAACATTCTAGAACGTCTGTCGATATATCCAGCCAGATCTGGCTTGATGAAACCGCGGCACCCGAGCTGATCCGTAGACAGAGGACTTTCCCTCTTTACTGACGATTACACTCGCCATTGCACGCTCTCCTACCAACTCCTCTTTGGTCTTGTGGATATAACAATGGGCGGGTCATGTCTCTGATCACGTCACTAGATGCATCTAATTCGTTCACTCCAGACCCGCTTGCAATATTGTCGGCTGCGGTCGGCAACCCGGCCGAATCCATGGCGCCCTCCGACCCCTCAGGGTAGACCGGACATACACCATCATTTTCTTAGCTCCGGGGTCTCTTCCGAAACGTACTAATGCAGTAGGCATCGGGCACCCCGATTGGTACCAAAGGATGCCACGCAACACCCTCTGAGACCTTTTACCAAAGCCGGCTGTCAACACCCGAGATCAGTCTGAGATCCATGTCCAGAACTGAGGTGGCATATTCGGAGGTGGTGTGACAGGACCGCAGCCTGCTTATCGGAAGCAAGCGCCTCAGTCCAATTTTTTTTTCCGCGCGCAAGATTGCCATATATGCTTCTGGCCAGAGCTCCGCAGGCGGCGTTTCGGCCGGTCCTGCTTGATATTATTGTTCGGAAGTGCCGCTCGGCGGAAGCGGGTCCCTAATTGATACATCGCTTTCAGCGGCGACGACAACTCCTTTTCCCCAACATCTCCAACATCGTGGGATGCAAAATATCTGAAACAGGATCCTTTCCGCGACAGAGGCCCAATAAATGTGATATATCGTGCAACGTTGCATTAAACTACCCTAGGGGTTTGGGGCATACACTTGGGAACTATCTTCTTGTATAATAACCGCCTGTCTAATTTATTACCTGTCTCCGAGGACTAGACAATCAATGGAAGTCTTGGTTTGGTGATGCTATCAATTTCGGCGCGTGGACATTTGGAGGTATTGGAAATTGACGACACCTGAAAACCACCGTTGAATTTATCCGAGCTTCTTCAGATGCGCCCATTGTCTATGTTTCCTCTGATGCAGCTGGGTTCGAAATTGCGGTCCATGGCGCTTTTCAGACAGAATGTAGCTATGCCTAGAAAATCACGTTTGTGGAAAGTCGAATTGTTTGTTAATAGCCACAAACCTGCTCATGTCTCGCACTGTCATAAAACAAGAGCCTCGACAGTAACAAACGGAAGAAAGAGACCATTCAGCATGCTATTTCGGGGGGGTTGAGCCATTGTGGATATGATGCGCCAACATGGAGATAGGCGTTGGACAACTGAATCCTTAGTGCGGATAGGCTCATGCAAAGGGCCGCCTCGGAGCTTGAAAGCTGTAGCCGAGCTTCTTCGGATCACGTACGTGCTAGCTTTCGGAAGCTTCTGTAAAGGTTCAGGTAGGCTGTACTGGCTCGAGCAGCCGGGGGTCCTATGCGCTGTCAGCGACCAGTTCATTGTCAACCATCGTCACGCATCATTTGACGGAGCGAATTATGCAGTGCCTTGGCTTTCGTAAACGTTCCCCATGACCCGATCAGGACCAAACGGAAATCTGCTTGCTCAGAGTAGAATTCAGCGAAATTTGTGGCCAGAATTCCCCAAGAAAACGGTACACCGATAGACCGGGTGGGACACGCCTGTCAGTTAGATTGGCTCGATGTGAGTTGAATCAATTCCTGCTGGTGAATAGTCTTGATCCTGACCTTCCCCACTGGTTGCTTATCCGATGAACAAAGATCCGCCATTCGACCCTGTCGCAATGGAGGCCTGATATCCGAGCTGTGGTGGTGGTCGCGTTTTGGTGCAAGAAATGCGGTACACCTGACCTGCTTCGCGCCGGTGAATTTGATAACACGGATTCGGGATTTGGTCATCCTTCGAACCAGGTACGATGCAGTGAATTGACCTAGACCAAGCACAGCGGAGCCGCACGTCTGGTTTTCGAGAGGGGGTCCACCCAAGAGGGTTTAACTGCTCCGTTTAGACTGATATGTCATCGGATCCGGCCTGAGGTGGTTGGTTTCTGCTCTTGTGGAGCTTGGGTCTGGGTCTGGCCCTTGATCTGGACTTCCATTGAGCGAATTGAAGACCGCCGCGTTTATCCCCGGGAACAAAGGGGCAGCAATCCGAGTTCTGTCTGGTTGGTTGATCCGTGGAGTGCTGTAAAAGGGAACAGAGAAATTCGCCCCCAAACCGTCGGGCAGAGAACCTCGTTATGATCCTAGCAGGTGATAGCAAAGGGCGCTTTGACACTGGCATGATACTGAGACATGGACCTCGATCACCTTCCTGCGATTGTACGAGCCGCTCAGAACGCAGGAAAGCATGTGGCACCCGTAACCGAGAATTCCGAGCTCCACTCGTGCCACAGATGGGTCAGAACTAGATCAATTCTTTTTGTGGCTTACAGCCTCTTCTCGATTGCGGCGACGACCTCTTCGGTGCTTGCATTTCCACCCAAATCGCGCGTTCTCACCCCTTCCTTCAGCACGCTGACAACCGCATCTTCTACTTTTTGTGCGGGCTCGATGTAGCCCAGATGGTGCAACATCAGTCCCGCGCTACGAATAGCTGCGATGGGATTCACGATTCCGAGGCCGGCGATGTCTGGAGCGGTGCCGTGTACGCTAGCATAGCAGTCAGCCAAAGAGTAAGGGCCAGAAGAACTCGAGGGGAAAAGATACGGAGGTCGAAGGATGCAAGAAAAATGCACGTACGGTTCGCCCATAACAAAGGTGTCGCCGGCGTTTACTGAGGGCACCAAGCCGAGGGAGCCCACGAGGGCTGCGGCAGCGTCACTAGGACTTCGTGTTAATAGGACAAGCAAAAGATGGTGAAAGGACGTACGAAAGAATGTCGCCATATAAGTTGGGTGCGACGACAACGTCAAACGCCCTGTAAGTGTGTGAGTAGTCGATTAATGCACTAGGAATGTGAAAACTTACTCTGGCTCCCTAAACATGCGATACACCATACTGTCCACAATTTGCTCTCCAACAGCGATCTTGCTTCCATCACTCCACTCCTCGTTTTCCTTCATAACTGATCTTACACACTCTCTGAACAATCCATCCGTGAGCTGGAGCACGTTGCTCTTGTGCACGATCGTCAGGCTCGCTGGGTGATCAGGTTTGGCCCGTGAAAGCGCGATCCGGAACGCCATACGCCCAATCTGCTTGGAGGCACGCTCAGTGATGAGCCGGGTTGCTCGGGCTTCACGCCCATTTTCTTCAGAATGAGAGGAAGTTTCTTGTTTAATATACTAAAGATGTTCGTCAGTATACTCCTCAACGATATTGAGTGAGAAAGGGGAACGCACTAAACACTCAGTATTTTCCCTCACAATAACCATGTCTACTGGTCGGGGGTCCAAGCCTTCAATCGAGTGCACGGGGCGAACGTTGGCGTACAAGCTGAGTTTCTTCCGGAGGGCGACAATTGGCGAGGAATAGCCAGTGACGCGATGGGTAGGAGAGCCGACAGCACCGAATAGAGCACAGTCACAGTCATTTTGCAGAGCACTGATGAATAATTCAGCAGATATCCATCAATGATTTCAGAAAATGTATGTGAGTAATAGGCAACAGGGACTGAACGTACTCAGCTGTCTCCTCTGGCAGAGCCACCCCGTGACGAGTAAAATATTCCCATCCAGCGTCGAGGTGGGTGAACTCGGGCTTCGGAATAGACGGCCCAAGTGCCTCGAGAATGCGTTGGGCTGCCTAGAATAACGATGCCGCATGGTAACGCTATTGTGAGCCCCACTCTGAAATTCGAAAGGGGAACGGGCGTACCGGGAGGACCTCACGACCGACGCCATCTGCAGGAATCATCCCAACACGCAGCTTCTTCAGCCCCAGAGAGGCAGCACCTCTCAGAACAGCAACCATTGTGCAAGGAGAAATCTACGCAGGAACTGTGCTGGTCACAGTAGTCCACACTGGAGGTGTTGGTGGAGAAATAACCCTAAAGTCGAACCCTGACCCAGCAAGGATATTCTTGGTTACCTAATCGGTCCGAATTGGCCCCTCTTCCACTTTCTCCGCTTACACACTTCCTCTGTACAGACTACCTTGCACAAACTCCTGCGCAAGTAATACCCGGCTCCCCACCTTGAACGCGTGCATCAACGACCTATTCAGCTTGCTCTTTACCAAGTACTTTTCAAATTGATTCTCGTTTCTGCTGCTGGCGAGAGGGAGTGGCACCGATGGGTCTCTCATTCTCGAGCTTGTTCAACACGCTCGCGAACTGGGGCAAGGAGCGCGAGGTTCGCATATTGATGGTGGGACTTGACAGTGCGGGAAAGACGACAATTCTGTATCGGTTACAAGTACGTTCTGCTAGGTCGCTGCGGCCAACGTTGGGCAGATGTGCTGACGCGGTATGCAGATTGGCGAGGTTGTCTCGACAATACCGAGTACGTGTACCGTGGGAACCTGGGAGGTTGGGCTATGTATCTGATGATTCATAGCGATTGGGTTCAATGTAGAGACTGTTCAGTATAAGAATATCAAGTTTCAGGTGTGGGATTTAGGAGGTACGTTCCCATCTATCGGGGTGTCGTGGAAGCGTGTTGATCGCCGCGCACAGGTCAGTCAAGTATACGGTGCGTTTCCTCCCGCATATGTGTGAGGTAGTGCTTAAGTGTTCAGACCATACTGGCGTTGCTACTTCGCCAACACGCAAGCCATAATCTACGTGATCGACTCGTCCGACGTTGCACGCCTCCCCACATCTCGCGCAGAGCTATTAACAATGCTCGCTGAGGAAGAGCTGCGCGGGGTACCTTTGCTTGTATTTGCGAACAAGCAGGATATAAAAGGTTCATTGAAGAGCGGAGAGGTGAGCGAGCAACTGGGGCTGGATAAGGAGAAGGGGAGGCAGTGGAGTGTAAGGGGGAGCTGTGCGACGAAGGGTGAGGGACTCGAGGAGGGACTAGACTGGTGCGTGTGCTTATCTATTCTGATATTCTTACCAGATTGTTCCATGCTTACCGATTCATAGGCTGGTGAACGTCCTCCAAAACAAATGAGCCGTCCCTCAGGTCGCGCCTTCCCCTCCTTTCTGCCTCGGGGAGCCGAGCTTCGGCAACCGCATTGCATACATCAACCTCCTTATACCCTGCGTAATCGCCCTCTTCGCACGTTTATAGCGAAGAGCCACCGCTCGCAACTTCATGACCCGCATACTGCGTCTTCCTGTACCGGTATTGTATTAATCTTACGAATATTTGGAGCTCCCGCATATGTCCTCGTGTCACTCTTCTGACGCAGGGAACCATAATCGACGAATCAATGCGAACAGTTCCGGGCATATCGACTTCACGATCAAGACGGAGCTGGTGGGCCTATCCAAAAACTTCACGACCTCAGCCCTATTAAATAAGGGGCTCAGCTGCTCCAGCTCCGCTATCCACCTTGCATCTCGGTCACATGTTGATTTTCCCTCGTCCGTTTATTGGTAAAACTGGTTTAGGAACAGCATCGAAGATAAGCTGCGGAAATTCGATCAAAGGTCGGAATAAACTGCTTATGCTGTCACAGGAACACATCCCCCTGTATAACCCTCGTTCCGGCCCCGACTACTGGTTCCTTTACAGCCGACTTCTCCACAATCGACCAGGCAAAGCCGCGTTTCTGAGAGAAAGAGGGAATGACACCCCCCGTGCACCAGGATTGTAGGTGGACACAACAGCCCCCGGCGCCAATCTTAGCCGAACAGAATACTTGTTGGGTTGCACGATCGTTGCCGTGCTGGCGTCTATGTCTGATTCCGACTCGCGGAGGATGGCCTCGTCCAGATTATTGCCATATTGGCTCTATCTTGTGACGATAATGATGCTGGATCCGATATTATCTGTGCTTGTTGGACATCCACTGATGCTTGCATCTCGTTATCTTGAGCTTTCACCTGTGCCCCCATGCCGGCATAACAAACGGCCACGATGGTGTACCCATCCAACCTGAACCATTTCACGGTCGAACTTCTCAACGAAGAAAGCATAAATGCTTACCTCCAAAGCGCAGATTCGTTCCGCATCGACACCGAAGACCTCCTCTCTTTGTGGTGTGCAACCGCCTTCCGCACCTGGGAACAGCGCTTCAGTGACGGTGCCGGAATTTACTATTCGTGCATACCTTGCCTCGAGACACCAGCTGCCGAGGAATGGTCATCACACGGCTGCGTTGTTCCCCTATCTGTCTCCATCGCCGCGCCTCACCCACGCTTCGCCAGGGTGACGAATGCGGAGTACCCAGGACCACCGTCCCAGGATTGTGCAGATCTGACCAATGCTTTATGGGTTTCCCGGCTTGTGGTAAGGAATCCGCAAACATCCCACAGCCTGCGTCAGAAGTGCGATCTGATGGCCAAACTGCTCAGCATCGTGAGCGCTCTCTCCTTTTCACGCCGCGAAACGTGAGTCTTGACTATACGAGTAGCAGGCTCTCGCTATTTTTCTCCCATGGCATCCTTCGTGGTATTCCATCAATTGGAGGCGTATCCAAGAGGACGAGCTGCTTCACCCGGAAATTCACGAGCGCTGGGCCAATCTCATCGCGGAGAAGTTGCTTGATATCAATAAAGAGATCAAATTTCCTCCCTAGTATTGCCGTTTTGCCTGGATTTGGAGTAGTATTAACTGGAATTAGTTACGAAGGATTTTTCATAACTATAGCGTGCCACTTGTTCTTGATAATGTGCTCTTGGAAGGACGGGCTATATTGAGTCATTTGGAGATGTAATACACAGTTTAGGGGTTAGTACTCGACGCGTGTTGGAAATGCGTGTCCATTTCTTCCGTTTCCCAGACACCTCGTGGACACCTCATGTTGGGCTTGTCTTGATCGATCTCAGCAGCATCTGGCCGAACGGTACGAGGCAGTTCCGTCAATTCTGCCTCTTCAGGGAACAGCTGTTTCTACGTTCGCCTTTGCCAAAAACCCCACTGGGCTCGCTTCCCTTCAATAAGTGTCTCGGCAACCGCAACGTTCTTTTCCCGAACCGATCTTCTTTCCTCGTAGACTTCGTTCATCTTCCGAGTCCCGTGATCGCTCCAATCCGACTGTGCCCTGAAGAACACGAGCGCAGATTCTTCTGGCCAGGAAGCGTCTGCTTTAGGTGCTTGCGACTGCTCCAGCACAGTCTATAAGCAGGCATCCCTGATCCCCACAGCCTTTCAACTTCTCCACAAGGGCTACTGTCGTATGTCTGTCATCCGCGAAGCTTCGGGTCTCCATTGGCCAGAGAACGGCGGACCCCCATGGCGAGTCAACAACCAAGTCGCGATCCCGCAGCATCTCCCCATCTACCTCGACAACAGCAGCTGGCTAGACGCCTTCCTCTACGCACTCGGAAGAGGCAACATCAACCATGATCCCAACTCGATCATGCATTCCGTCTCATTCCGGTTCACGGAGATGAAGGTCTCGCAGGACACGTACATATGCGCCATGTGTCGCCGGTTATGGGAAGGCCGGACGTTCGAGAACCACCCGTGTGACAACGTCCAAGTTATCTTTACATCGTCGTTTTTCGCTAAATGGGACCCGACACTCCCGGCGACGACGCTGGCAGACGCAGTCACTGCGCTCAAGATCATCAAGCCGGATGCAGAAGCGGGGAAAGCGAACTACGTCAAGATCTGGAATCTCGTATCAGAGGTACGTGCTCTCTCGCATCTCGCATCTCGCATCTCGCCCTGCGTCCTTTGTCTTTCTAACTCGACTCGCGTGCCTGACTACTTCTCAAGTTCATCATCTACGTCTTCTTCACATGCCGCGACTACGTCCGCATAGACATGCATCGGATAATGTCCGAAGCCCTGCTCGCCCCCGTCACAGTCAGTCCAGAGCGGCATCAAGCGATCGTCCAGATCCTGACTGGGAGTATGTGATCCGAGTCGAGTCGAGTGCCCTCGTTGTTGGGGGGGGGGGGGTTTGGTCGGGGAGTCGG